GATGAATTGCTCCAACACAAGACGATGAATTGCTCCAACACAAGACGATGAATTGTTTCAACGGCGGGACCAAGTACATACAACGCCACGTCTCGTGTAGGACGCCGGTGCGATGACCGAATCCAAGAAGTCCAAGGGTATACAGAAGTGCGCCAGAGAAACACTCCGTGCAAAACGCCAGCCATGCCCATCAACCTCACCCCTCACCCCTCACCCCAAACACAGCAGGTTCTCCCCAACGCGACCGCAAAAGAAGCACACCATGTAGATGCCGGCCATGTCCATCGACCCTAACCCAAGCACAGCAGGTTCCTCCCCAACGCGACCGTACTACTCCGTGGGCTCAGCATCTCCTCCCACCACCCGTCTCTCCGCTGACACGTCGCGTCCTGCTGCGCGAGCCACACCCGCATGCCGCTCACCCGCCTCAGCACCGCCGGCAGTGTGTTCTTGTCGCCCTCGCGAATCGGCACCACGTGCTGGTACAGACGGTCCCGCTTCTCCGAGTTGACCGTCACGGCCGCCACGAACAGCGGCCACACCGGGTAGATGGCCGTGTACAGCGGGCCCTTGACGGGCAGCGCGAGGAGCAGCGCGCACAGCGCCTCGGACGCCTCGACCACAGAGGGGTGGAACCGCGTCATCCTGCGCCTTGTCAGTCGTTGCGTTCAAATGTAGTCCGACTGTGCAGTGTGCACTCTCCCGTGGAAGACGTACCCGTAGATTCGGCACCGCAGGTACACCAGCGCCGCAAGCCGGAACGCCTCTGCGGTTGCGACCAGTATGTCGTGCTCCGGCCCTCGCGGCTCGGCGGACCACTGCCTCAGCGCCTGGAGCTGCGATTCCTGGAACTGCGCGTACGCGAGGGTGGTGCTGTCGCCGCCGTCGAGCCTGCCGTCGAGCCTGCCGTCGAGCACCAGAGCGGTGATGGAGGACAGGATGAACAGCACCTGCGGCGACGCACCGAGGATGGAGCAGATTTTCCGCCCCTCGCTCGGCCGTGTGCCCTCGTACCACGACCTGGTCTCGAGCGAGTGGAACCGCGTCGCTTTCAGCGTCTCGGACGTCTGCGCCGTGCGAGCGAGCGTCAGCTGTGCGCGGATGAACAGCGCTGGCTCCGACTGATGGTCGATCATGCTGTCGGGGATGATGTCGAAGACATTCGCGTGGCACGACCAGCACAGCGGCGCGTCTGGCGAGCTGTTGACAGCGCCGTGGTGCATGAGCAGCATGCTCGTGGCCAGCGCGCCGTTGTAGTCGTCGCCGTTCGCGATCTGCGTCGCGAGCGCCTGCAGAGCTTGTGTCGAGTAGTACAGCTCGGCGTGTTGATACAGGTCCTTCTGCGAAGGCAAGTACTCGGATATGTACGAGGCGGATAGACTGAGCAGAGCAAAGCGCGTGCTGGGACAGGTCGTTGCCACCTGGAGCAGCGACATGTAGCCGTTCGACTGCGTCGCAACAGTGCGCCCGGGACATATCCCATTGAGGTAAAAGTCAATCAGGAGCTGTTCCATGTCGCCCGCCCACGCACTCGGCGACGGCACGTACTTGACCAGACTCGTAAAGCCGGTCTCTTGCGACGAACCGCTGTCGAAGGAGTGGGTCGATCCCGGTGTAAAAGGACTGCCGGACCTCGACCTCGACCTAGAGACATCTCTCTCAGCTGTTGGAGAGTCGACTGCTCGAGTTAGTGCTGGTCGTATATTCGAATGAGCATGCCCTTACCTTTCAGTCCGGTCAGATCAGACAGCTCGCACAGGAAATCCTGACACGCTTCCGCCTTCACTCTCTGGATATGCTGCAACCTCTGCAGAACCAGGGTGACAGCGGCAGTGTCCTGGATGAGCGACAAGTAAGGCTGCTGTTGCTGAAGCGTCGCCTTGAACTTCTCAAACTGCTTGCTGTTGAGCTCGCCCAGGCGCCAGTACAGCTGACCAAGGACTTCCAGGAGCACCACGCCTGGACCTTCCGTGATCATCCATTGCCTTATGACCAGGAGGTTTCGCCTACTGTTTCTCTGGTTGCCCTCGGTTGGTAGGTCGACGACTCGCCCCACCAACCGGTCGATGTGGGTACAGTCGAGGCAAGAGAAGTCTGGCGACATGGACAGGTGCTGCAGAGCATCACTGGCTACTTCCAGGGCTTTAGTCAGCCTCCTGTCTGCATCCATCATAATAGCCATGTGCTTTTGTATTATTCGACTGTCAGGACCGGTGGGGCGCACAGTATTGGTGGTCTGTATTGATAGGGGGAAACTTGAAACGAGGGGAATATGCCTCTGCGGCAGTGGGTGCAGACCTCGTGCACAAGTGCCGGACTTGAACACATTGTATAGAACACTCGGCAGTCTATAGCAGTGGGCTGTTGAAGCGTTCCTGAAATCGGGGTACTAATTTAACCCTGTCCAAGCCCATGAATAGTACTGCATACAGTTAGCTAGCGGTGGAATCTTCCTTAGCACAGCCGATTGGAGCACCGTTGAGACATTGGGTCTAGCAATTGCGAAAACAGAGGCTGCTGCACAGGACAATAGCTGGAGCATGTCAGTACAGCCGGCCCTTCTGACAATTATCGCATCATCGCATCACCGTAACACCGCCTAGTAGACTTTCTTTCACACCGCGCTGACGCCCTAGAGGTTGTCTGGCCTCAGGTAGCACCACTCCATCTCCACCGCCAGCGTATGTAGTGGCACCTAGACTGACAACCCGGGTACTGAGATCTCCCAGCCAAGGGGGCTCAGCGCAGCGGTGGATTAGAGCTTAGAAGTACGCCCATGCTAAAATTGTTAGATGCCTCATCGGGGGTACGAGGGTACCGGAGCCCGGAGCCTGACCAAGAAAGTTAGCTACCAAGCGCGACTACATGCAGGGGGTCGACCCAAGCGAGCCAACCAGATGACGACGCCGCGCTAGCTTCGGGATGATAAGTGAACGCCTTACGGGATACTGACAGGATCCCATTCATAGGTACAGCCTCTTTCGGCGCGAAAGATCGGGGCATGGTCTTGCGTAGACATTGTGCCCGAAGTCCGTCACTTGAAACTTGCCCTCCCTACCAGCCAGTAGTAGTGCGGCGCAACTTTTATCTACTTCCTGCTTAGCGCATCGATGGTGCACGAGATGGAGCTGATCATCCTCAAGACGAGTCGTGGACAAGGTGGTGGTATGCTATGAAGATCGGGTATCTTTTAAAGGGAACACACAGCGTACCCCGCTGAATCCTCAGTCTTTCCTCCACCCAATGTACACCTCATCAGTTCTGAATCTCTGCGTGCAAGTCGTGTCCTCCAGACCCGTGATGATCCCCGTCGAGTATTCCAGCAGCCCGGCGTGTGCGATCATGATGCCGTTGTCAATGCAAAATCGCTCGTCTGTGGCAAAAACACTGCCACCTCGATCTCTTGCCATCATGCCCATCATTTCCTGTAAGCGCTCGTTCGAGCCAACGCCTCCGACTACCAGCACCTGCTGCGAGCCAACATGGGCCATGGCGCGCTCCGTGATCTCTACTAGCATAGCGAATATGGTCTCTTGCAGCGAAAAGCACATGTCTTCTCTCGTGGCCAGCTCTCCATCTTCAGTCTTGAGTCTCTTCTCGTAAGGCAGCTTCTCGTCCAAGCCACGTGCCAGAAGGTCTGCTGCTGCCAATATGCCCGAAAAGCTTGCGTCCATGCCTTTCACACCATACGGTAGATCTATGAGATTTTTACCTTTCTTTGCCAGCTGCTCGACGTTGTATCCCGGAAACGGGTTGTTAGGGATCATGAGGGTACGCGCAAACCGATCTATGCAGTTTCCTATTGCAATGTCGAGGGTTTCGCCAAATATGCGGTATCGGTTTGCGGAGTAGGCAATGACCTGCGTGTTACCGCCGGACACGTAGAGGACGACGGGGTTGTCCGCGCGGGTTATCGAACGGCCCATCTCGATGTCTGCCGAAGTGTCAGCCTCACGACCGTAGCTTTACGCACGGTAATTACTGACGCCCGACGCAGTGATTCACGCCCACCATAGGCTTGTTCCAGAGCAGACTGATGGTGCGCGCTGCAAGCGCAACGCTCTGCAACGGCGCGCCCATGCCAGGTCCTTTTGTGTAGCATATGCAATCGATGTCCTCGATCTTTACACCGGCTTGTTGCACCGCTTGCTTGATCAAACGTACGACCCATGCTCGATGGTGCAGTGCCGTGTCTTTTGGCAGGAAACCTTCGCCCGGCGGGGAAATGTATGTGTGTCGCAAATTCGAGAGGATGACAGGAGGCTTGTCCGGCGCCGGATGGTGAATCACACCAATTCCTATCTTATTCGCGCTTCCTTCTAACCCTATGGCGATCATTTTGAATGTGTGTGTTGTGCGCGAGCCTTCAAACGCGTTCGACATTCACAAATGGTGGGGTCCAAAGAGCGTTGCCGAGACCGAATTCGGTCGTAGGGCTGAAAGCAAGGCTAGCGTCACTCAAGCATTCCAACCACTGGTACCATTCTAGTTAGTACGTAGAATGTCGACTTCATGCCTTTCAAAATTGCGACTTAAATTGAACTAATGCGAGTGTGAGGGATTAAGCATGTTGACAGGCTGGGCCCACCCTTGCTACATCAATGTCGCTCAGAGATCCCGGGGTCTGGCTTGGCAACGCAAACCTCGAGCTGGCACTGCTGGAACTTTCCTTTTCTTAGAGCCTAGACACAACACTCTCGCTCTCCCCGAGCTCCCCGAGATGATCTCCGACTTTCAAGCTCACAACGTGCCGATTCCTTCCTCCGCATTTGAGAGTGGAGACTCCGGGCTGGCGAGGTGACCAATGAGAAGCACACTCGGCGCCGCTAACAATCCATCACATTTCCAGCCTCCACTTCTACGGCCACGACGCTCCTCACGCGACTATGGCAGACTTCGACGGTGCTGGTAAGGCGTTCTTGGCATGGCTTCAGCGGTCTGGAGCGGAACTCAGCCCAAAGATCAAACTCGAAGATCTGCGACATGCGCAAGCTGGCAGAGGCGTGGGTAAGCGGCCCTTTTCCAACACTTGTAGTCGGTCAGTCCGAAGGGAGCCACCCAGCCCTTCACAGCACTGCTTCCACTTCCTCCCACGGACTCAAACACTAACATGGACTAGTTGCTACACAGGACATCGCTGAGCACGAACTCCTCTTTCGCATTCCCCGGTCAGCGATCCTCAGCGTCGAGAATTCGATCTTGTCCAAAGAGATCCCCGCCGCGACCTTCGAAACACTTGGACCATGGCTGTCCCTCATCCTCGTCATGCTCTACGAGTACCTCAATGGCGAAGCATCCAATTGGGCCACGTACTTTTCAGTCCTGCCCGCTGAATTTGACACCCTCATGTACTGGAGCGAAGACGAACTCGCCGAGTTGCAAGCCAGCGCCGTCGTAAACAAGATCGGGAGGGACAGCGCCAATGAGATGTTCCTCGAGCAGCTGATACCTGTCGTGAAAGAGTTTGCACCCATCTTCTTCGCAGACGACGAGCGTGCGCCACAGAAGGCAGAGGAGATGCGAGACGAGCGCAATCTCGCATTGATGCACCGTATGGGTTCGCTGATTATGGCATACGCTTTTGACGTCGAACCCTCGGTGCTGAAGAAAGATGTCGATGAGGAAGGCTACGCTTCAGAAGACGAGGATGAGGCTCTTCCCAAGGGCATGGTGCCTCTGGCAGATATGCTGAACGCTGATGGAGACCGCAACAACGCCTGCCTCTTCTACGAGGCCAGCTCCCTAGACATGAAAGCTCTAAAGCCAATACGCGCCGGCGAAGAGATCTTCAACGACTACGGACCGCTCCCTCGCTCTGATCTGCTGCGTCGATACGGATACATTACCGACAACTACGCTCAGTATGATGTCGCAGAAGTTTCTATGGATCTGGTCACCGACCTTGCGACGACAGCCGGCATTTACTCGGAATCGCGCATCGAGTACCTTGATGAGCAAGAAGTCGTCGACACTGGTTACGACCTCACAGTCAGCGACCCTTTCACACTGCAAGAGAGCCTGTCTCCCGAGCTTGTGGTGCTTTTGGAGACTCTGCTGTTGCCAGAGGAAGACTTTGAGCGGCTCAAGAAGAAGGGCAAGCTACCGAAACCCGAAAAGATGACTAGCAAAGGTGGCGCGCTCTTGCATAGACTTATTCAGACACGACTCGCACAGTACAATACGAGCCTTGACGATGACGTCCGCAATTCCCCTGACGTACCCGGCGTCGGCGGACCTGGCTCAAAAGAGCGACGCTTCGCCATGGCCAAGGCAGTACGAATCGGGGAGAAGAGACTGCTCAAGCAGGTGGAAGAAGCACTGGCTGAAAAATTCGCAAGAGAAGGTGTCGCGATAAAGAGACGACGAGAGGTAGACGAAGAAGGAGATGTGGAGATGGGCGGCACTGAGAAGAAGCAAAGGGCATAGACGACTTATCTCGTGATCTCGACGATTGCGCCGCACATCGATTGTCGCACACGTTCAACGAACCGCCACCACAGCAGCATTAGAATAGTAGACCCGTGGGTTGGTAAGTTTTCTGCTTTTTTTCTTGTAGGTGTACAGGGCTGTGCCTTGCGTAGCCCGCAATTGCAGGTATTTTACATATCCAAAATCAACCGGAGAGACCGCTAATGACTATCCAGAGACGTCCTCCAGTGCGCCCGACCCCGTCTCCCCGACAGCCGAATGTTGTACATGTCTCTGGTGCATCCGCTCCGCCAGCTGGATCACCTCGCTCGCGAATAAGAATCAAAGGGTATATTTCGCACAAACCAACAAGTATCGTCGTCAAAAGGCTGCTGAAAAAGAAGGTTTACGATGCAGTATTGGGGCCAGGAGCTGCTGTTGGCGGCATTAGGTGACCAGACGCAGATCGGTTATTGTTCTCGATCGATTTCCGGGCTGCACCTGCGGCCTGCTGAGCATGCTGCTTCTCACCCTGACGCTCGATCATGATACGGTACCTGATGTGCAGATTGTCTGTCCAATCAACAGCATACGTCTGCTCATCTTCACTACTGTCTCCAGAGTACTTCCAGCGGTCCGCAACACGGTCGTCTAGCTGGCTGCTCTCGACTTTCTGGCGTTTAACCCCACGTCGATCGATCATCACACGTCCACCTCGCCCGATGCGTCTTCGGAATCGGGACTGGTCTTGGAAAGGTACATCATCTGGGGGGGTACCGAAACGAATGCGGGCATTGCGTCGCGGTGTATCCGGTGCGTTCGTACGTACTACCGCCATGGAGTCAGCGCCTTCATCATCAGATACTGAGGCTGGAGGGGTGGGCAGTTGCGATTCTGTGAAGACCGTACGGAATTCGGATTTCGCAGCAGCCTGCTCCAGCGGTGGTGTGATGGGTCGCCACGTTGCGTCCACCCAACCATTATTCCACTTTTGGTGCTTGACGAGGTTGTCCTCGATGAAGGTGTCGATGGCTTCCGTCTTCTTCGCTTGTTGTTCTTCGAGGTATACAAGGTCACTATCGATAATACGTCCATCGGCACGGGTGACCTGAGGCTTCATGCCAGGGATATTTTGGCGGACTCTCTCAAGATCAGGTCTTGGCTTAGGCTTGGGTGCAGGCTGTACAATGTGAGTCATGCTCCGGGCTTCTTTGACGAAGTCTCCACGTACCTTTTGGGTAATCAGGAGTTCTTCGTCATCGATCTTGATGCTGAGTCGCCTCTTGATTTCCTTGACAGCGTGGCGCTGCTCGAAGATCTGCTTGTCATTGGCGAGGGAGTCCCTCATTAGAGCCTCCCGCCGCTTCACCTGAGTCATCAAAAGTCTGGCCTGTTCCAGCTCGTTGCGAAGCTTCTTAAGCTTCTCGGTCACCTGCGCATCTCGGCCTCGGGTCTTACGAACCTGTCGTACTTCACGGCGTCTGAAGCAGACATAAGGATCTGCCTCGTCAGTCTCAAGATTGGTTTCGAACTTCAGCGATGGTTGCAAAGGCCGGTTGCCCTTGAGCAATCTCTGGTTCTTCCAATGTGAGTAGACGTCTTTGGCAAATCTTCTCGCGCTCTCGCTGATCGTTTCGTCGAAATCAGACTCCAGATCTTCGTACGCCAGTACTGGAGCATCACCGACGGCCGAGAAGGGCTGTTTCGTCTGGGCAGTCTCTTCGAAGAAGTTCATAACCTCCTCAAATCCGTCCTCGGAGCAATGGGGACCTTTGGTTCTCTTCTGGTTGTACGCTTTGAGGAAAGCGGCATCATCACTGGTCATATTGTATGGACATCCTGAAGTATCTTCGACGGTAGAAGAGAAACGGATGTACGTCGCAGGCTGCGTGAATCGCTTGGGGTAAAGCCCATCGTACTGCAAGTGACTTGCAGTTGCTTCTGGCGTGGGGATGTACAGTTGAGCGATCTTACCGCCAGTAGCGCCTTGCGCTGCTGCCTGCGCCGCCGAGATGACGGCTTGCAAATGATGTTCCTGTCAATGGGGTCAGTAAGAGTCGTTCAATACGATAGTGGTGAGTTCCTGCACGGCAATGCGATGCAGGATTCGACATGCACACAAGTGCATCGCTGTGCTCCTGCACATCATGAAACCCCAAAGCGGCTAGTGCGAGACTTACAATTTCCTCTCCCTTCTCGACACCAGTCTCGACCTTCGGAATATGTCGCGACGCTTCATCATCGTCGTGCTTTTCGACCTCATTTTCGCGCAATACAGGTATGTTCTGCTTTGTAGATAATTTGCGCTGGCGGAAGCGCTGGCCTGTGACGCGCTGCGTCATGTTGCTTCAACCCTGCGGGTCGGCGTTCGTCGACGCTATGCACGTGACCGCAGTCTCTGCCCTGGGGACAGGTGGCCGCCTCCGGCCCTGCGCACGCGGTTTCGCGACAAAAACGCGTCGCAATAATGCCGATATGGGTCTCAAACTACTTGTAGATTCCAGCGCATCAGGATCCGAGATGCATGTGATGGATTTCGATGGTTGTGGATGCGATTTGCCGTTGAGAAATTCTGATGGGTTGGATGAGCGGTTTCTTGAGGTTGCGAAGGGGCTGCCGTGTGGGCGTGCCAGCTGCGTAATAGTGCCGGAAATGGAAGCGGTGTCGGTGGCAAAATCTCTTATTGGCCCAGCTGCGCCTTACAATGCACAAAACGTTCTCATTGCAAGGTAGCCTAGCTTGATAAGGTGACAATTAAATCAGAAGTGCCCTAAGGATCATCACCTACTTTGATGCTGACAGGGAGAGCGACAGAGTCGCCGGTTTGCGCGTACTAGTTCCTGCTATCCCCGCTTTCACTTGCAGAGAGCAGCTCCTCCATCATGTCCTTGCCTTCATGTTGCGCCTAGTCTATAAATCTTGCGAGCTCCTTTGCAACTTCGCTAATTATAAAGGTCACCTAAGAGCAGTTTCATGTTCGTCAGAGACAAAAAGGGAAGCAGCTAGTCTTTCTGCGGCCTAGCGTATGCGATGATCTTCGCTCGATCGCCAGCGAGCAATCATCCTTTCTCACACATCTTCATTCATCTGCAACGACATCTTCCATATCATTTTTACTGAGATGGATATCGTTAAAATCTGATTCTTCGAGCCTTATATTGTACATCTCAAAGGCATTATAGCCCTTCAGTGCGAGCCTTGAGACGGCGAATCGTGCCTTAGAAGCACAATACCGCGTGCATGGTCAGATGCGAACTCAAGATCTAGTGGTTGCAAGAGAGAGACCCTGATGTCAATGCTAGCACTGCCATACACCAAAAATATGTGAAGAGTAGGACGGGATCAAGGCATGAGGGGGCACAAGTCAGCTGCGCTTCCAGGTCTTGATAGTAAGTACTACCTAGCTAGGTACATTCAGGAATCGGCGAACTTCAGGAGTTTGTCAGGCAGAAGAGACAGGCAAAACCATCGCTCCCCCGGGAAGGATCGAACTTCCAATCTCCCGATGTGCCGTCGCGCGGTAACAGTCGGACGCGGTGACCATTGCGCCACGGGGGACTTGCAGATGTTCCCAGTTTCTGCTTTTTGATGAGTAATCAAGACACCGTTTGTTTATCACTACAGAAACCATGTTGGTTGGAAGCTGGGTTATGTGCGAAAGTAATGCTTGTGGTCCGAGCAAGAGCTCCCAACCCATGTAGGCCTGTTACTATACCTTTGAGCCTCAAGTAAAGCCATACTTACGTCACAACAATCGCTTGCAACTTCACAACCACAGCAAAGGAGGCTAGTTGTAACCTCTATTCCCTGTCGCCGTACCCGTCATCGTCTCTTCATGACAGACATGCAGGTCAATCCAGTCCTTGACTTCGATGTAGTTAATCTCGATGGTCGCTACCCAGGTATCATGAGAAGGCGTGCTTTGACACTGTGATATCAAGACAGCAGCATCAGGAATAAGCATGTGACTTGGATGCTCTCCAGGTCGAATGAAATTCACGTTACAAGCCATATTTTCGTAAATGTACGCTGGCAAAGAATCTCGTCGAAATAGTGGTGTCGAGCAGTTGCCATTTCATAATTTGGCCGCAGCCAAGGCGGTACTCTCTTCCGACATGGCTTTTCAGTTTACAGGTTGTAACACGAGTGCGAACATGGTCGCTCCTCACAAGCGATTCGAGTTCCCCAACCACATAGCCCTCGCCTTGTACTTGACCCCTTCATGTATTCTTCGCTGCCGGCAACACCTTTCACGTCACACCTTCTCGCTACTAAGGCGGAACTCTACCTTAATGCGACCGACTTACGTTCCCTGTCTACTCTTCGGCAGCATTGTAACGAATTTCGGGGCGTATGCTCTGCGCCTTGTCCCACACAACTTCACAGCCATCGTTGCTGACGTTGGCGGTAAGTATTGACCAGGATTACGCGGAGGTCGTCCGTAGATGCGTTTCGATCACGTCGCGCCGCACCGACGGTCGCTGCACGATCACGTACTGTTTCAACGACTACGCCATGAAAGAACGTTTCCAACACTATATTGAGGAACCAATCAAGTTGTGGACCGTAGCTCGTGCAATTATGGCAGTGACAGCGGATACTACACCGAGTTTCAAAACTCCACTCCCCCAGAACGCACGGGCGAGTTTTTAGGGATCAAGACGAGAAGTGGCATGATCGAGATCCAACAGAGATGCTGAAGCTTCTCCTCAGCGAACAGGACAGTAGGATCAGCATGACATCTGTCGATATTAGCCTCTTGGAGAAATAGCCGCATCACAAGATGTACTTTGATGCTGAGTGCGACCATAATTCGAAGGGCAAGTCTGATGATAGCTTCATCTCTGAGAACACTGTTACTCGAGTAGCATACGACTCTGGGCACGGCAAGCCCTGGGATGCGTCATTGACGGCCGTCTTTCGCTGGCAGCGCTCAAATCCTTGGACTAGAACGCAAGTACCTACGCAGCGATCGTGTGTCGGACCATATGCCTATCATATTCGCACCACTGACCATCTCACAGGTGATAAATCCGTGTATTTGCAATGTGAAAAGCTCGTCGACCACAATCACTGTGAAGCCGCATGCAGTAAAGTCGCCAACTGCGATCTCAAGTAAGTGTGTAAGAACTGGGACCCGGCTCGTGGTCTCAAGCTTAGTGCCATATCTAACTCTCTCTGCACCAGTTCCAAGGGCGACACTGCGAATAGCGGTGTAATAGAATTCATTACGCGCTAACACTCGATGTAAAGTGCTGATTTAGACGCGACTTACAACTCCGCCATTCGACAAGCCGATACGTGTCCGTTGTCACAAAAAGTGAATGATTCGAAAGACAGCAAACCTTTCGGCACGGTATTCATGGACCACAATATCAGGCCATCTGAATTGCGATATTGTCTATCAAAATATTTTACGTCTACTGTAGATAGACGTAGTGCAAGCGCAATCGGGGAGGATATGCGGCGACGTGATAGACTCGGAGATTAGACATGGACAAATACATAACACGGATTCGATGTGGGGCGTAATGCGCAACTCCTTATGTAGAGCGCAGTCATACACTATGGTGATACTATCAAGGTCTACAGTCATCATCCCTTCTTGACCGACCTTTGTGGCTTTCAACACACCCTGGAGCGTCGTTCAAAAATGTCGATATTGTCGAGCCTGACCTTCTTCCTTAAACAACCGACTATATCGATGAAAAACAGTGGCCTCGCAGTACCTTGCCTCGCCGCAGCAAGTCAACGCATTAGATGTGCTCAAGGCATTGAATATGCGAAGTGAGCGTACTGACGTCCCTTACCAGCAGGTATTCGCCTGCCCTCGTAACGTCGTCGAAGCATGAGTACTTGCCCCATGAGCACACCTAGGCAGTGGTCACGAGGCGCATATCGGGAAGAGCGTCAAATTAGCTCCGTCGTAAGATCCTCGCCCTGCAACGCACGCCGGTGTCGCAGCCCCAATGTCGGGCGGCTCAAAGGCAGTCACCCCAGGCAACTCCTTCGAGATGGTTAAATATATCCCCATATGCCCTGCCTCCTCCACCTGCGGTTAGGTATTTTGAGAACCCCACGAGCTCATGCTAAGAAGGGCCCACTCAGGCAAGGCTGTTCGGTCGTCCGTGAGCACACGAGGCTCGGGTCGAGGAAGTCGTGAAGATGAATAACGTCGATGGCCGAGAAGCGATTTCGGAACCGCTGGAAAACTCAGAGAGGCTATGAATGTGTCCGAACCAGCTCACCCTAATCATGACGTCTTGAGCTGCTTGGTGAACAATGAGTGAGACATCGGGCCACGGGAACAACCTGTGCTCGTCTACGACCGCGTCACTCCACGCTGAGAATCGTAGACAGCTCTCCGTTAGAGCACTAGCAACATGAAGGCAAGCGAGTGAACGCTAGACTAGCGAGTTGGTCACAAAGGACAGAGAGTTGGGCTGGTGTTGAGGCATTGACTGGGGACTTGAGGAAAGGAAGAGGAAGCGGGCGTGAAAAAGAATTTATGCGTGGGCGTACCAAGAACGTGCGGACGCCAGAATCGTTCTCCGAGGTGAGTATGAGTAGTGGATAGAGCGGCAATGATGTCAGAAAGCTGCGGTAGAGGAAATGCTACCGCGTAGCTGCCTTTCACCTCAAATGAAAGCAAGTACATTGAAAGCGAACAATGTGGAAGCGAACCCTCCATTGCTTATACACAGTTGGTATTATGAGTAGGATCATAGCGAGTGACTACTGTTGAGACCGATGCTCAGAGTCCTCAGGTCTGAAGCCACCATCCCGTGGCTCAGGCTCATTCCGAGGCTCCCAGTCGTAAGTATGCGCTTCCAACTCTTGTGGTGGGGGTGCACTCTCTGTCCCTCTGTCTGCTATCTCATGTATCACCCCAGTCCCCGATGCTGTGTGGCCTGCCTTGATGGTAGGTGCAGAGGCAGGTACTGAATCTGGTAACTGGGCTCTCCATGGTGCATCCAACTCAGATGGCTTTTCCTCCTTTATCTCGTAGCCAGCGTTCTCTCCATCCTTTCTTCTACGTTTCAGCAAGTAAAGGACAGCGAGACATATGAGTAAGAATCCTCCGACACCGATACCGACGCCCAGTCCTATTGCCATGGCATGGTTGTTCTCTCCAGATAACAGATCCCCTGATGAAGTAGCATTGGCAGTATCTGTGATGTATGCAGAAGAGGCTGATATGGTATTAACTACCTCCGCGGCGTTGAGTGAAAAGACGTTGAGCGTGTCTGTGCAACAGTCGCCAGACGCTCCACAGCAGTAAGTATCATTGCCACAACTCTTCACGCCTTGACCACGATCGGTGTGGTTGGGCGCTAAGTACGAGTCAGTGTAGGCCACAGCATCGTCTTTGTGAAACTCACTGTCTGTGCAGAATTGAGGACATGACGTGGAATGGAAAGATGCATCTGTGCAGCCACTGCGGTAGAAGCTGTATGCGTAGGTTTTCTTGGAATCCGGCCCTGGTTTACAAAGACCATTGCTCAGGCAGACAAAGGTTGGTCCACAGCACGCAGATACTTCCGTGTTTGGACTACATGCTCCGCCATTGTTTTCTTTACCGTTGGGAAAGTAGCAGGTCGAGTTCGAGGCAGCGACAGCAGACCAGAGACACGCGGCAGTAACCAAGCCTGAGAATCTGAAGAGCTGCATACTGGAAGCCGTGTAGGTCTGCCGACAAACGTAGGAAGGACTGGAGTTGTGGAAAGGATATCCAGCCGTAGGATTATGGAGTGAGCCCGCAAGGGCGGTCCGGGACAAAAACACACTTTTCTCAGTGTGGTGTAGTCGCCGACCCGCAATGTGCATGCGCTTGGACCGGGGCCAAAATCAAGTGCACCTGCCAATGAAACCTCTGGAATCTGGATCATGTATCGATCCTCGTAGGATTGACATAGCGAGTTCCCGATTATGACATGTGTAAGTGAGCTAAACAGACTTAATCTTGTGCTCCGCCGCAAGTCGGCCTTTCTCTCACAGATTGAAAGTGGATCGATATGGAACGAGCTCGTTGCCGATCGCGGGGCGAAGGTCCAGAGCCGAAGCTTCTGCTGCTACAGGGCGCCGCAGATTGAGCACCAAACCCTTGATCCCTCTCCGTTGCTGACGGCTTACCGCGGAGCTCGCCTTCAAGGTCGATGCGGGCAACCTCCCACGATCGCAAGGGACAGAATGTGACCGGAAAGAAACACCTCGCAACACCGAAAGTCTGATGTCACACGAGATGGTATTCACTGATCAGGCAGCAAACTTGGGACTGACCATCGAGATCCGCACGGCCCTATAAACTCATCAATACCGGTAGCGGCTTGGTCATGCACAAGCAATGCCTCACAACGTCTCGACATCCGGGGTTTTCCACACGGCGCAGTTATGGCGCAGTCATGGCGCAGTCGTGCAGGCGCTCCTATACGCCATTTGCGAAAACGACAAAATCCGGGGCAATTCACGATGATGTCTGTCGTCTCGCGCAATCCAACGACGGTCGTTATGGCAGTCGCAGCAGCGACGCCGCCAGTGCGATCAATTCGCGGGAATGAGCACCCACTAGCATGAAAAGTTGGTCGCCTTAACCGCCGGTGTGGCCTTCGGATCAACGCGCAAATGCACTTTTTAAGAAGATCGAACCCCTCCGCCCTAGAAGCTATCAGGACGACATTATAAAACCGGTCAAAATGATTTCTTCGCTCTTCTTCAGCGCTGCGACCCTAGCTGTCGCGTCGAGCGCATTAGCACAGGATGTCCAGCATGGCTGCGGCAGCTCTCTGCCTGAGGGTCTCGAGGCGGACAAATCCGTCAACTTCACTATGGAGAGTGCCAGTGGGGTGTCTCCACGCGGATACCGTCTTCACCTTCCCAAATCGTACGACACAAACAAGAAGGTCCCCCTGATCCTGTCTTTCCACGGCCGGGGCAAAGATGCCAAATTTCAAGAAGAGCTCTCGCAATTTTCGAATGCAACGTATGGGTTCGAAGGCATTTCTGTGTACCCGGAAGGTGTAGCCATGAACAACTCGAAACGCACCCAGCAGTTCCAAGGCGACCCGGACTCCCCACCGTCAGTCGATGACGTGACCTTCACATTGGAGCTGCTCAATGTACTTCAAAAGACTTATTGCATCGACACATCGCGAATCTGGGCTACTGGAAAGTCCAACGGCGCGGGCTTCACGACAGTGCTCGCTTGCGACGCTGAAGCTACGAGGAGGATCGCTGCATTTGCACCAGTATCAGGAGCCATCTACCTGGACTCAACCCAACAATTGCCGCCTTGCAACCCCAGCCGCCTTCCCATCCCAATAATGGAGTTTCACGGTTTTAAGGACACCACGATCCCCTATGCCGGCGGTGAGAATACGCGTGGCACTGCGAACTCCACTGATATCGTGACTTATGTAGATGACTGGGCCAAGCGCGATGGATTCGAGGTTGACGCAAACAAAACATCACACCTCTGCAGTGGAAGCGAACTAGTGACCAGGTACAGTTGGGAGGAGACTGTCATTCACTACAACTACTCCAACTTGTTCCACAATTGGCCCAGCTCTTTCCCAAACGGCGATACTGCAAAGTATCTTACGTGCAGGGAAGCAGAGGCCACACCTATCATCCTTAAATGGTTCAAGAAGTGGACTTTGTGAGCATTTAGTTCATGCGCACTACCTGGAGCAGCATGCGCAATTTTTGACGGTATGGTACTCTGTAAAAAATCGAGTACATCAGCCGCCATAGGGAAACAATCCATAAGAACGGTCTCTCTGTCCAAATCAATACAATGCGGGTCTCAGTGCATGTGCAAAAGATGTGGTCCGAATGCGCAAATGCATTGGGTATTACAGCATTCAGATTGTCAGCTTGTCTCACAACTAGAGAGACACCTTTTCAACTCGGCCAATGGTATTGAGAAGTGTACACAGGCTTGATTGTTAGACTGCTCAGGTGTCAGCTTAGTAGAGTAAGAAAGACCGTCAGCGGTGTGAAGGGTTACACTCTAGCTGAATAGGGCAACTTGCATGAATACCCCCGCATTAGCGGGGGCCGAGGTACATCACATAGACTGACCATGGACGAATCCAAAGCGAGAGTCAGCTCATATTCACCGCTCTCTGGGTTTATTTCTCTCTCTTACACGGTGCGTTCTCTCCCTTCCAATTTTCATCCTTGCCCAATTCTTCCGTGATTCAGAGATTGTTTCTGTGACCGGCAATAAACTTAAGAAAACCCTCGTCTAGATGTTTTTGCATCATGGCAAACTTTGAAACTGCTATCCAGCAGGCCGTCGATGCCAAAGAGATCCCAGGCTGCGTCTTACTTGCCTCCAATCGCGATGGTATATTCCCTTACTCTCTATTAGACGCGCATACTTATCACTGAAAGGCTCATTTAACTACACCAAGAGTTTCGGTCACACGTCCATGGAGTCTGGGCGCGCCAAACCACTGCGAAGCAGTGACATCATGTGGATCGCCTCCTGCACCAAACTCATGACCTCCATCTGCGCCCTGAAGCTTGTCGAGCAGGGCAAGCTCACCCTCGACGACCCAGTCTACAACCAAATTCCCGAACTCAAAGACTTCAAGATCTTACAGACTTTCGACAACGGCGGCAAGCCTGTTGAAATTCAGCACACTAAGCCCATCACCCTACGTACGCTTCTGACGCACACTAGCGGCTTGACTTACGACCACTTCCACCCCAAGTTGCTGGCCTGGTGTGCTTACCACGGGCGAAAGCCTAACACCGGCACTAAGATTTTGGAGCGTTACGATGCACCACTTATGTTTGAGCCAGGTGAGAGCTGGATGTATGGCTCCAGCACCGATTATACTGGTCTCTTGATTGAGCGAGTCACGGGTGCCACACTCGAAGAGCACATGCGCAAGAATTTGTGGGAGCCCCTTGGGATCAAGGACATCACCTTCAAGCTTAGCTCACGGGCGGACCTGAAGGAGAGAATGGCTGATATGAGTGAGCGGGAGGCAGGCTCCAGTACAGTCAAGCACATGGGAGGAAAGCAGTTTCACCAGGACACCGACGGGTCTGAGATTGAGGATTGCCTCGGCGGCCAGGGCGTGTTTACGTCTCCGGAGGACTACTTCAAGGTGCTGAAGGCAGTACTCACGACGGATGAGGACGAGAAACTGTTGAAGAGAGAGACGTTGACAGAGTTTTTCAAACCGCAGCTGGGAGAGGGCTCTGCGACAGCGTTGAACAGCCTTCTGCAGGATGACTTCGTGAGTAGTTCTCTACAGTTTGGCTGAGTCTACTGACGTCATCACCAGGTTAATAATGCAATGGGCGGAACCAACAAGGATGTGAAGAAGGACTGGGGTCTCGGAGGGCTTCTCCTGGCGGAAGATCAGCCAGACGGCAAGGCAACGGGCACGATGATCTGGGGTGGGTTGCCAAACTTAAACTGGGTACGTTCCATTTGTTTTGAGTTCTTGACTTGTAGCTAATTTTGAAAAAGTGGGTCGACCGCAAGACCGGCATCTGCGGCTTGTACGCGATACAGGTATTGCCCACTGGTGACGCAAAGATCGCAGCGCTGGACCGCAGCTTCGAGGCAGGTATCTACGAGAAGTACAAAGCGGGTGGGAGTAAGAGTCCTCGCCTTTAGGGGAATGACATCCGATGAAATGCAAGCGCTTTGACTACCTCCAGAGCGATTGTCTTATCAAAGAATTAACCCTGGATTGTAAATCCGCAACCTCTTGGTGCATTGATCACCTCCAACCTCAAGTTATCTGGTAGCTACATGTCTAGCATCTCGAAATCCGTCTGCTCACTGTAGCTTTCAAGGACTTGGACCTTGCCAACCGACTTAAACGCCCAGAGGAGAACAGTGAACCGATCTTCGAGCCCTTGCAGCTCCAGGTCGTCCGCAGTCGTATCGAGATTGCGGATAGCCTCTGCTATGCCCTTAAAATGTGTCCCGATATCTTCCACAAGCTCTTGCTGGGGCCCATAATGTGTTGCCCAGGGCCCTGGATCGAATCTCTCCACATCATCGGCAAGCCGCTTGAGCTCAGCCGTCGTCAACTCATCACCAGGCTTCAGGCTCAGTGTAGCCTCATTGATCCAGCAATCAGAAGCATGAGCTCCGAGACATCCGCAGTCTATACATGGGAGGGCTGCCATCTGGGCACGGAAGAGGTCTGCATGCGTCGAAGCTGCAAGGGACAGATGGCCAACATTGTCCGTTGCATCATCGGCGGCAACGTCGTTGTCGTGCGTGTAGCACACTTCACTGTCGTCTTTGTCGTCGTTTTCATCCAAGGAGCGCTCTTCTGACCGATACATGGCCGGATTGTCCGTCAGGTCAACTGCAGGGGTGCTTGCCACATCCTCATGAATGACTTGTGGATCGAGCGGCGAACTATTGCGATAGTGCTGTTTCGTGACCAAAGAGGTCTGCAGCTGTTCGACAGACCCTGAGCGAGCGTTTGTTCCCACATGCTCCCTATCGGCGACGAACGGGCTCGACCGGACCTGAGCATGGTCGGAGGATGGGACTGCTGCGGCTGGCTCTAAGCATGACGGCCGCGCAGTCTCGCTCTGGATAGACGGCGACGAGGGCCTCCGTGCGGGTGTCACTACTGTCGGGGAGCTTCGACGGGTGAGATGAGAATGGCTGCTGATTGGTGTGGAGGTGACCAACAGCGCCGTCCTTGGCGACTTCGTTTGTGAAGTTGATATCCCTGGGGGTGGCGATGTCGGCGCGAGTAGATTATTTGGTAACAGCCCCTTCTGTATTCCGTATCTCGCTACTCGGTACTGGAAGAGTCTCGGGTCGGTGCAGAGTGGGTAGAGCGGCACTGCACCTCGAAAGGATAGTGTCTTGCCCAGCAGCTTCCTCTCGTTGCAGATGGTCTGCAAATGCGCTGCAGCTGTACCAACCAAAAGTTTGTTGCTTTCGTCCAGCTCGCCTGGGACCCAACGCAGCATTATATCGTCGTAATCGCTATCGCCTGCATCTTGGGCTTTCAAAACATCCTCCGGGCCACTCATTCCCCGCAGGAATGCGCGTCGGTCGTCGTCGTTGGTGCTGAATTTCCAATACCCGTTTTGGAGATGAATTGGATCGCATTGTCTTGCGAAATGGTCGAACTTGCCGTCTGCGCCAAAAACCGGTCCGCGGTGTGCGCTGTAGTACTTCGTGTTGTTTGAAGGGGCAGGTGATGACATTGAAATAGCAGCTGAGATGTCGATCTTACGATCCGCGGTTTAGGGATCCTGGAGGTTGTCGACGCTGGTATGAGGGCGCGAATGAATTCGCCACCGATGTATGGAGTTTGATTGGCACCACGTAGAGGAGGCGCGAAGGTGAGATCGATGAGGTAATGCGCGGTGATGGCGCAGAAGTTGACTTCACTTCACCTGCCACTGAAGCCCATGCATCGTGACTGCTTCCATCTTGGTCGACTGTGCCACCATCGTTACACTTACATCAAGAGCGTGCTTGACCTTGGGTGAACTTGCGCGCGCAGAATCATCTGTATGCAGTTTGAGGCTCTGAGGCCACGATGCGAGAGAAAAAGCAGCTGATGGTGACTACTTACGCGGCGCATCATTTTAAGACATATAAATCATCTCTGGAACCCTCCTCACAGCGCTCGCGTACAATCTTGCGGAATCTCATCACTTTCGCAGAGCATGGTCAGGCGCGCAAGGTCAACTACTCGGTCATCATGGACCTCATATAAATTGAGGATGGGCAGGAGGGCCTTCCGTCGAATGTCAAGATTGTTGCTTTGCAACTCACGCGGTTGTTTACGGCAATATCTATGCTCTTCCACGGGGGCCTGTAGTGTATTAAGCTGGTATCTATGCTGTCCTTTGGGGAATTGGGGCTTCTCGATGTGACAAATTCTAGATGCTGGTGGTAGATTTCGTTATCAGCAACTGTCCATGCCCTCTTTGTTTGCTACACAAAATTGTCGTGTCGCTGCACATTTGTCAATCTTGTATTGTCAAACACAAGGGTAGCACAGACGATCGAAGAAAGTATTGAATGTGAATGATTATATTAGTCCATGGTTTGAAAGCAAATGTAGAGGCCGTCAACGAGATCGTGCGCCTATGATCGAGGATCACAACTGATGCCTGCGCCTTCATGATGCCAGAAATTCATGCCAGTGATGTGAGGAGCGAAAATTTGGAGACAGCTGACCAATTCATGCGCCTACTGCGCAGAAGCCCAGCCAATGCCAGAGCTTTCGTGATGCCAATAACCAAAACGCCAGTATTGATGCCATAGCCGCCAATCTTCGAGGCGCTGCTGATACTGAGAACTTTACGAATGTACGCCGTAACCACTCAGATGTCCTTTGATATCGTGATCGTGTCCTGTATCGTAACGAGCCCCTGTTATATTACGCCAGAACGCTAAAGTGAAAGTGTGTTAAGCTCAACGCTTCTTGGCCTGCACCTGCAGCGCCGCAGCCTTCTCGAGAGCCTCGCGCTGACGAACCGCACCGTGGTATTCCCTGACACCAACATGGGCGATCTTGTGCAAATCCTGAGTGGCTGGAGCTGGTGGTGAAGCGAAGTTGCGCCTAGTAGCAGGTGTGGGCGAGGGAGGAGTGCCGAAGGTCAGTTTGGTAGCAAGGATATCATCGTCTTCGGGTGTGGGGGGAGAGTAATGGATGGGCTTCGCAACGCGTACTTTGTGACCAGCGACTTTGGCTTGGATGCAGGGCAGAGCGGCGAGGTTCTTCTCGAGCTCCCTAGGGTCGAGGTTTCGAAGCATGGGCAGCATGATGCGAACCTTTTCTTGCGCATCGAGAGAATAGAAGTTGGAGGCAAGGAGCTCGTCGATGCTGCGGTGAGATGAGGTAAAGCTGGGTGACGGTGTGATGTTAGAAGTTGTAGAGGTGGTGCGCTGGTGTTGCGTCTTCTTCTTGGGTGGGGCCTTGGCCTTCTTGTTGACCCTATTGGCGGTGCTGGTAAGGGTCTTGGCTACGTGCCTTGGAGCCTGTTTTTGCACCTTTCGGTTGGTATTCATGTTGACTGGGTGTGCCATGGTGATGTCGGAGGGTGGAGTGGAGATATTGACTTGCTGAGATGTTCTGTAGACGGGGGCGGGGTTGTCGTCGAGGAATTGTTGGATGGACTCGAGATCCTCAGGTGAGATCGCGTGATCGTCTTTGATATTTACTGGAGGTGTGGAGGGTTGTGCGGTGAAGTCGTGTTGAGGTGAAGAAGGCTTTGGCGCCGTTGGTGGAGCCAATTCGACATAGGCAGTGCTGTACTCATCCTCAGTCACCTTTGGTGACCATAATGCCTCAATGGGCCCCGACGCCGTCATCATCTGCCCATTGGGCGGAGACACCTTGCTGCCGTCCAATTTCCGCTTGCGCGGGCTGCTGCTTGTCGAGCGCTCCGGCTGAAGATTCTCAGCCGCCAACACAGCCTTCAACTGCGCAACTTCATCTCGCGCAGCGTCCAGATGTGCGGCCGCCGAGAAGTCTTCAGCTGACTCTAGAGGGGCGGCGCGGTCGTCTTGAGAGGGACTGGCGTCAGCCAGTTCTGGTGCTGGTGCGGCGGGTGCTTCGTCGGTGGAAGCCGGAGGGTCGTCGGTGGAAGCCGGAGGGTCGTCGGTGCTCTCATCAAGCGCCAGGAAGTCATTGAAATTGATGGTATCGAGGCTATCAACAGGGTCAGGAGCGGAAAGCGAGAACCAACCGACTGCCTGATCCTGGAGGTTCTCGAGAGGCCCACGAAACGGAGAGGCGAGGCGAGGGGCGGCGAGGGGGTCTCTAGGGGGGGGAGGGAGGTGGGCAGCACCCTCAGTGACTTTGTTGAAGTCAAAAAGCAGGTGCAGATCGAGGTTGTCATCGCCAGCGACGAACTTGTAGTCTTTTGAAGGAGACATGATGAAGTAAATGGTAATGATTAAAAGTGTGTCGATGTAGAAAGGTTCAGAAGGGAATATAGAATCAAGCTTGAAGAGCACCTTGGCGACTTCAAATTCTCCAGAAACAGGAGGCTGGGAGCTCTTGACTAAGCCAGAGTCTATTCTCCTGTACTATCGTCGTATCGTAGGTCAGTGCATTCACCGTTTGGTGGAGCATACGCAGCAGTAGAGGCATCGCATTGGTCCAGTCTCCTCATCCATAATAATATAGGAAGAGGACATCGTCATGCGATAGCAACGGATAGCTCAAAAGACGCTCCAAAGCCTTCCATTCACCTCAAATTCGAGATCTGATTGGCTGTAACAACGAACCATAGACCAACAATAGTGGAGAAAATGGCGACAGCAAGGCGCAGTATCCCACAGCTGAGCTGCAGGGTCGCTTCGAAGAGGCTGGGTGGCCATAATCGCGGGGAAAGCGGTTACGTGATTAGGTGTAGGTGAAATCAGGTAGCGTCGCTGGATGTTGAAGTGCACTCTGCTTGAGCAGGGCGAGCTGAGGGAATTTTCTAAATTGGTAAAGAGAAAGAGAAGGTGTAGGAAATATATCTAGGCTGTTATACTACTATACTCTCACGCTTGCTGTTGCGTTCGAGGCAGAGGGAAGGCCCCTGAAGAGGAGGCAAACTCGGTGAACGGCAGCTAAAGAGACATCGAGCGCATCAAGCGCGTTCATTTATTATCTTGATATGTGATACAAACCAGACTGCAAAATTCTTGAATGTTATATTTCGTGGAGTAACATGTTAAAGCTACGGTTTGCAAAGACGTTAGAAATTCCTACTTTCGACAAGCGAACATTGCGTAATCGCAGAAATGCCAAACTTGCAGACTCGAGCGTGTCAACATCAGCCCCATCTACCATCCTTTTGCCAGTCTACTAGTCCACGTCTCGAGATGCTGGAAACTCCTACTTCTGGGAATCTTAAGGTGTACAAGTGATCCAGCAGCCAATTGTACGCCGCGTCCATGCCTGCACGTAATATTGTGTCTCTGTCGCCTTCCACCAAGAAACATCTCAACAAAATCCAGCTTGTTGTCAGAATCGACGCCTCCTACTTTTCCAGAGTCGTGTTGTTGTACTGTATGGAGGACGGTGTCTCGAAGACTTGAAAAGCCCCTCTGCTGGTGCTGTGACGCGGTCATGCTCAGCACAGTCTTCTCCAATTCGAGGCGACGATTATCGCTCGTCAATCGCACGATTGCGTCCGCTTGTGCTTGTAACGAGTACTTATGATTGAGATGTGCCTGGTAAGAATTGTCGGACATGGCCTTCCTCTCTTCAGCACAGGCTTTGCGGTTGGTTTCCGCTGCTTTTACCACTCCGCGTAACTTCAGCTGCATCTCATTCTTCGCAGCCTCGAATTGCTGGATAGTGTTGTCCTTGGTCATACTTCCCGCTTCTATCTCTCGAATCTTGCGATCCTTGTGCGCAAGCTCACTGGCAAGCGCTGCCACGCGGACATTCATGACATCCTTGCTTGCCCTTCCGGTTTGAGAGAACTCTCGCTCCTTCATACGAAGCTGTGTCTGTAGCTCTCCAATCTCGTCGTCTTTCTCTTCCAGCTTTTTCTGGTGCACGCCCTCCACGACCGACATCGCGACACGCTGGTTGTGCTTCAGCCGTGGCATCTCACTATCTTTCGCTTTGGCGCTGGCCTTCAGCTCTCGTTCGAGCTTACGGCATCGAATAACCAGATCTTGTCACCGTCTGTAGGCGTTATTGAATTTTTCAAAGTCTTCTCGACGCTGTCCAAGCCGGATCTCGTACTTCTGCTGTAGCCCCTGGTACTGTTCACCCTGTAGGTGCAGCTGACGCTGGTTCTGGACGAGTTGTGCGTGGAGTTTCTCGAGTTTAGCATCCTTGTGGGTGGACACCTCAGCGATCTCGAGGAGGTGCGTAATACTCTCACCATCGCTGTCAAAGATGGAGGTAGCATCCGTCTTAGCTGTGCCATCGGAATTCTCAGATTTCTAGTAGCCGGAGTCGGGGTCGATGTCTGATGAGATCTGCGTCGCACTCGAAGCCGTGGCGTCGTCGTCACTGGTCGCTAAGCATGCCGACGCTGTGCTGATATACCTGAGTGCCTCGATGGGAGACGCCGCAGCTGCGCGACGCGTGCACTGTATATGGACAAAATGCTCTGGGAGTTATATATTTGCTGGGGCGCGGTTCTTAGTTGCGTCCGATGCTCCTGTGGTCGTAAAGAGTGTGTCCAACATTACGGGCATATGGTGATTGTGTTGGTGTAGCTCCAAACAGGTGCAGGTTGAATCAAGAGCGGGTAGAGAATAGTGGAATATGCGATTATTATATCCACTTGTCTACGCTTCAAGGAAGTGAAGCTCGTGGTCGAGTGTTGTGACTTGCGTGGGTGGTTACGCTTCCTGCACACTTTCACTCGATCGCTGCAGTGGAGCCTGAGCAACTCGAGATGTCTTGGAGAGATGTACTCAGCTCGCACTCAAGATCTACGTGATTTTGATATACGACCTATCCTCCCATACTTTGGTCGGGCTGCGCTCAACCTGGATTCGACGGATCCCTGGGTGGCTACAGCCATTAAGCAGATGTCGATCATCCTTGATTCTGTCTATCACACTGTATAACCAACCAGAGAGATTTTATATATACGGGCTCAGTCAAAGTTTGGATATTTTCGGTGTCTCATTTGGCTGTATGAGGTAGTTAGCAGTGGGTGGCACCTTCAGGGTCTCAAATTGTTTGGTCGGTGTCAGATGGACCACAGACGGCACATGGCTATTCATTGAATCACAAGGTATTTTCTAAGAGCCTATGATATGGACTATACAAGAAATAGGTGCAGCCAGGATGCGTCAAGTGTCGAGGATATATAGTGTGCTGGTACTTGTTTATCAGCATGATAGGCCAGTTTTGTGCCGACAATCCTTCTTGATTGAGTAGCAAGTCGTTAAAATCCTTCAAGGGTCCCATATCATTTCATACGATGCTCTAAATTCAGCAAGCAATATGATCACGCGATTGGACTCATAGGCCGCACCCAAAACCAGCACTCGTGCCTAGAGTGACGGTGTCGGCTGTTACCCTCTACTATTGCCCGCACAGGGCATCTTCTCCTGCAGTATGCCAAACCAACTCGTGTTGTTCGTCAAGGTCTAAAGCATCCTTAGATTAGCAGTGAGGTGCTCCCAGACCTCCAAGACTTTCGTTTACACTTAGGGGTTGATGCTATAATGCTCTGCCGAGTAAGGCTCCAAGTAGTGTCTCCATTGTCCTTTGTTAGGGCAAAGGGTATGGGATTGGGAGAGAAAGCACCGTACCGAGTAGCTGCAATCAACCGTGGATTATCCTTGCCAGTCCTTAGGTAAAAAGTAGGAAAATGTCCTCGAGAGAATTCGCCTGGAAAGTTCCCAGCGTTCGCGCAAACAACAAGCACCATGCCTCGCGAGATGGTTTTGGAACGAGACATCACCGTTTGAGCCTGGATAAGAGGCAGCTGTTCTTGTGAAAGACCTCAATTGGTATTTTGTTTCTACACATATACATTGTCATGTCCCACGTCAGTACAGGCAGGAAGGTAGTCGGACCAAGGAACCGCAGAGGTAGTCTGCAGGCTGACGATACATGGTGGTATTCATTAGGACTATAGGTCATGCCACTATGCCTTCGCGCTGGAACTGTGTCTTCCAGTCAACCACACTCTCATCAACAGGTCCATATGTGGTTATGTGAGCTTCCGGATGGTCTCGCGTTCCGATTGCGGTACCCCGCGCTCCACCCTCCTGACTCTCTTCTCCAACTTCTCCACCGTGGCAAGTCCCGTTGCTTTGCCTGTCATATCGTCGACGTGATGAACCACTACGTGCCTCGTGATCTCCGCGCCGGCCTTGGCCCTCCAGCGGTACGTTCTTGTCTTGCGACGAATCTATCGCCAACTGTTCTTGCTGCGCGTCTGAACCGTCTCGATCAACTAGGTCGCGTAGTCTTCCGCCTGTCAGCGCATTCAGGCTATCACCGACTTTCGTGCCAGGTTGCACTGGCGTCTCACCGCCATTCAAACGCTGCAGCACTATATAGCCAATAAGGCCCCACACAAAAGCGATGCTGGCTGTACAGCTGCCGATGAAGACGATAGGGACAACGAGGAGGAGAGCGAAGCCGGTGGTGAAGAGGGTGAACACGAGGGCGGCGATGACACCGAGTAGCACAAAGGTGAAGAGAGAGACGATGAGAGTGGCAGCGGCGAAGACGAGGAACAGAAGGATAGGTAGGCCGGCGAGGGCAGTCTGAGCCGCGAGGAAGGACTGGTAGGGTCAGCACAGGTGGTGCTAAAGGTGATTATGGGCTTACGGCAATCTTAGGATTGCGCACAGAGAAGGCGCGCAGGCTCTCTAGAGCACGTTCGCGCTGCTCTGGCGGGAGGAGGCGGTTGGTGGTGTGCTCGATCCTGGCGCCGACGTTGCTGGCAACATCTTGGGCGGTGCGTACAACGACCGACATGCTCGGCTGGTTATCGTCTCAATGACTAGATACGTGTGGTGGCCCGTACAACGAGGCAAGAAGGGTGGAAAGGAATGGCTGTGGTGCAAGAGATGAATGTATTGAACTTTCACGTGGCTGCACGCAGATACATCAGAATGAGCACAACGCCGTTTCCCGACCAAACATGCCGTGCCTACCGTGCGCCGTCTTTGGGGGACGCGTTGATGTCACCGCGGAGGTCGCGAACGTCTAGTTGCTCTAACCCGTTACACGCTAGACCGTGCTCACCTGCCGCCTTCCACTAAACCAATCACAGCGATTCTGCCAATTCCAGGTCGAAAAAGTTGGAGCACGACGCCAACAACACCAATCGCCGCGCGCAACACACAAAACACAAAATGGCCGAGAAGAAGAGAAAGAGAAACGAGGAGAGTGCCGAGCGGCCCAGCAAGAAGACGGCAGTCGCGGCGCAGGGAAGCGTGAAAGTAGAGCTCCTGCAAGAGGAAGCGCTAGGCCCGCTGCTTGGTAAGTCGCATTGCGAGTTGAGCAGATGACATGTACTGATGAAGGTATAGCTGCGACACCAGGCCTTAAGCTCCCCTCGCGCATCAATTTCAAGCCGTACCAGCACACCAAGATCCTCCCAAAGTCCACTGTCACCTCACTTCTCCTCCAGTCCTCGGACCACGCCCGTCTCGACTACGCCGCACAGCAGGAGCAGGATGGCAGCGCAGGGAGTCAGCTTAAGGACTATGTCGGCGTTTTCGATCCAGAGACGAAAAAGCTGCAGATCGTGCCGGTCAAGAGGGTGACAGTTCGAAGCACATTGCGCAGTGAAACACAGGAGCTTCAAGAAGAGCAGGCTCGCCTGGAGGCAGCACAAGGCACCATGACCGCTAAGAGGCATGCGCTCGCCGCTGAGTTCGGTTCCAAGAAGTCAAGGAAGAGGATTGACGACATCACCATGAACTCCATCCGCAGCGGAGCACCAGAAGAGCAGCACAGGAACGAGGGCGTAGCAGAGAATGTCCTGACAAACATGGCCGAAAACACCTCCGCGATGCCCACCAAGGCCGAGCTCGCAGCAGCTCTCGATAGCTCCAAGCCGCGACCGACGCCAAATCTCGCCGCAGAGTTCCCTGGCGACGTTTACACATTCGATTCTGTGGTTGGAGGCGAGCTTATGGGCCTGATCCCAGTGAAGGACTGGATGGACGCTTCAGAAAAAGGCCAGGGTGTACAAGTGAACAGCAAATACGTCGCAAAGCGCATCTTGAAGCTCTGCAGAAACAAGCAGGTCCAGAAGCTAAAGGCTTTGCGTTTCGTTTTGCTTTGTATCAACTTCAACGCAGCATTGGCAGGCCAAGCTGGAAGATTCGCAAGGAAGATCCCGCCAAAGGGCAAGTTGGAGAGCCTGATGAACGAGGAGGACAACATTCCGCTCGTCAATGCCATCAGAAGGAAATTTGGCTCCGAGTAGGTACCTCGCGCTTGCCGGAATAAACTTTACTGACATGGGCAGAAACAACGATATGCCTCGCTGGAACATCGACAACCTGATGACCCACGTTGCAGCAGCAGCTCTCATCGTAGACGACTTCGAAGTGGATGTCAACGACCTCCGTGAGGATCTGAAGATCGAGAACAAGGAGTACGTGCTTCGCCACCGCAGCGAGGACCGGGAGAGCTGACAACTTCACAGGATCAAACAGTACTTCCACGAGCTAGGCTGCAGAGTCGTCCCACCTAACCAGACAGACATGACGAAGTTCAAGCTGACTAAGGCCGAGTCGAATAACCACCACATCGCAAAGCTGCGCCTGCCGCTGGCGTTCCCGAGGGTGAACATACCCACCAAGAAGAGGAGATGAAGACCACGCGAGGATACAAGCATCAAATAAGCATTGAGACTCCACGGAGCCTTGTATTTCCATCAACGTTTACATCTCTCAGTCTTCGTGTGGAGCTCAGCCAATCATGAAGTCCATGCCGTCACCCGTAGAGCACAACCCACGCCCGTCCCAAAGCGAACCACCCCAAACCCCATTCAGCCGTGGCAGACCCACGGATCTCACTTCGCAGCGTCCAGATACATCATCGAGACCCCATACTCGTCATGCGAAAATGCTCATTTGCGACTTAGCCCATATACTCATGATGACATCACCACAAACTACCACATCGTGACGCAGCCACATGATACCACAGCCGCAAAGACAGTATATAATATGAAATAGCTGCTTGAAGGAGAATTATCTCTATCATCACACATCGATACTTATGCCTAAGTCAACAGGACCGCTTCAAGACCAGATTTTGGGAGCCTCGCAAGCATCATCTACGCCCGGCATGACTGATTCCACCACTTCTGTCGCTGACAAGCTCGGCGCCAATAAGGCAACAAACGCCATTCCTCAGGAGGTGTGTTCTGATTTTTTAGAAAGGCAAAGCCGCGATGGAGCTGTGCATCGCCCTTCGTCGTTGTCGTCCATATGCTAACGTCATCTTCAGAACCCCTCAGTCCTCTCCTCTGCCGGCGCGATTGGCAAGCAATTTAACCCGGACGGCGCCATCGGTTCCATCGGCCAAGCTGTCGGCGGGCCCTTCAGTAAGGATGGTGTCATTGGCTCTCAGTTCGATGCGAGCAAGGACGGCATCGCGGGGCATGTTGAGCGAGCGGTTGACGGACCGAGTAATCCAGCGGGCAGTGGTAAGAAGGCATAGAGTATTGATCTGTCAGATTTTAGTCATAAATTGGCAAGGTCCACTAATTGAACGTTAAACTCGCATGCCTCCATCGCTATCTCTTGTGTGTTGCTGAGTAATGGTATGGTAAAGTGGCTTTGGGACGGTGATGTGATTAGCACCCGCCAACGAAAACAGGTTTCAATGTTGTTCGAAAGCTTTAAGTAAACGGAGGTCAATGGCGATGTGTTCACGAGCATAGAATTTCATGAATGTTTGACATGTTATATTGTGTTGTTATCGTAATGCTGCTCGTCCATCTTCCTGCAGAGTTGTCTTTCAAGCTTGGGTACCCTACCTAAGCAACAGGTATTCCACCTTCGCCTAGCTACCCCCCTCCAACGATGAGGGTATTTGGTAAGCTTACTCGCCTCCAAGACGACGACCGGGGCCCATGCTACCAAATTGCGCACCGGTGCTGCGTCCCGTGCTCGGCTGATTGGAGCCAGTCTCACGCCCTCGACCCTGCACAGCATGTCCATAGCCCCTGTTCTGAGCCGTGCCAGGCGTTGCACCGAACCAGCGTTTCACCGTCTGCGGTGTGAAGATGTAGTTCTTACCTCCACCGAAAGTCGGCCAAATACGGGTCAGGAAGTCGTACAAGTGGGCGGCGACGAGGCCGGCGATCTGGGTAAGCGCGGCAGTCTGACCGTCGATAACGAAGGTCATGAACAGCAGGGCGAATGGCAGGAACTTGGCATCGAAGTTCACGATGAAAAAGTTGACCTGGCGGGTAGGATTGTCTTGAGCGAACGTGTACGCGTATGCGAGCGAAAGCGCGGGGAGGAACGTGTATCCGTTGAAAATCACACCTGCGGTCGCCTTTCATCACCGTCAGCATCTCTTCTCTCAAGTAAACGCAAACATGTTGCTCGAGCGAAAAGAAGACGGTAGGTATGTAGGGAGCCAACACCGCCGAGCAGAATTGTGAATCTGCACAGCTTTCTCAAGTAGCTATCCCACCATGCCTACACACCGCAACAGCCCTTTAATATTTTGCGAATGACGGACAGTGCGATGTGGAGGGGTACTCTTCCTCGGTTCCAGGAACCACTTCAGCTATTGACTCAAGCTGTGTGGGCAGATAATCCGAGGTGATGCTCTGTTGCTAGAGATCTACAGAATGCAGTGCAAAGATGTGCGAGAGGCAAACACTTACGACTATGACCGAGCCAACGAACATAGTGTACACAAAGAAGTCGCCCGGCTGCGCAAATCGCGACGACTCGCGCTCGAGAGCACTGCCGTATTGGTACAGGAAGTATGGGTCTAGTAGAATTGCGAACTTCGGTTTCGTAATGAGGAACGCGGTGAAGACGCGCCAGACTTGCGGTACAATCTTGGTCGTGAAGACGAACTGACTCGCGAAGATGTACTGGTACAGGCTGATGATGCCGCCGTAGCCTAGCGCGGACACAACTACAGAGAGTGCCGTGATGGTCCTGTGCAGCTGTTAGCAAATGTTCTGTGGCGGCAGAGCTGGCAATGCTGTAGTGAAACTTACCTAGAGACCGGCGGCAGCGTCCAAAAGACATCCATTTTCAATCACGACTGTGAGCGAGTGTGGTGAGCGGTGGTGTCTGAGGAACAGCGAGTGCTGCCTGAAGAGAACAGTTTTAACCAAGCCGTGGCCTTTTGAAGCGCGCCGATTGCGTGGGGCTCATGACTAAGCTGCTAGCTTGAGCACTAGTTAGCTTTTTGTCGCTTGCTCTCCTCTTCCGCGTAGTAACCGCCTGCGGATGATTTAGTGTGAATAGTGTGAACATCTGATCTGGTCTTGAAACTCTAGGTACACTGGGTTTGTTGCGACCCAGTCATTTTTGCCAGCCGCCTATCGAATGTGCCATTCGTCTCTTGACTGCATACTGCATGGTCAATGGATTGACTGGCAGGCTTGTCTTCGATCGAAACGGACACGTGATATAAACGTGCATTGGCAATCTCCGAGGTTCCAAAATCTTCTGAGTCAAGCGGCGAGAGATGCAACTTTCTTGTGGCAACAGCGTTGCAATATGCGTCATCGCAGTAGCCGATGGTAAGCAATCCGTGTATGCTTGGGGGTTGGAGGCGCTGTTGCGTTGTAGCCGGAGGTGGTCTTCGGTGGATAGCTGGTGGCTTCATGGTGATCGACGTTCTCGCTCGATCTAGGGAGATAAAGACTGGTGTTAACTTATCGATGAAAGGCAAGACGTCCGTGTAGCTCATAGGGAGAAAGGTTTCTTGGGTGCGGTCGAAGAACTGATTAGTCGAGGATTTGCAGGAAAGTCGAGTAGCCCTCATCAACTCTCCACCACGGCGTCGAGAACCGGAAGATAGTGCAAAAGATTATATAGTGAACGCCTGACACCTTGCTAAAGAGGGGCGAAAATGCTAAAGCTGGCTACGTGTGCAACCTAGCGCTAAAGTGTGAAGTGTAAGTGTCACAAATCCTGAGCTCCAACCTTGTGCTCTTCTCCCTACTACATATACACCTTTCGCAGGTCTCTTCTCCACCATCACGGAGCTATGCCACGTAGTAGAGCTTCATCGCACAGAGGACCCTCTTCCGGCATACCGGGCAGTTCTGTACTTCCTTCGCACACTGCAAACAGGCCACCACGTGTCCGCAGTCGTAAAAAGCTGCATCTGCGGCATCTTCCCAGCAGATGCGGCAGAGACGCTCTTCCTCTTGTGCGTTTTTCCAGTGCGTTACACCCTCGCCAAACTTCTTGTCATTTTTCCAGCCACCAACGTAGGTATTGCCTGTCGCTGCTTCCACGAAAGTGCCGGAGCCGTGCTGCTGATTCTCGACCCAATCGCCATCGTAGATGTCACCGTTCTGGTAGGTGTAGAGTCCGTGACCGTGGCGCTGGTCGAGCTGAAAGCTTCCTTCGTAGGTAGCACCACTGTGGTAGAACATCTTTCCATGTCCGTGACGGTGGCCATTCTTGATCTCACCCCTATAGTATTCAGAAGAGAAGTAGTTGTATGTGAAGTAACCGTTGAGATGGAACGGGAAGTTGCGGGCAAAAGCACGGTAGGTGAGGAATGAGCGCAGGTCGGCGAAGGCAGCGCGAGCTGCGAGGGCGTTGCGCTGTTCACTCGTCTGTGGCATTGCAACTATGATGACCGAGGTGTTGTGCAAGTCGACTTGGAGGAAGGAACGACGGTTCTTAATGGATCGAAGGGTGTTAAGCTCCTCTTCTTCCCATATGTCAATCTTCTTCTTGTCCTCCATAGACAAGCCAAGGCAGGTGACGAGCGTCTCGTCTACCCTGGCAGACTTTTTGACAATGTATGTACCGCGTGCCTCAACAGCCTGCTTTTCGGGGTTGAAGAACTTCAGGAAGAAATAGATCTCATCAGCTGGAGGCTCAGGGCTGGGTGCACGATCTGCGGGCGGCGGTGGCGGTGGCATAAATTCTGTAAGTAGATCAGCCGGAGGAGGTGGTGGGGGCGGAAGATCATCGCGTGTACCGCCCATCTCCGTGTCGTCATGTACTGTTGGAGGCGTCTGAACTCGAATTTCAGTAGGTTCTGGCTCGTTGAGAACATCATCTCCTATTGCAGGGTTGCCTCCAGCTTCCACAAGGGGAATCGTAGTTGGTGTCTGAGGTCTCGACTGCACATACACTATTAGCTCCGGCTCCGGCCCCGGCTCGTCAAGTTCACTCATTGGTGTGTCTTCAGAACGTGCGATCTCCGCGGCATCTTCAACCTCAGGCGCAGCATCGGTCACGACGATGTTATCGTCCATCGATGCTGAAGGCTCCTCAACGGTCTCTTGAACCTTCTCTACTTCTTGAGGGAGTGCTGGAAGATCGGCAAGATCCACAAGGTGAGTCCACACACGGCGGCATGCGAAGTTCGACCGATCAAAGTCCCACCTCTTCAGCTCCAGGTACTGATCGTAACTGCCACTGGAGTACACTATCTTACCAGTGGTCGACAGGTGGGGGCGACCCTGGGAGCCTCGCAGCGGATCTAAGAACCAGAACTTGACTTGTCGAGGATCCTTAACGTCTTTGATAACTGACGCAATCTTACTGCGAATGTCATCGCAGTTGTCTTTGCGTGACAGCTGGACGGAGTGTACATACTTGACATCATTCGTAGACCACTTCGGGTCATAGGCCTCGAAAAAGCCAGGACCCTCGTGCTGAAGGAAGGCACGAGAATCGATGACCTGAAACTCAGCCATCTCTGGCGTTTCCTGACATTGCCTGTGCATAAATCGATCCGCGCTGTCGTCCACCACAGCAGGTTCACCAATTGGTGGCGGAGGTGGCAATGGATCCCGGATGCTTGAGCTTCTTGTCCTCTCTACATCAGCCTGAATCCACGGAGGTACCTCCCACGACTCAGAGTCGGCGCGCCCCATGAATGCAAAATCAGCCGTGTCGTCACGAACGTAGAGGGCGATATATGCTACAGGGTCGTTGCCTTCAAGCCTGCCAGAGCCGATTTTGCCCTCATGGGCATCAACAGCCTCCTTCTTGGTAAGACACTTAACATGATTTTCGTCTTTGCTGTCCGAGTAGCTATACCATCTGGATCCTGGTCCCTCTGGTCTAAGGATTGGCTGGTAAACGTACGACTGCAGGGTCTGTTTGTGGACCACAAATCCATACAGTGTGTACCGCACGCCTTTGACGCAAACATGATCGTCGAGAGAGACTTTGTTGAGCAGCTTCACGTACGACCGTGACTTGAGGTCGAACTCTTGTCGCTCGAGCTCGATTGTCAGCAGCCGAGGCAACTCCTGCGTAGTCGACACAAAATCAGTCGACTTGTCAATCGCATTTTGCATGCTGTCAACGCCGATAACTGGCACCCTGTAACTCGGACTACTAACGCTGTGGTTGCGCTTCGGTCCACAAATGGCGGCGAAAGTGGCTGCCTCCGGTGAATCCTGCAGCTCTTCCTCAAGCTTCGCACGCAACACCTCCAACGTTTCGATCACATCGAGCTTGTCGATACGTTCATGAATGCCGTACCATTCAAGAGCATCGAGCACATCGTCTAGTGCCACTGCACCAGCTCCAGGGTCTACTTGTGTCCGGAGCATGTAGAGAATCTTCTTCAAAGCGCTCAGAAGTGGCTTAGGATGTGCGAATGGCTCCTCTTCCGGATCGGGCGCGTGAGCGCTGTATATAAGCTTCCTGAAAGGTCTAAACAGAACCCATGATGCGATCGCTGAAATCATGTTCCCACCAGGAGCGCTGGCATCTTCACAAAGCATCAATCCTTGTAGACCAGTCATTGCGAAGCTGTCCCACGGGTTCTCTCGACTGTGGTGTTCCCATAGGCAATCGGTCTCATCTTCGATAATTCGAACGTAGCCAGTGAACGCAAGCTTATCGTCGCGAAGAAGAGCTTGGCGCTGACCCCTAAGGCGATGCGATATATCGTAGTACGGGCCATGGAAACGTGTCCACCCCCAGTCAGGCGAGCCGTTGCAGAAGCGATGCAATGCCGTCCTGGAGTAATTGACGCGGGGTTCGGTAGGGTTGTACATGACGACTGAGACTTGAGCTGCTACGCTCTTCCGTTTTGGCAGCTGTTTAGAGTCCAAGAGCGGCAAGGGTGTGTATTGATGTTCGGCGGCAGGCGTCTCCGCTGGAGGATCTGCTGTTGCACCCTCACTCGTCCCCTCCACAAACCTGTCTTTAGCCACCGAGTCCACACGGCCGCCTTTCTTCTTCGAAGAGGGGTCAATGACGCTGAGGCATTCGAGATACACGCTTAGATAGTCGGAGTCATTGCCTTTTGGATAGAACTTGATCTGCCACTGGTGACCGCCAATGGTGACAATGTCTGACTTCATGACGATCTCGCGGTTCGGTTGTTCTTGTGTTCCGTTGTAGCCATTGACGGTCCAATCGATCCGCCCGCTGACGCCCACCGTGTATTCTGGCTCGTCCACCGGCAGGAACGCACGACTTTCCCAGTACTCATGATCCAGAGCGCTGTGTTCTGTAGAAGCTTCGATCTCCTTCAGCTCGATCTCATCTGGTGAGGAGATGTCCTCTTGTATGGGGTGCCATGGGTGCAAGTCATCTTCATCGTCAGAGGACTCGGAATCCGATCGCGCGGGCTCGACAGGAGGCGGTGGAGGCGGTGGAGGATTAAAGTCTGGGTGGAAGAGAGGAGGAGGAGCGGTCGTGGGAGGGGCCCCAGTCTGCATTGCGTAGTAATTAGTCACTGACCGCAGCTCACTGTGATCGTCACTCACCGTATCATCTGCAGCAGCGGCAGAATCGGTCTGCACAGTGCTGTCCACCTCATATCTAGCAGCGCTATTTGACGTGCGCAAGCGCGACTGTGATGTAGAGTTATCGTGATGACCAGCTGAGCCGTCTGGTAGCACGAGCTGCTGGTCTGTGTCTGGGGTTGTATCCATGAAGTCTTCATCGAGAACTTCGACTTCAACGGCAACGGCGTCCGCAGAAGCCCGAACAGGCGGTGTGGACTCCGGCTCTGCTTCTACTTGTCCATTTGTCAGACCTTCTCCATCGTGCATCTCTGCATCTTCCCGGTCGTGTCGCTGGCCCGTAGGCGGCAGTGTCGCAGCTGAGGCGCTCATGTCTACGTCAGTCGCTGGTGATAAGGGTGGTGGAGACGACGACGCTGTTGCATGTTGGAGGTGAGTAGGTGAGTGTGGGGGATTAGAAAAGGTAGGTGAAGGTGGCTGCTGGAAGTGCAGCGGCTGCTCAACGCTAACGCTCATGGCTTGGATAAGGATTCTGTTGCATGTGTAACCTCGAAAGATCTTGTTGACGATTGCGGGCAAGTGCCGCCAAGTAGCAGGTAAATGTTTCGAGCTCTATAAGCACGCCAACATGTAGATGCAGATGTAGAGCCAGAACTCTTGTGATCGCGGAGCTGTTTGCCGGCAAGGCAGCTGTGTTAAGGTTACACAAGATAGCAAGAGCCGAGCGCAGATGGAGATACAGGGTACGAGAAAGGCTGAGGCAACAGAAGGCAACAGCACGATTTTCCGGTCATGAGCGTGGCTGCGCTTAAATCCTAGGCAGCTGTCGATGCTGTCGATGCTGTCAATGCACGTACAACAACGCGCTGGAGTGAGGCGGAAGCTAGCCGTGACCTCCGCGCGCCGTCGTGGCGCGGCCTCCTGCCCCTGCGCCTTCGGCTGGAGCCCTTCCACAGCTCATTACCTTGCCGGATCGCGATGCTGTGCAGCCTTGAGGCCATGAGTCAATGTCATGATGGACTCCATGAGGCCGCCTTCAGCTGAAGCTCTCCCACCCGGCTTATCGATTACTCCAAGCTCCAGCTCCAAGCTCCACAAATGCTAGGCTGACCGAACGGTGCTTTACTTTGTTGAGCCTAACAGGGAGCCGCGACCCACCGCGCCTTCCCTGCAGCTCCCGTTCTGCGGCTCTCGTCGCCTTGTTTATCACATTAAAGTCACCAGAAGGCAGAATCACACTGTCTAAGTATCGACTTCATGCTGATTTCATGGATTTGTATCGCAAGCATTCAGTCATGCGTCGTCCAAACCATCTACGAATTGCTACCCCTGCGTCTTCCGCACACTCGCGAATGTCGCAGCCACTATGAGTGGGAATACCACGGTGGCCTCTGCATAAACCTTCACGCTTTCGCCGTCCAGTTTGATCTTGCCCCAGCTGACGGCCTCGTCTGGACGCGCTCCCGCGTCACTGCCGTCGAACTCCTGGGCCGTGTTGACGTACACAGCGCTCTCAGCTCCATTGCGCATCAAGTTGGCGTTCGCGATGTGGTGCTTAACGATGCCTCCACCGAGCACAATCATGCCCGTCCTCTTCGCTCGCACTGCAATGGTGTTGATCTTGCGGATGTCCTCAACGATGTCGACTCGCAGGCATTCAGGTGACGCCTTGAATGTGTGGAAGTACAGCATGTCGCCAAGACTGCCATCGGTCAGAGCCGGACAGAACACAGGGATGTCGTTCTTCCATGCCCAGTAATAGACAGATCGCTCGTCGTTGATTTCTTTGCCCAGTCGGTGGATGATCTTGCTGGGCGTCCAGTGCATTGGCTCTTCCGTCTTCTTGCTCGCCTCCTGCTCCTCAAGTAACTTGTCGAGGATGGGTACGACCCAGTCCTCGAACGCACAATAGTTGCTGTTTGGGACGACAAGGTTACCTATTCTGTTCATGCCCTTGGCGCGCAGGCCGGCACCAGGGGTAGAGAACGCACCGAGATAGGTGGGTGCGAGGCATTTTATGAAGTCTTCTTCGACACCGCCGGCTGTTGTGACGATGGCAGAGACGTGTTTGTGTTGCACAAGGTACCGCAGTGTTTCCCGCAAGCCGGAAGAGATCAAGTTGGACGTGTAGCCTAGGAAGATGGTCGTGCTCTCATTGGTCTCCGGGTCCTTCCATGCGCGCTGTCACTTGTTAGCAAGAAACGCGAGGCGCATGAGAAGTGAGACGATGGTATCGCGGCGCTATTTCCGACCGCTAGTCCCCGCACTCAAAACGCTGCGTCTGCGAACAAAGACTCACCATGCCGTTTATGATCCGCACTGCCTCTCCGACAGATGTTGCCTGGAATCCCATGTTTAAGTATCCTCCGATGAGCTCCTCCACAGTAATACTGCGGTTTACATACTGGTTGAAGTCGATACCTTGGACTTCTCTCGCATCTGCAGGCACCGGCTCGGAGGGCTTCAAAACCGCATCGGTGGCGCTCGACGGGGCCGCAGCCTCGTTACCGGTTGACATGACGCTTTGTGTGGAGTCCCGCAATGCCTAGGTAGCTGAGAGTTGCTGTTGTGATTCTGGTCGCGCGTGCATTGGTGTGCGATGCTCTTTTTGGAGGCCCAGGGTGTTCAATCGGATTTTTGCGCGCCAGTGAGTCGTTAGACCCCACATCTCATCGGGCATGCAAGGCCGGCACCCTTCCACGTCCTTAGCGCGGTTGGACGATCTCATGGATCTATTGACACAGTGCTCTGGCGGTCCCTCAGCGTCTCTGAAACCAGACTCTGATATGTAGACTCATCTTGGTACACTCCCGCCGTATTCTCACGATACTCGCAGGCTTTTCCATGATGTGGAGGGGCTCCGCCTTGCATCGTGTCATCGTGTCTCCTTGAAGCTCGGCTCAGGGCACGACTCTGCATGACGGCTAGCGGGTACCAGTGTCTAGAAGCCCGACAAGGTGAGATGATGTATGATTGGTTCAGCATTTCAAGGTGAACAGTCCAAGCTTTGCTTCGATGTGTGGACCTTGCACCGTCGAGGCAGGGGTCCAGCGTCATGGCTGCGGGTGGATGCTTGGATCCTCGTTCGTGTTCTCTGGTGCCGTGTTCTTCAACACCCTTTACGACAACAGCCCTCTCGACGGCGCGATGCTGCCAGCGTCCACCTGCGCGCCATTTGGCTGAGAAACTTTGATTATTTTGCGTCCCGCCATTTCGCTACCCTCCCACGTGCCCTGGCCTACTCCCGCACATAGAGCGCGGCGCCACGTCTACGGGGTGAATTCCCATCTCTGTTCAGCCTGCACGTCGCTCAGAGAACCTGGCATACGCACCGATACGGCAGGTGCAGCTGTCAGAGCCTTACGTTAAGTGCCGACTGGTTGCTGACGCGATTGTCGAAGCCCGTTTACCCCAAAGGCGTGAAAAGCCAGCAGCAGCGGTTTGAACTCAGCTTTGCCGGCAGCACGCACAAGCCACAATCCCGGATTGCCAAGGCGCACGCGCCTTCGCGCCTTCTGGATCCCAGGAGCACGGACCCAAGGTCACGTTTCGACTGGCACACAACGAACCGTTCACCTTACGAGGTTCGGCCATCTGTTCGACTGCAACTCAATTGCGATCACCGTCGCAAACGCTGTTCTGCACAAACGCTGCACCTCTACCTCCGCATCCGCGACCACTCAGGCCCACGTACCACGTTTAGCAGTAACAGACCCTGGTTCGCACATACGTCCATGCCGCGGTCGTTGAAGTTCAACCCTAATATCTCAAGCTGCAACTATGTCCTCATATCGATACCCGGACAGCAACAGGAATGGACGAGACAGATCGCCACCATATCGAGACCGCAGGCCTTCCACTTTCGGCGGTGGATACCCACCAAGAGCCAACGACAGTGTGAGGCCTAATCAAGAACCCAACAACTTTCCGCCACGAGACCTTCCTCGAGGACCCAAGACGCTTTCTGATGCTCCACGCGGCCCTGCTCCTGCAGGTCCATCTGGAGCGCCGTCAACACCTCGTGATGGACGAGGGAGAGGCTTTCCTGGCAGGGGTGAGCCGACACCATTGCGAGATGCACCGCCGCTCAGCAGCGGACCTGCACCTCCAATGACGAACACACACAATTCCTGGAGAGCTGACCGCGACCGCGATCGCGACCGGGACTTCGATCGCGACCGAAGAGAAAGACGCCCAACCCCACCACCACGACGCTCGCCTATTCGCGACCTCCGAGATCCTCGAGACCAAAGAGACTTCCCACCACGTGATCTTGATGTTGGTCGAGCACGCCGAAACTCTCGGGATGGACCGCCCTCGGCAGGGTCTACATTCTCAGATCCTCCCGTTTTGGGCACCGGCTCTTCGTACCGTGGCAGTGGAATTGGACGAGGACGAGGTGGTAGGGATTTTGGTGGACGGGGCAGACCCTTTCACAACGACGATCGAGACCGACATCATGATCCCAGGGACCGCCCTCTAGACCGCTCGTACAGGCCGCGCAGCCGATCGCCCATACGGCGAGATCGAGATATGCGGGATGAACGAGAATTCGACAGGAGAGATCGAGATGATCGCAGATTCCCCAGGGAATACGATTCTTACATAGGACCTGCTGGCGCTGCCAAACCTGGCCCGAGAGCATTGGACGCCCATCGTGGCCCCGGAGCGCCTGACTCGCGCCACGTGCCAGGCACACCTACTGGGCAACCGCCACACTCTTCGCACCACGCACCTACGGCGGACCGGCTAGGCCCCCCAATGGACTCGTACTCTCGACGCTCGTCTGTTGCCATTGATTCATCAGCTGTCAAGGACTCCCGTCGAGATCCCGGTAAGGACGATCTTCTGCTAGCTAGCCGCGCAGAGGCGTCCAGAGAAAGGTATGCTCCACGTGCTTCGTCGCCACCCGCTGCAGTCCCGGCCTTTGGATCTAATGTCTGGAGGAACCCCACGCTTGATGTAAAGCCGAGCACAGCTGCAGCGCCACCTCCGAAATCTGTACAGGCCAGCACTCTAGTATCGGCCACACCCGCTCCTTCGGTGACAGCGCTTTCCTTAGCAAACTTGTCTGCCCCCATCACAGCGCCTGTCCCGGCTCCTTACTTAGCGCCAAACCCTGCTTCAGCTGTTATTCCTTCTCCGCCGCCTGCGCCTGCGTCTATCGCGCCTGTAGCGCCTCCAATCGTTGCACCACCCACACCTGCAGCACCTAGAATTACCGCGCCCTCTACTTTCGTTGCTCCACCTACAGGCCCCAAGGCAGACAGAGCACCCGACCGAGTTACATCCGAACGACCGCTCGTCGATGCGCCCACGCAAGAGAATCGACCGGCCCCCCCAAATGGCCCACTACGTATGGATCCACCGCCGAGTGTGCAGATGTCTGCCCCAGCCATGTCCAGTGTGCCCGAGATAGAGAGAACGGACAGCAAAGCGCCCGTCTCGCGACCTGTCAATGGACCTCAATACTCAGCACGCCAGGGACCTCCACCGTCAGCACCATCAGGCCCTGCGAAGTCTCCACCTCAAGGCCCTGCACCACGACCGCGACCACCTCCCACTGCGCCGCAGGCGGCTATGAGGGCTAACGTATCGCCGTCCTTCTCGAGGGCTCCCCTGTCTTCGTACGCACCAAGAGACGCATCTTCCAGCACCGCGCAGCCTCCACCCTTGGGACCCCGCAGTAGTAGTGGCGACGCCTCTATAAACACGTCTCCAAAAAGCCTGCCTGCCAATATACCGACTGGTCCCAAAGCTGATAGGGCGTCCATGGCAGCACGACCACTTCCACCCTACGCGCCATCTGAGCGACCTGGCTTCATCGCGCCAAGAGCACCCATGGGTAGCGGGCCGAAAAGCATGCAGTGGGTCCGACCAGGCCTCATTCCCAACCGATCGACTGTTCCCACCAAGCGAGAGCTACCTGTCGATGATCGCGAGCGGTCATTTGGGACAGTTCCCAAAGCTCCCAAGCTCGAATTCGGCAACACTGCTGCCAATATGCATCCACAACGTGCGCAGCAGGCACGGTTTGGCTCGCCGGTATTATTCCGTCCTCCTGGAGATTATGACAGGCCACGAGGGCGAGCTGCATCGGCAGAGCGATCTCTAGTCCCGTTGTTGAAACCCGGAGCGATTGAGACAAGGCGTCATTCTGACGTGGTCATGGCTGACGCACCTCCTCACCCTGTACAGCCACCTGTATCATTTGCACCTTCCGCACCGGATGCCTTGCAAGACTCTGACGAGGATCTTGATCTTGATGAGGATGACTTCGCTGAATCAGAAGCGAAGTACAACAAAGACAAGGCTGCCCTTGAAGCAAAGCTGATAGACCTTAGTGCACCCCATCTGCGTGCAACCACTCCACTACAAGAAATTATCTTGTTGTCGTCCCTGACTGCTGCTCACCTGCCTGTGCCATTTGAGGCAATCGGGCAAGAGACCCTCAAGAAAGAAGATGCACCTCGTCCTCAAGAGATTCGAGTAGCATCGCCTCTGCAACCTCGTGTCGCACATGATCCAGTAGCGCCTCTGACGCCTAGAGCAGAAGATACTGATGATAGTGGCATGGATAGGAGAGCTGACCGCTCGATCGCCCCTGCGACCGTTGCTTTACGTTTACGGCGTGAGGCTTCCAAGGAGCCGGAGGTGTTGTCTGACCTCAGTGGGCTGCCGTATCTTGGATCTGGTCCTCCCACACCACTCTCTGACATAGAGCAGGATCGCCCTGGCTTGGACGATTTCATCAAGTCTAACATGCTCAAATTATATCAGAAGACTGTTCGGCCTGAGCTAAACGAAGAAGAGACTTTGCAACAGTATGCTGTCAGGTACAAATTGTGGCGTCAGTCCATTCGGCAGTGGGATGAGGAGCGCGAACAGGACGAACAGGAACGCCAACCTTCAGCTGAACCTAGCCTGAAAGCCACAACGCCGGACGTGCAAAGCTCAACGATGGGTGCTTTACTCGATGTTTCAGGTCCAACTGGACGACGTAGCCACGCTAGTCGATGGGCAACGGAACTCGATCTGGAGGCGGTGATCAAGGAATCTCTCAAGACCGCTGAAGAGGAGAGGATGGGCAAGCAAGATCCCGAGCCAAGGAGAAGCATGTCCGACCCTGAGAAAGAAGCCGACCTACCCGTAGAGCTCAGCGAAGCAGAGGCTCAGCGTCGCAACTTCATTGATACCAATTTCCAGCGTGAGCCGGGACAAGGCATCTTTGCATTCCACTACGAACCACCAGAAGATGACTTCACCCCGGACGAGCACCGTGTCATGGTCGTAAACTACAGAGATCAGTACGCTAAGAAGTGGGGCAAGCTGGCAGAGATTCTCTACAAGGAATGTGGCACTGAGCGAACCTACAAAGACTGTATTAACCATTACTACGCCACAAAGTGGGCAAGAGAGTACAAGGGCAAGGTCCGAGGCAGGCGCGGGGGTGCGCGAAAACGCGGCGGAGGTGCTGCACGTGGCCGCGGAGCCATTGCAAACATGGAACGACCTGAGATCACAGGAGAAGACGGGCTTTCCGGTCCTGTCACGGAATCTGGACGACCTCGACGCTCAGCAGCGCCCACTTTTGGTGGTATGGAGGCTGATTTCGACCCAACTGCTGCGCTACCGACCGGCCGAGTTCGTCGGCAAATTGATGCAGACGGTAACCCAGAAAAGGCTAGTAGACGGAGCAAAGCCAACAAGGATAAGGGCAAGAAGGTTAAGATCCAGCCCCTTGCTGCAGCTCCTGTTGTATCTCCGGTCAAATTCGACCGCAAAGAGAAAGCGCCTGGTGTCAAAGCAGAGGATGAGTTTGGCAAGCGACCAGTTACCGAGATGCCCACTCCTATACACGTGACTCAACACGAGGATCCGATGAGTGATCCTGCGCTGTTAAATCTGCGGGGCAGCCATGTTGAGATCCCTTCGCTCTCCGGGAGCATACCTGTGGGTATGATGGATCGACAGAAGACTCAGCCAAACGCCAGACCTGGTCCTTCGAGCTACTGGTCAGTTTCTGAACTGCAAGACTTTGAGAAAAATGTGGCACACTTCGGTACGGACTGGATTGGATTCGCCAACCATATGGGTACGAAAACGCATATCATGATCAAGAACCAGTACTTGCGCATGGTAGAAGGCGGTAAATCAGAGCTTGAACAGGCGGCGAAAGACGCCGATGCGAGAAGGGAGCGTGGCGATGATTTAGGACCACCACCGACGCCCACTCCTGCCCCCAAGAGACGTTACGAGAGCACACAAAGCGTACTCCCACGTAGTCTTGCACCTGCCGAACAGAATCAGTCTCCTCTGATCAATCCCGTCAATTTACCCAGGAACTCGCCTCCTCCGGCAGCTCATCCCTCGAGATTCATATCACAGGCTGCCGCTCAAGGAAAGTCACTTGTGCCCTCTACATCTGGCTTTTCGCCGCTGCCAGAGACTGCTCTTGCATCGGTACCTTCGATGACGCACCACCAATCGCCGCCTGCGCCCTTGTCTCGGAATCAGCCGCAACATCCCCCTCAGCATGGCATGCCACAACACAGACCACATCACCAGCCACCTCGGGCAGGGTATTTTTCTGATGACGTACAGTCTCGTCTTGATAACCGCGTATCTTCGCAATCGTCCCATCACCACCCCTCAAGGTCTATGCAGTCGCACGGTGTACCGCAGATGCGTGCCCAAGAACAACACCCACAGCCTGGTTTCCGTGGGATGAGCCATCAAGAGCGTGAGAACTTGGTTAGGGCCGAGCTTCAGCAGGAACAGGAGCATCGCTACCAGCAGCACCAACACGCTCGACGGATCTCGCAAGAGATGCACCATCACCAAAGAGCATTCCCTCCAGGTGGACCACCGCCACTTATGCCGCCCGTGCGCTCCAACTCAATAGTGAGGTCGCCAGAGCACCGACCAATGTCATACTCGCACTCTCGTCAGGTCTCGCAAGCTCAGGCTATGACTCAGCCACCTTCCGATTTGATGTCTCAGGCGCACGGTATATTCTCTGGCGCTCAACCACTGCCATCGCGCTCTTCGATCTCCACTCCCCCAGTCAAAGAAGAGCCAAGGCACGCCCCGCCGTCCGCGATCCCACAAGCACAGCAAACGCCGATTCTTCAGTCTCAGCATCAGGCTCGTCCATCGTTCAACCAACTTCCTCCACAGAATGTGCCACCACCAAAGCCTGCTCAAGCGCCCAGGAAGTCCAATTTGTTGTCGTTGCTCAATGATCCCGAACCCGATGAACCCTCCCGGAAGAAGGCCGCAGACCAAGGTCCCCCCTCGCATAGTACAACGCCCTCGCAGCAGGCTCCTATCGCGCCTCCGCCGAGTTCCTCGCAGACATTAGCGCCGAGACGCGATGTGTATGGTGAACCTGCATCAACGCAGCCACCATATGGTCGATCTTCGTACGCACCGCAAAATTCAATGCCATCTTCAACGCACGGTAGGTCTATTGACTTGACCAATGAGCAGCCTCAAGGTAGCAGACATGGTTCTCGTGATGGCTGGCAGCAACGGCAGCAATTCCACCCTAGCCAAAGCCAGGCGCAGCAGCCAGTATCTCTACCAACATCTCACCCTGGCCTGCCCCAGCCTGCATATAGCGACTCCAGGCTATTCGGCAACCATCGCTCAGTCTTTGCTCAGCACAATGCGCCACGGCACAACCCTTCGCCGCCGCCCATGACTGCTTACAATAATTCGCCCCACTTGCACTCTCGTACGCCAAGTGTAAGTGGGGCGCCAGGACAGCCTCCACGTCCTGGCATGCCAGGTGCTGGACCAACTCAGCATGCGCAGGCAGGTTCGGCTGCGTCTAGTCAAATCCTGCAGCCAAACCCTTACGCACAAGTCGATCCTCCTGGAGCTGGTGCTCCACCATCAGGTCCGATGGGAATGCGACCGAGCCCACATCTGCGCACTAGCCATGTAGCACAGCAGAGGGATGTTCCGAGCCGCAACGACCACTCACAAGCTCAAAACACAGGTCTGACATTCTCGAACCCTCCGACACCGAACGAGCACCCAGCTCATCCCTCAATCCGAGGACCCGGCAGTATGACGGAGTCGTATCGTCCACGAGATCCCCGCGACCTCCATCATGATCTCGAATCGCGCAATTCGGATCGTGACACCAGCCGAGAGCTTTCCCAACGAACAGAGTATTTGCGAGAGCAGCTCGCGAACCCACATCTACGCTCGACCCCTGTACACGAAGACTTGCGCTATCAAACTCAACAGCCGAACCCCGGGTATCTGTCACAGCGCTCGCATACTCCACTATCAAGAAACGATGCAGGACAGCAGCCCCCTCCTCTCCAACACCCACCGCACTCTTCCTTAGGCACGAACAGCCACCCGCTTTACGGTCAACGCTTGTCAGAAGAGCCATCTCGGTTCTCTCAACCATTCCCCCGCGACCGAGGGATAGCAGATCGCATTCGTCAGGAGTCAGCACAGCAACAACAGGCGGCCCTCAACCGTGAGGAGCAGATGCGCAGGGAGGGTCAGATGCGCGACCAAGAAATGCGAGATCGGGAGCTTAGGGAGCGCGACGCACACTTTCGCGAGAACCTCATGAGAGGTAATCTTGGACCGTACGGAAGACCGGACCAGAGACAGCCGCCTACAGGACCTGGTGGACATATGGATTGGACCAGTGGTGTCAGCCGGCCACCGCAGCGCGACGGGTGGCAGCGATAGACGCACGACTTCGAATATGGCGTTTGGAGAATTTGGTCTGATCTGGAAGGACTGCATCTGTTTGCAAGCATACCGCAAACGAGGCGTTCAATCTCCTTTGTAGGATGACTAGATGACTTGATCATTCCTGGCGGCTTTGTGCATAACATCTTGTTCCGTTTGTCTGGCATGAGCGTTAGTTAGAGCGAGTGTGATCGTACTTGTATTATACCTTATTTTAACGAAATTAACATTCAATCACGTGTCAATTCCTCACGTATGTCGGACTGGCTGTGAGGAGAGAATAAATGGGGTTTGTGGCGTCCAGTAGAATGCAATGAACGATGCTTGCACTGCAATCTCTAGCGCACAAGGAACATCGTAAAGTGGCATGATTGGTACGCCAGCACAGCCGACGTTGTGTAATCGAAGCTAGAGGTTGGGCTCGAGGCAGACAAGGCTGACTTATTAACTCGAGACCCCCGCCGAATTGGTGCGTCAAAGTGCACCGCAATATCTAGCGTGAGAGAGATACTGCTGATCTGTGCAGCCACGCTGCCTGGTCACGGCACATGCAACTCAGGCTTTGCGAGCCTATCGAGCCCACACTCTATGAATGCGGTATTAATACACTACAATTCTGAGTGTGGAAACAGAGTCGCTGGCTCTAGATTCTCCACATACACGTTGTGGCACTGACAGGCTGCATACAGCAGACTGGAGCGTCCGCAGCTCTGCAGCAGCATACCCAGACAGTCTTTGACGCCGTCTATCAACGCCGAACAACGTTATCCAAATCGAGGTATTGAAAACTGTATCACAAAACTCAAAGCACAGAGAGTCCTACCATCGTGCCCCAGCTGGTGAAGTGCATTAATGCTCGTTCTTTGTTCAGAGAACTGGAGTCGGCGGCGAGTCCTTGTTTTCATTCACAAAGTTGCGACCTCCAATAGGAAGGCAACAATGAGTAAGGTTACAGTATGGGAGGCGGGCCGGCATGCCACTGCTATTTCTAGCTTCCAAGACATAGATGATGACCATTGATACAATCAACATTGCACACTCAAAGTAAAACCGAAGCCCTTGAACATACTCTGCTAACGCTCTCCCCTTCTTGCCTCGACAGTCACACACAAGCCACTTTGTTTCGTATGGTGAATGGACTCTCCTTGTGCTAAGTTTGGGATGTTATCTGGCGACTCAAGCTCTCCTACTATTGTAATTTCATGAAGTTCGGCAGGTCCAGCGACAGGCGAGTACATCTCAGATCTCATATTGTCTCCGGACATTTCCTGGGGGCCATGCTGGTTATGAGCCCATTTTTGCGGCGATTTGTGGCCGGCAGTACCCAAGAGCTGAGAGCTTCTGGAATACAACATCAGAACACAACAACAGATAGCAATACACTCGTTGATCGCAGTCTCCGACCGACACTGCTCACGTAGTTACATCTTGTGATGTTTGCTCAATTGATGGCCTTGATACGCTGGGCGCCAAAGGGGAATGCATGGCGGATATTGCGTACTTGGTTGGCCCTCACCAGCTGGCATGTTCTGACAGACGCATTCTGAGCAGAGTATGTGCCTACAGTCTGCGTAGTGGCGAAACTCTGAGCCGGTTCCGAGCAGAGGAAGAGTTTGACGGCAAGCAGAGCACGTTGCTTCTCTATCCTTACCTAACGACGCCTCGACTGCTTCTCTCTCGTCCAATAAGTGCAACTTGCGACGGTTCAAGAAAATGGCTATTGCCCGGTTCCGCGATTGCACAGGATCCACAGTTGAAGCTGGACTTGAAACATACTCAGCGTGCTGTTCTGTTCGAACATTTCGGCATGATTTCGAATTACACGAAACGTGATTTTGTTTGTCTGATCATACTGCAGTCTTTCCTCTACCGACATCGGAATGTTGCGAATGCGATTCTGTTGTTCTGGCAGATGAAGCAAGTCTTTCGTTCGGCGCAAACATATGGAGTCGAGAAGCATCGTGAAGCGAGTGATTGCAAGCTCTCTGCGTCTTCCTCCCTCATCAAATGGGAATACAATTGCTTTCTTGAAATTCGAGAGGTTGTGGAACAGCTTCAGCCTCAGAAAAGCTAGGAGAGATCCGATGTCCTCAAGACGATTCTGCAAAGGGGTTCCAGTGAGACACCATCGAGACCTTACATACCTCTATGTCTACAACGGTACTGTACAGGCTGGTATTCTGGCGGCGAATAATGTGGGCTGGATAATGATCAGCCATACGTCAACCGAGTAGCAGTCCATCATACCTTCATCGAGAATCAGTCGATACCATTCAATCTTGTTCAGCAGGTTCTTGCCACCTGTTGCATCTGAAGCGAGCGTATGATATGTCGTGATTATAATTGTTGCGGTGCAAGTCGGTCCGACAGGGCTTGATCGTCACCTCTGTTGACTACCTTGGACTAGCACGTCTCAGGGCATGTATATATGGTCGCCTCCTAGCTAGCAAGCAACTCAGCGCAGTTTCCATCCACTATAAAGCGGCTACGTCTGCCGCAACAATAATATCAGTTTCGCAAACCTGATCCAACGAGCACTCGCGACCAGAGTCGTGATATTTCACGCAGTGGAGTGCACGCTTCGTTTCCTCATCGACATGCCTGTTCAGTCAGCTAAATCGTCGCTTCCGATCTTTCACTGACGTGCCTGTCCCGTTCTTGGAACTACTCGTTGATCATGACTAGAGCAGACCGTCAGAGGGGCAGCACAATCGGCCGGCCACAGGGCTCTGGAAACATACGATCTGATGAAGCGACCACTGCGGTAGCTCTTGATCGTCTTCGAGCATATGCACCGTGGTGCTCAAAAAATCCAGCGGGCTCTGCATGGACTGACCATGAATGCGCGAAAGCGAGTGTCCGGAGAATGAGGGCCAGAACTGACGAAGTTTTACCCATGCCCATTTCGTCAGTCAGAATCCCGCCGCCTGTCTCTATTTGATATAATCTACCTACTCTCGGTCAGTTGAACCTTGAGCGTAAGATGGCGCACTTGCTGATCATGCCAGTGATAGAGTGTCGAAAGCTATTTTGATTAGAACTGTAGACATACACTTCAGATGACTCACCAGCTCTGGCCATCTAGCGTGTCGACTTTCCACAATAGATCGCTACCAGGAATCGGGCCATTCTCACGTTTGCTCATGAAGTCGAGTGCTCGCTTTTAGTGACTTTATATCGTCAGTACACAGTCGCACAAGTTCAATCACCCTGTTTAGCCATAGGACAGAAGAACTCGCGATAGTAGCTGTGTGTGCAGACGCCGATCGCCTTGTAGTGCTACTATATGTTTACTTCTAGTGAGCGCAGAATAAACACTGGTGACGGTCTCTTTGACAGCCTCATTTGTACTCTTCCCCGCAGCCAGCTCTGCGACATCCAGGGGAGCTGGGCACTCGAGGCTCTCATAATTACCAAGCTTGAGGACATGCGGATTATCGTATATGGCGCCATCCCGAATGCAGTCAGGAAGCTGGAGGTAGATCGTGCGCGAAGAAAGATCTCGGCTTGCAGCCCTCGAAGCCATACATGTCCCATATATATTGATCTAAACACGTGCTATGGCGTCTTCCTCTTTCGCAGCTTTGCTGATTGACTCCCGGACGGCTTGCATAGGTGCGAAAACCTCAAAGTCTAGCTTGTGTTGTTGCTGCATTATGCTATTCAGAGCTTCTTCCAGCTGCAGGTTCAACGAGCCTAATGCAGTGTCGTCTGGGAACAGAACGCGGTATTCGATCTCGTGCCTTGCAAGACTGAACTGTGAATGGCCAACGACGGCACTCACAGCCATCGCGTTAAGCTTATTGTCCAAGTCTAGCATTTTGCCGAGGAGCTTCATGGGCGTCCGGAAGACCTGGAGCTGATGGGTACGAAAGTCGAGCTTGCGGCTGGAACAATCTCTAAGGTTTACAGCCAAAATTGATTCCTATCGAACTTATAGTTCCATAACAGACCAGGTCATCTTGTGACGACGGTGTCGCCTCCACGACCTCAGGTAAGGTATGGCCTGTAAACCATTTCTCGACATCATGTTGTGTGGATTGGAATGATTCCAAGGTTGGATCTATGTTCGCTGCAAGATTTCCATCTAGCAAGGCAGGCGCTAGGATGTCACTGATGCATTGGTCCCAGACTTGGTGAGGAAGTACAGGATCAGGTCTTAGACCGGGTTAGCTGTGGATTTTGGAATTGTGAATAAGCACACGTACTTATCGAAGAAGCCTGAGTCATTCAGTTCGTCCCATCTCAGTTGCGGCGCGTGTATGGAGTACAACGCGATATCGTCATCGTTCAGCAGGTGTTTGAGTAACATCGCGCATGCGGGGCTTGACGCGTCTAAGGTAGGTATGTACCTATGTAGCGCCTCGGCTGCACAGGACGAACGCCTACGGATGAATACCTAGGACGATGTTTCTTCCAACAAAAAAGTGCATGACTTCCTTTGTATTCCGATCATCTTCGAATCCCTGCACAAGGTTGATCAAAGTATGGTCGAGCGTCAGGCTGTGCATACCTGCAGGGTATGAGGCTTTGCGGACGCCACTTGCTGTAGGGGTTCTCAGCCTTGCTCAGCCTGCTTCACTTCCCAGTTGCCTTCTTTTTGCCTGCTTGCCCCGCATGAGCTCTGTTGGCTGCCTGAGCTTTCAAATCTCTTTTGACTATTGTTATGCGACCTTGTCAAATGAATACTCTCTGGTTCGTCCAGCTTGCGAACAGGAAATTCGATCTAGTTAATCCCGGTCTCACTGCATTTCAGAGCTCCAGTCCGCGCCAAAATGGCGAACTCGACCTCTTCCCGACAGACCAGTCGGACTATAACAAATTCGACTCTGGTGGGTGCTCGATTGACTCTCTTACCTTCAGACGAGCCGCTGAAGGTAACGATCGATAAATTTCAGAAAGAAAATCTGAAGAAAGATCTCGCACAAATGAAGGGAACAACCTACGACAGCTTGTGTGATGCTGTTATGCAGATCCAACATGAGCAAGAGAGACGCAAAGACACGATGGACCTTGCCCGGATCCAGTCTTGCCTAGAGGCCATGCATCAATTCGGCAAAGTGGTTGAGATATTGCTTAATGTCTCGGGCGCTGTCGCATTTGCGTGGGGCCCAATGAAGCTTCTGCTCCTGGTAATCGCTTTGCAATCCCAACTGCATGAGACGTGGCTGACCGAGCAAGACTGCCAGCACGTTTTTCGACTCTTTCGAAGCTTTACTGAAAGCTTACGAACAAATCGGGGAGCAACTTCCTCTTCTCTTGGAGTAGGATGTTCTTTTTCGCACGAACCTACACCTGAAGGATGCCATAGTTAGGATGTACTTTGACATCTTAGAGTTCCGTAGCAGGCGCTCAGATTTTTCAGGGGAAATAGTAAGTGCGACGAATGGCTGCTGATTTTGTGAAACGGATTGGCTTGCAATGATCTAGTGTGGAAGAACTTCTTTCGTTCTGTGTGGAAAGATTTCGAGACCAAGTTCAGTGGCGTCTTACCGTAGACCGTCTTGGCCGACACACACAATACGTGGAATCGTGTGCTGGGATCGCTGAGATTCAATAGTCCAGGCGATATCTCCCCAACTTCAGACTCGAGAACGAGACTCTGCATGAGCGATCACATAGCAGCATCACTGGATTACAAGCGACAGGCTTAGCGCAGTTCCAGGATCTGCAGGCCGACATTGCTAGGGCGGAGACCACCAGTTTGAATTATCTCAAGACTCACGAGGCTAATATCGCCCTCTTAAACTCAGGCAATAAGGCAATGCATGGGAGTAGCTTTTAGGCCCCCACACGGGTCGTCCATTCTTTCGGGTTAGCGCGAGCTGTGCCTGACTGCAGCTTAACACAGGCTTGGGCTGAGTCCTGCTCAGCAACACCGATACAGTATATTTCATGCTAACGCCCTATCACACAATCATTTCCGCATTATCCTTTCCGTGGTACAATGTCTAGCCCTGGCCCTGGGAAGCACACATCCGATTTGTGGAAACAAGCCTATGAAGCACTCAACGATGACGACAAAGGTAGAGAAAGATTACAAAAGCTCAACGCCATAGTCAAGCAAGAACTCGGCAAATCGAAAATCAAACTACAATCCGACGACGGATATCGCGAGCTCCTTGGAATGATCCAGAGGAAGCCACGCAAGTTAGAGAGCAGGAAATCTACCGAGAAGATTGGGACCGTCTGCAGTAGCATGATGAAGATCGAGGACATCGTTGCAACTGGTGCCAATATAGGAGGGCGTTATGTCGCCATCCCGGCGGCGGCGTTGTTCTCTGCGTTTGCTGTAAGTTCGATATGCAATCGCACGTACGTCTCAATGCTAATTTGACGATAAGATGAACGAGATATACATGACCGAGAGAGCAGCCATATTCGAAGTTGCAGAGACCGTTGCAGGCTACGTTGTTCTGAACAAGAAAACCCAAGACTGGATGGCCGTTCGAACAACCGACGATGTCGACATGCGCGAGCTGAAGGAGAGCCTACAATCAGTCTTCATAAGCTTGTACAAAGCAATCTTCTTCGTATCGGTACACCTTATGCTGTCTTTTAACGGCGACTTCCAGTGGCTCAAGAACGTTGCAAAATACTGCGACTGGGCGGGCCAACTCGAGACGTTAAACAAACGACAACATCGCGTATCGTTGTTCATGCATTCGAAAGAGTGGCAGGAAGCCAGTAATCCGCCCATAAATAGAGCGCCACATAAGCGAGATGTGGAGAAAATCATGGGTCCTGGACCGCATAATCCACTCCATTGGGCAGCCGCACTCGGTGTTCCTGACCAAATCATATTTTTGGTAGTTACAGAAGAACGAGTACCCAATGAATGCGTTAATTAAGGCCGCAAAACTGGACAGCAGCGCACTTGGCTACAAAATAAGGGCACACGAAGATCCTGAAGACCCTGATAACGGTTTCCGGTATCGATCTCTTCATAAAAAATCGTGAAGCGCGTACACCGTTACACATCGCAGCGATCTACGATCGCAGGTGGGCCGCAAAAATTCTCCTCGACAGGAGCTCAAAGCTCCTCGGAACTCGGGACAAGTGGCATCGCACTGATTTTGTCATCGCAGCCGAAAAGGGTCATGTCGAGATTCTGAAGGCTTTGAAGCAATTTGGACAGGATACGAACGAGATGACCCTGAATCAAGGCTGGACAGCGCTACACTAGGCTGCCGAGAATGGACATCTCGAGACTGTAAAATGGCTTGCGGAGAATGGAACGAAGAAGTGGACTCAAGTCAGGGATGGTCCGCAAAAAGGGTTGACTGCAAAACAAGTAGCAGACTTAAAGGGCAGAGTTCGAGTCGTGGCAATATTATAATTTGCTTCCAACACAAGTCATTTCAAATCTTCGAACGATATCACTGTGAATCCTAGGATAGATCGTATTAATTTAAGATCCCCTACGGCTGTGCACTTTCTTTGGAAGGTACGAGAATCGAATACTGCCACAATGAGATCGGACAGTAAGTGGCCAGTAAGCGGCAGCACTCTTCTGCGCTAGAATTCGCAGTGAAGGGTCGAAATTATTATAGGTGGCGTCTAAATATCCCGAGTACGCTCATACACACATTTCGATTTCCCAGGAAAGCAGATACCATAACGCCCCAGCCTCTTGTCGAACTGTTACGGGAACATGCGAGCATGTGCTTATTACTTACGACGAATTCATTCGATAGAACCTGCCAGTACAAATTAGCAGCATTGTTTCACCAACGGGCCTTGTGACCGGATCGTCTCCATGGCATACACCATAGCATTCGCAACGCGTCGCAGAGGGGAGATTTCAGGTCAGTCTTTGTGATTTCTTCTCGTTACTTGACGGCAACTGGAAGTTTCTACGCTGAGTGTTCCACTCATGAAAACATTAAACCATGCCACTGGCCACCCATCCGGCAAAAACTCCACCAACCGCCATGCAACCGCCAATGTCCGCCGAATGGTCAAGTGTAAAGCATATACTGCAGCAATGTCGTCAAGACCTCTCGACTGACCCATCATGACCAACTCATTCGCCCACTCAACCGCCCTCAATCCTCCTCCTCCACCTCGGCAACACCGACTCCTTCGTCGTCACCCTGCTCGACCTTGACCTTCTTCTCCCCACCCCCTTGCTCTCTCTCAGCATACCTCTTGCGACCCGCAGACATCGTGAGTTCTTCATCAGCCTCGTCGCCCGCCTTTTTCGCAGCGCCCTTCTTGGCACGAGGAGTCTTGCCCTTAGGCGTAGCAGGCTCCTTCTTGGGCTTCGCAGCGCCCTTCTTGGGTGTCGAAGTTGGAGTGTCGCCGGAGCCGGTAGAAGAAGTTGTGTTCTTTTTCTTCCACGAGTAGAGGCGGTTCTCAATGGACTTGGGTGTGCACTCGGTGAAGCCTTCTGCAGGTGAGTTAGCGGCGGTACAGATATAGAAGCGGCCATGGGAGCCTGGAGTGGAGGCTTGAGGTACTTACCCACGCCTGTGGCGCGGACGCGCTCAGCGAGCTTATTGCAGAGTGCCTTGCCGAAGGAGATCTGGCATTCTTCGAAGACGCCGTGCAGCAGCTGCGAAGTGTCAGCGGATATCCTTGAAGAAAGGAAATGGACTTAAGATTGCGTCGAGCTCGGGAGTCCACTTCTTAGACATTGTTGTGATGGTTGCCTGTTTGCTGGAGCCTAGAGTCTGTCTGTATGTATCCTTGTCTCAATGCGCAAATGCAATCACACCTTAGTTTTGGTTTGGAAAAGAGAAATTCGGTGATGAAAGTTTGGTCGGGAGACGATTGTTGAGGATAAGATAAGGAGTAGTTGGGGCGGCGCGGAGAATGAGCCTTCTTATATCTCACGAAGACAAGGATTGATGAAGGTGAAGGTGAGTGCGGAGCGCTCACTGCTCAGATCCTGGCACCTCCTGCGACCGCCTCACGGTGATCATATTCCTTCTAGCGTAAGGGTCCGGGCCGAAAGTAGAAATTTAGATTCTCAACGATATCACAGGACTTTCAAGCTGTCGTAGCACTCTTAGTACGTCCTGGGTCTGGTTTATGCAAACACCTGGGTATTCCTAATCATTGGGGAACGTGCTCAGGGACATAGAAGGATCACAGTAATCATCATCTGGGCCAATTTACGCGGCCAGTATCGTGATGAGAATCTCGGGAAGAGCCTTCACCAGAAAAGTCACAATTACCAGTCTGCTAAGCACCTACAGGATCTAGTTGGTCGAGCACATGTCCGTCCGCGAGGTGTACTCTTAAGTGAGGCCTTGAAGTATGCATCGAGACGGCTATCTTTATCGAGCTAGTCACGAGGTCAATGTCCAATGTCTGAACACCTGAACAGTTCGGACTTCTAGATACCAATGAGCTCTGGAGCGCATCGATCAGATAGATGGTTTATCACCTGGTGTGCACACTGAAGTTGGAGAACTTTGTGCATCGTCGTGAGAGCTAGTAGTTGCTATAGAAAGAGCCAAATGCATCCACGGTATCTCCATCTATCTCCAGAGCTCCATCATCATCGCAAGTATCGACACGGTTCAAGACCGAAACAGTCGCAAACTTCGAAGACAAACAGGCAGCCAGCACTCCCTCACTACCTTCTCGCTACCATGTTCGAGCTCCAGAACTTCAGACTCCCCTTATGCAGAAGAAGCGCCATCGATAATCTCAAACGAAAGCGACATCCTCGTCTTCATCCTCAAGAGGGCCATCGGTCCCAGCAGTGTCAGCGACGCCCTCCTCTTCAACCAACTCCGCCTTGATCTTCTTATTCATGGGAGCGAAATCCTCATCCTCGTCGCCGGTGGTAGCATCAGACTCATGGTATGACTGCGGACAGGCGGATGCTCTGCCCCGCTTGCGACCAATGGAAGGTGAGACGATCGGCTCTTCCTCTTCACCGTCAGAAGTGGTATCATCATTGTCGAACTTCTTGCTGGGAATAGCCTTGGAACGACCGCGACCAGACGCAGGCGTGCGTGGAGTCCTGGGAGTGGCAGACTTCTTGATGGGAGTTGAGGCAGCGCTACCCGAGTTCACTGGCTTGCCAGACTTCCTGAGATTGGTGAGACGGTTGCTGACTGCCTTCAGTGTGCAGCCTAGAGGTGCTAAGTATACTGAAAACCTCAAACGCGCGATGAGCCTACCTTCCCCAATCTCATTTGCCAGAAATTCCAGGAATGGTTGTGAGTTCTTGATGTTGTGGAACTTGAAGATCCCCTTGAGAATCTGCGGAGGTAGTCAGGCTACTGTTATGTTTTGAGGCCGAGGAGAAAGCTCTTACTGTCCGGTCCTTCTCTGCGGTCCAGTTCACCATGATGGGGGCTTATTGCGTGAGCTGAATGCAACTTAGTGGAGATGCTCGTGTAGTAGCGTGAGAAGATTGCATACTTGTGCAGAGCTCTTGAGGCTTAACTATAGAAAGTTTGTGGACTGAATCTGACGCGGAAATGGAATGGGGATGGAGTTTGCTGCTAGCTGGGCAAGTGGGCGGGATTTATATTGGGGTTGGCGCAGGCTACCACTTGCGCGGTGAAGGTGAGAGACTGGCGCTCGGCTGGCACCTAACATGGGGCCGTCTTGGCTTCAGATTGCACTACTTGGTCTGAAAGCTGGCAGGAAAGGTGGGACGCGCCCTTATTGGCGCCAGTGCCGCAATTTGCTGCTGCGAACTGCGGGTTTGTCAGCGTATTCATTAGTTGAATGCATGCTAGTGTTGATGTGCCCTTACTTGAAGCCTAAGTGCAATCGGCAGTGCATCTGCTCAGGTTCTGGGACGTGCCAAACATCCAGACATATTCCATGTGGTCTTACGGAAGGCTCGCTCTGCATCTGCTGCGGTCCCAAAAGCCCACTGCCCGGCCACGACTATCACAATTGATGTTGAACAATTCTAGATGCAGTAACCTATGTAGAAGATGAATCAAACAGTGTGCAAGTAGATTTATCTTGATGCAAAAGATGAATGACAGAGGCGGACTGTGTGTCGATCAACAAGCTGACCTGCAGTATTCTGGCGGACGTTTTGATGTCAGTCTACATCAGCGAGGAGATCTTTAAGTATTTGGATAATTAGGACAGTAGACTTTCTGGGAGACAGATCAAGAGTTATGGTGAGTATTTAGGAAAGGCAACGTTGAGTGAGTTCCTCTAGCTTCTTGCTGCCCAGATGATGACAGTTGACGATATCTATGCTAAAGAATCTGGGAAGTAGTTACGAACGCGTGTAGAATGCAGCTGAAGGGGTGATGGGCAGAGACCGAGTAACGAATATATGGTCTTTGACACGGGATAACTGTGACTGTGCGGAAAAGACAGATAGCAAATAGTACGGTATCAACTCCGGACGTCTTGATGCAGGAGATGCACCAGCATGGAGGTCTCGAGGAGCCTGAATAACCTATTGAGTAAGGAGCGTGTTAAAGATGCTGGATGGCAAGAAGAGAAGGGGCAGAGGCGTACAGGACATACCTGTCGACAGCTAATGTGACACGTGTTTGAACAAAGAGAGAAATGCTGCTAAGAGTTCAAAAAATAGCCGCAGATATGCAAGCACGGCTTGACCGGATGATCAGTAATGGAAGTGAGAGGACCAAACATATATCTAAGCTGTCGTAATCCAGCTTGACCCCAGATTGTTGTCATATCCAAGCACAAAACTCCGAGCTCAAAAGTGACTGGTCACAGTCGCTGCCTATCTTCACCCAGCATACCTTCCTCTTCAATTAGTGTATCACCCCGCAATAGCTCAGTAGTCCTCTTCTCGTCAGCCTGTCTAACTCGCTCACGGCTCTCCATACGCTTGAGCTCGCCCATCCAGTCGTCTTCCTCCGGCTTCGGTGCAGTGTTGGCCAACAACTGCACAACACTTGATATCCTAAGGTGCTGGTTATGGCATACAGAATCGTGCATCGAAGTCTTGCTTATGACGCGCTTGTGAGAACTGGCCCTGCCCATCTTAAGCTGGTGATATTCGTGATCGAGCATCGTCGACCGAGTGTCCCTCAGAGTTGAGAGAGAAGCTGATGGTGAGTGCTTGTAGAACGGTGGTCTAGGGAGCGGCTTCAGTAATTTCGTGGATGTGGACGATCCTGACGATGAGGAGAAGCGACTGTGAGACGTCCTGGTCGGCGAGATGCGGGTGTTAATGCTGTCGACTGACACCTGCCGCATTGGGAAATGTGGTTCCATGGAGCTGCTCAGTCCGCTGCGAGTATGTGGAAGACGATGCGGAGTAGGCGATCGCTGTCGTTCCGCACGCATGACTTCCATCTTCTTTAACTCCTGCGCCCAGTGATCCAGCTCTGAGAGGTCAGGCCCACGGTGTCTGAACTCTCGGTCTTCTGGGCTCAGCTCGCTGGTGGTAGCTTCGTCGCCTGCCTCTGTCACGACATGAAGGTCTGATCGTGGGTAGAGTGAGGAGGTATGCATGTTGCTGTTGGAGACAGTCGACCCACTCAGGCTCTCAAACCAGCGATTTTCCTCGGATGGACTCATACTCGATCGTTGGTGAAATCGGAATTCCCGGGTCCTTTTTGAGCTAGCACTTTGGTGGGTGCTTGACCGTGAACGCATCGAAGTGAACTCGCTGTTGGACAACTCGTCCACCATAGATGCGAGTGTGCCAGGGCTTATGCTCGTACTCAAGTCGTTCTCGATTCTGCGCAAGAAGTTTCCGTAGCTATATCCTTCGTCATGGTCTTCGTCAACATCACTACTAGAGCTCGAGTCATCGCCTTCAAGCTCTGCACATCGTTCTGCGTCGTCTAATATCTTCACTGCCCAAGCAGCTTTTACTGCCTCGGGTTTGATGGCCAAGTGTTCGCTCTGACGTTGCTTGCGGTGATGTTGAAGGATCGCTCGCTGCTCATCTAGAATCGAGATGGCTGTAGCAATGGACTGTGGTCGGTGTTCCACGTGCTCATCAGTATCCAAGACCTGTGAACTTGTCGTGACGGTTAAGTGGTTCATCCATTCGTTTTGTTCCTCCAATTCGGTTTCATCGTTGATGCAAAAGCGGCTTATTACTTCTGCTTCAGAGAGAGCGCGGCCCTGCAGCCTGTCTGGTAGGTCCTTGACTATGAAGTCCTTCAACTTGACACGGTGGGAGTCCATTGTCACAAGGGCAGCCTGTAGCGTGTCTTTGGGCTTGATCATCGTCGCTGGAATGAAGTCGATGTTGCCGGAGGCGCGCGCCTTGAATCGGGCTAGGCAGTGGCGACGTGCCAGAGCATCAATATCTTTTTTGATCGTATCGTAAATCTCACGAGTCTCTACGTCTCTTGGTAGTGCAGGAGATGCAGGTTCAATGTATATCACTGTAACGGGTGTTGACACTTGAATATGCGCACCTGGTGGTGCAGGCTTAGGCCGTAGCCAATTGCTGAAGGAGTTGGCTGACGGTCTTGGCGACAGAGGCGTCACTGGACCTGGTGTTATGATGTCCCAACGCAACCTTCGCGGGGTAAGAGATGGCAGCATGCGTCTTAATGGAAGCGAAACCGTCGCAGTCTTTTGGCGCACAAGCTCTTGCCGTGTTGTCGTCAGTGTAAGAGGAGCTTGAGGTACCGCCGGTAACGAAGCTGCAGTCATGGCGCGGGGTCGCTCACCAGCGGGTACGAATGTGTCTCTGAGGAGCCAAGCGTCTTCTTCACTGGGAATGTTATCGTCTTCGCGACGGGGGTCGTCATCGTGAGGAGATGATCGAACGTTGTCCATCTTGCTTGCGGCCTCGATGGCGGCCACGACAGGCTTCCATTTCTCTGCTGCGAACTTCTTTTTCCAAGCCATGGCAACCTCTAACGCCTTCTCTCGTTGATCGTCGTCCGTGATGTACTTAAGCGCATGGCGCACGTGGGACTTTTCGAGGAAGCCATCTGGCAGCTGTAGTGTCGATTTTGGCGGAAGTTTGGGCAACTCAGCTTCGCTAGGTACCATGCTGTGTACCATCAGTCCCATTCCTGGATCCATGTTAAAAACGTGCAAAGTAGAGACGCGGTGTCGGTGGGTAATCGAGGCAGTTTGTGGAGAGGGCAGTAGAAGCGATGGCCGTGATGTAGCAATCTACCATTAGGTGAAGGTGAAAATGAATCAGCCACAAAGCCTCTTAGCGGGAGCTTCTGCGTTTGCACCACTCGCTCTCACAATGTCTTTCACCAAATCTTCAAGTAGTATGGGGCATGGATCACAACAAAGGAATTTCAAACCTAGAACGGAGGGCTTCAAAGAGAGTGGAACATGACGATGGCGACGGGTAAAATTGGGACGTCGATGAGATTTTGAGAAGACTTCTAGATGGTTGATATGGTATCCAACTCCGCTGATGCAAATGCATGTCTATTCCAGGAAAGTGAAAAGGTTGGTGTGGACGACATTGAGTGCACGGTCAGCCTCGCGCTCCTCAATGACGCAGGAAATGTTGATCTCGCTAGCACCTAGAAACACTGTTAGTGTGGGGATGGCATACGCGACGTAGTAGTACAGACCCTGCGAGATCATCTCGATGTTGATGTTGTTGTTACCGAGTACGCTGAAGAATTTGCCAGATATACCGATCATGTTCTTGAGTTGCTTGCCAACCAAGCTCACGATAGCCATGTCAGGCACAATATCTATAGCGCCTAGTTCGCCTAGATCGTTCACGGCGCCCTGGAGGTCCTTGTCTTGGATCTTATACTCATCCTCGCCGCCGCCGCTCAACAAGGCGGACTCAGAGTGCAGGGCCATGGAAACGTGGACCTCTGAAGAAGAGATGAGGTCTACAGACAAGTGCCAACGATCCAGAATGCTGAAGATGTTCATCAAGAAGCCGTGAGCACGAGTGCGCTTGTTGCTGTGAACGTTCAGAACAACGATGTTGTGCTTGATGGTGACAGCAGTAGGACGCTTAGGGGTATCGAGGGTGCTCAAAAGGCTGGAGGAGCGCGTGCGGAAAAGACAATCCCTGAGAGGAGAGTGGGACCCCAGCGCCTTCAAGTTGTCAGGGAAAATGATGGTGCCAGCGCCACGGGGATTCATGACGTTCTTGATGCGAATGGGAATGCGCGCGCGAATGACCTGCTCCATGGTGAAGGGATGAATGACCTCAGAGCCGTAGAAGGTTAATTCAGCAGCCTCAGAGGGCGTGACGCTGGGCAGCAGAGCAGCAGTGGGGACTTTGCGAGGGTCGGCGGTGAAGATGCCATCCACCTCCTTCCAGATCTGCAGTTCCCTAGCCTTAACACCAACTGCAACCAGCGCAGCACAGAGGTCGGTGTACCCACGTCCGATGGAGTTCAAGAGACCACCTGGTACATTTCCAAAGAAGCCAGTGATAACTGGAACCTTGTCACCACACGCCTCGACCTCTCTGGCCAGCGCTGCAGCCAGGTCTGTGTAGAATTGCTCGTTCAGGCCCTTCTTCGGAGTGTGAAAGGTGATGATATCGGCGAGGTCGACAAATTGGGCAGGAGTACCACAGTTGTTGAGCAGCGCAGCCATGTAGCGGCAGCTAAGCTTCTCGCCCTTCGCAATGATCTTGTCCTCGACGCGGTTGGTGACTTCCTCCAAGTGCTGCGCCGACTCCAGGATCTTGGTGAGGCTCTCGCATTCGGCGTTGACCTCGTCGGTGAAGGCAGCGAGGACGTCGGCGCTCTGAATGGTGTCCTTCGCAGCCTGGATGTGGTCAACGCGGATGGCCTCGACAATGTCATCGTAGCCGCGGTGGCCCTGCTCCTCGGCGGCGCGGGCGGTACGGAGGAGGCGGTTGGTGGTGCCTTCGGTCTTGTTCTTGGTGCTGCGCGCAGAACAGACGATAGCGGTGCGGTTGGTCTGGTTGCCAGCCCTGTTGGCCGTGTTAGACCTCGGTCAGCGGTCTTGGTGGGGGAGGGTGCCCTTACTTGACAATGCCCGCTATATTCTCCGCAAACTTTCCAACACTCGTTCCTCCAAACTTGAGGACAACCCAGCCGCCCGGCAGGTGCTTCTCCTCGGTATGGTTCGCTATCCGCTCAACCTCGCTCCTGTGACCATTGGTGATGCCAGACATGTTGGTCGCGTGCGTGTTTTCTTGTATTCCAGAAGAGAGAATCGAATTGTGGTGTATGTAGTTATCAGGCAGGAAGTTGCTGTATGCAGCAATTGGATGCGTTAGTATCGTGAGTGAGGTATGCGCGACTTTCTAGTGATGTGAGATCTGAGTCTTGGTGGGGCCTGACTCTTCTTTCTCCGGCGTCGGTGCTAAACACGCCGCCAGCGAACTTCTGGTTAAGTGCCGCCCGTTCAATTGTCGGCAGAAGAAAATTCACGAACTATGGTTTGCGGAAGGCCAGCCCTGCTCAGCCTTTAGTAACACTGTTTGATCACCTTCCCTGTCTCGAGCCACGTCGCAACACTTCTGACAGCGTGGCACCTCACTGTCACTCTGTGCTGTGCTGATGCTACCAGTCGAACGTTGGCTTGTGATGACGGGCCGTCGCCGAAGCGCCGAAGCTTTGATTACCCACCGCCTACGGGCGGGACCTTGGCACCTTGCATCTCGTCTGCTTGTGCCATTGTTGCAGAACGACAAGGACCATGAGCGAAACATACAACATACTCCTCAGTCTGAACGATTATACTTGATTATTTCGCAGATTAGCTCAGTAAAGGGGCCTCCGCCCGTTCATCATACCGGTGTCTCAGGCGCCAAAAGCCTCAGCTACGATATCCGCCGCGGTCATTGTCAGCTTTCTCGTGCTGGAGTCTCTACTCAACGACATAATCAAAAAGCACACGCCAAAGGAAAGTCGTCGTGAAACGGGTAAGAATAAGCACGCGCAAGCGTAAGGGCCGCAAAATTCCATGATTGAAAAACCCCCTGTTCACGTCACGTGACGAGCATCATAGTAGAGTACCCCATCTGCGCACCGCCGTGGGTATACCGTAGAAACTCGCTGGAGTCGGGAAACACTAGCAAGGGTAGCTCCAGCTTGCCGAGGGGCGCGTATGAATATCAACTCACTCACGGAATCACAGTTCAACTGCAAGAACCAAACTGACTTTGGCCATGCACTGCAATCTTAGCGTAGCAGAGCAGACTTTGTGTCCACGGCAGGACATTTATTGGACAGTGGTACAGTCGGCGAGCCTTACCATTCCGTACCCACCGTAAACGGGTCCTGCATCACTTACCTCACATCGACTGGGGTGAAGATCCTTCCATCCTCGATGCGTCTAGGTAAGCCGCGGTAGAAAGTTTTGGTCAAGAGAAGTATATTCGGGCCAGGGAGAAGTTTATGCGGGAGGGATCAAGGCGGCCAACTACAAAAGGCACTGCCCCTTGAGGTCGCACACCTATGATGGGCACATTCGCACAACTTCATCACACCGAAGGCTAGCGCAAATGTTGCACCACACCATTAGCGCGAAGTAAAGACGAATTAGAAAAAGGTGAAGAGTTCCACTAACGTGGTTGTCGCCGCAGGTCCGGAAGCCGTCGAAGATGAGCATTCTTAGCTCGAAAATCGCAGGTTCTCCTAGAAGTGTATTGCGATCTTTTGCATCTAGAAGATGCTTTGTAGCTGCTTTGGCTTGCATAAGCGCTGACAAGCCCAGCATACCGGAGTCGAAGAGATCGCGCTCGACTCTTTAAGTACGAGACTGGGTTTGGATTGTTGTTGACTAGCCTTGTGCACTGCAATCTTTAGCGTAGGACAATGGATGGCGTGTGGGAAAGCTCAACCTGACCAACTCGCGAGGTTGCGCGTGGTCGAGCAGTTCTTCAAGACTACAGTGGGGAACGCGGAATCAAGACGCATTCAAGTCTGGATTAATCGCGTGACAGCTTCCACCTGCACTTTTCATACTTGGTTGAGATTCCTTAGATACTATACTGTAAGAGGCTTCTCAAGCGAAGTGTAGTTGTGATTCTGAACTGTGGTGTCTTGCAAACTATCATCCTTCCGAGGTTTGAAAACGACTGGTATGAGAACGACTGGTGCCGTTGCATTCTCTTGTTTGTAGAACGGCGTGGAGAAATAACGCGAGGACGGCTGTCGGTGCCACGTTCGAAGCCAACCTATCCTTCGACCTAAACCTGCAGTGCAAGCTCACCCCAAACGGTGGCGCATGCACAGCGCCAAAATGCCTATTCGAGCCGACCAAAGCCAACAGGGATCGCTTCCACGTAAAAGGATGAGCTACACCGGCAATGGTCAGATGCTACGGTCTACCCACGATGCACAGACCGCCTAGCGGCCAGATAACTAAGATTGTGTGGCGGCAGACAGCCGCTGTGTGTATTGATGGAAACTGCGCTGAGTTGCTTGCTAGCTAGGAGGCGACCATATATACATGCCCTGAGACGTGCTAGTCCAAGGTAGTCAACAGAGGTGACGATCAACCCAACACTACGAAGTCTAATTTCAGAAGTGCAATGCATTCGTTAACATTGAAGAGAAGACCAGTATCACGTTACCGATCTGCCCAAGGCTGCATGGATCAATACGTATAAAATTATCCTATTGCTAGCAGAGCATTCTCGCACCACAACGCCATGCAATGCTCAAAACCCACAAAACGCCATATCTAAGGTATCGATGCGTCCCTCATACAGAATCTCAGACGCCACGCCATACTGCATATACTCATAAGAAAAGCCGCTTGCCTACCACCAAAGCCCCACAAGAGAGTAGCCCTACCGTCTCCTGTAAATATCATCATTCCTGCCTCTGTTGTCGCGCCCGTCTCTATCGTTCCTATCGTTCCGGCGATCCGGACTACGTGATCGCGTCTTCCCGTCTCTCCTATCGCGGGCGAAGCTTCTAGCGTCACCCTGCCGGCGGTCGTCGCGGTAGGGGCGCCGCTCGTCTGTGTGCCCATCTCGTGAGTTGCCTGAGTCGCGGGATCCGCGTCTTTGTTGGCGGTCGTCTGGTTCGCGTGAGCCGCGTGGACGATCGCCGCCTTGGTAGCTGGGTATGTATGTGTCTCCTGGCGGGGGCTGGTTTCGTCTTCGGTCGCCAATGTCAGGGCCATAACGGGGAGGTAGAGGGAGTGGGTGTCGACCCTCGCCAGGTGGAGGGGGCAGGTGTCCACCATTGCCCCAGTTTGGCCTTCGACCGCCACCCTCTGGCGGGGGAGGTGGAGGTCGTCCGTGGTCATAACGTTGTGGGCCACGATCGCGATCATTGTGCCCTCCTCTTGACGATCGATCAACGCCTGGGGGCCCGCGATCTTGAGGGCCACCATACCGCCGGTCACCGTTGCCCCAGGAATTTGGTGGTGGGCCAGAGCCAGTCCATTCACCACTCGGCCCAATACCCACCGTGCCACCTGCGGGTGCTGGTGGCAGTGCCTGCTTCTGCCCTCGAGCATTGCGGCGATCGAGTTCGTGGGAGTCGGCGAACGTGGGAATATCTTCCTCGCGCATAGGCTTAGGGTTCTCTCTGAAGTAGGGATGTTCAATTGCGTCAATAGCGTTGATACGTTTCCGCCAGTCAAGTCTCATGAGGTCTTTGAGCAGCGACAGGCCCGTGGGCGAAAGCTCACGGAATCTTTGCGCTATCGAACCTGTATTTGGTGCGAATTGGCGTATGGGTTCAGCGCCAGGAAGCTCCTGCCAGCCGGGCATGCTCTGGTCGTTGGGAGAGCCAACAAGCTCAAAGATAATCTGCGCTTGGTGGAGGTCGCTCTGTCCAGCGAGGATAGGCTTGCGCTTGAACATCTCGCCGAACACGCACCCCGCGCCCCACAAGTCGATCGCGGGGGTGTACCTCCGCAGTTGGAGAAGGAGCTCTGGAGGTCGGTACCATCGTGTGACGACGAGTGCTGTGTAGTCTCTCCGTGCTTCGCCGTTGCCCTTTCCCTTTATTGGTACCGGCTCATCGTAGTGTCTTGCGAGACCGAAATCTGCGATCTGAAGTCGCCCACGGTTGTTGATGAGCAGGTTGGCAGCCTTCATGTCTCGGTGCAGGATGTGGTTGTCATGCAGGTAGCGCAAGCCCTTGAACAACTGCAGCATGTAGCACTTGATCTGCGCTTCCTGGAACTTGACGTCTGGATTGTCGAGGAGACCGGACAGATCGTGGTCCATGTACGGCGTGACCATGTACAGAATCGCTCTTTTGCGACCCTCAGCTCGCGGTCGCTCGACGGCCATCTCTTCCAGCTTCAAGACGTTCTCATGAGACAGCATCTTCAAAAGCTTGATCTCTCGCAGCGCTGTGATAGGGAAGCCGTCCTTCTCGTTGTGCATCAGGATCTTCTTCAACGCGAAAACGCTGCCCGTTCGCATCTGACGCGCTTTATGGACTTCACCAAAAGTTCCCTCTCCCAGCTTCTGCAGCATCTCATACTCGCCAATCTTGGCGCATCCGTTGAACTTGCGCTGCAGGCCATTTTGCGGTGTTCTGGTCGCCGGAGTCGCCATTTTAACGGCAGATGGGTTGTGTGTTGTGGTTATCGTGGCGCGTTGTACTTTGTCCACGGACTCGTTTCGCTACTAGGCCCGGCGCGAATCAATCGAAGGGTCGAATGCACGCGATGCGGCGGACATGGAAAGTTATGACAGTGGTTTGAGGCGCGATGCAGAGGTGGACGCTGCCATGGAACGTTCGAACGGGGCGATGACGGTGTTATTGTGGTGGCAGCATAATAGCAGCGGTTTAGTTGAGATGTGGAACAGGAACGGGATTGATGGGCGAATGCGCAACTGGCCTTGGCATCTCGCCGCGCTAGCTCCGATCGCCTTCAACCTCACCTCGACCACCAGCGAACACTACGAGCCATTGCACAGCACACGCCGCAGGTATGCCTCCGCTGCCACGTCAGTTGTCCCTGGAGTATCGCTGACGTTCTCCAAGCTCAAACACAACCATGCAGCCCACACTCCGCAGGATGGGTCCGCCCAAGTACGCGGAGATGCCGAACCACCCCATCAAGATCCACCCCGTCCGCCCGCTCTACAGATTCGTAGCTACAGGTCTCGGCGCCTCCATGTGGTTCTTCGTACGTTAGAAAGCCCGCACTGGTTCCGCCTGCGCTAACCGAGGCAGTTGATGTACCGCGCGAAGAAGGACGGCCCGGCCCTGCTCGGCTGGAAGCATCCCTGGGACCACTGAACGAATCTACGAGGGGGGGCGGAAGAAACCGAAATTGGCATAGGAAATTCGAAGCGCGAATCGGCAGCATTGTACATATGCAAGTGGCAGACTACAGATGTGCGGGATGACGCACAATGTCCCAGCAGGAGAATGAAAAGTAGAACACATCACAAAGAAAGCCCTACTCCATTACGAAGCCAGGGTTATTATGCGGTCGCTATAACAACACCGCCAAAATTGCTGACCACCGTCAATTAGTGACATTTGATTGGCTGAGCAGAGTCAATCACTATAGACTGGAGATTCTCTCGCAGTTTGATTCATACGTGCATAGCTATGAAGGATTTCTTTGTAATGCCTGCCACTTTTCATACTCCGCTACTTCGTCTACTCCGGCTTTTCGAACAGGTAGTGACTAACACCCCATGTATCACCCCCCTCCCACTTGAACAACTCTGCACAGGCCAGATAGAATACCTGCCACCTATTCCACCACGTCGTTACACCCTCCTCTCCGTAGGTCTCCTTCAAGCCCTCCTTAATGGCCTTCTCATTGCTCAACATCGTCGTCAACCAGTCCTCACACGTCTTCCCATAATGCATGCCATTAACCCACCATTGCCTCTTCACCCTCAGCTCATCCTGGAAAAACAACAGCAGATCCGCGCTTGGCATTGTGCCTCCAGTGAAGAAATGCTCCGTCATCCACCCTCCGTCAAAGTCATACGGCGTCGTCTTGTGCGCAAAAATATGCACAAATAGCTTACCACCGGGCTTCAGCGCGCGGCTGACTTTCGCAGTGAGTAAGGCGTAGTTCTTCATGTGCTCGAACAGCTCGATGGAGACTACGCGGTCGAAAGAAGCAGGCTCGAATTCATAGTCGACCACGTCGCCGGTGATGACGGTCAGGTTCTTGAAGCCTTTTGATGTGGCGACGCTGTCGATGTGCTGTTTCTGCGTGCGGGAGTTGGAGAACGCTGTGATTTTGCTGTTTGGGAACATTTCGGCGAAGTAGAGGGATGCTGAACCCCATCCGCATCTGCGATTCGTAAGTATGCTAACAGTCACGTGGGCACAAGTTTGGGTTTGAGAGCCAAGGATGTAGAGACGTACCCGAGATCAAGAATTCGCTGTCCGTCTTTCAGTTCCGCTCTTTCCACGTATTTTTTCAACATCGCGATTTCAGCCTGGGCAAGCGTTTCCCCGCCCTTTTCGTAAAGACATGCTGAGTACTTCATCCGCGCTCCCAGCATACCTTTCAGCACTGACGTGCCGACTTCGTAATGCTGCTCATTTGCGGTTGCTGTTTCAATGGCAATGGGCCTTGTTCGCAGAAGCTCCACGTACTTCATCTTAGACTCATAGCCGGCTTCCAGAGAGGTTGTTGCGATGGTGTTCAAGCGATCTGCTAGCTGGGCCCGGATACCACGGCGGATGACAAAGTGAGGGAGATAACCATTGTCTAGAAGCGGGTTGATGACTGCGTCGGACATCACATAGTCTGTCTACAGGTCAACGTCTGTGTCTTCGTCTCGAGTCTGGTAAGGCGCATGTACCCGAGATGTAAGAGGTCATCTTGATGGATATAGGGAACGCGCCCAGATATGCAGTAGCAGTGGAGGTAGTCAGACAGAGGAGAGTTCTTAACTTGAGCGCCTACGGGTCAGATACCGTGACTTCCAGGCCAAGTGGTTGAGATTGATAGCTTCGCGTCCGAAGTAGTGCGCTGTTTGCGGCTTAGTCTAGATCGATGACGTCGACACACGCTACATTGAGCGTTGCAGCTCAGCATCAAGATTGGGGCAGAATAATCATTGTCAAGTGCACTTGAAATTAATGTGCTGAATTTACAAATGTTGTAGACGTTAGAGCACCAGCAAATGAACGAGAAAGTATTGGCCAATGGAAGGCCTGACTGCGTGGATGATCTGCGCACGACGTTCGTTGGCTGCATGTGTAGCGAGTACAAGGTCCAGCCCTGAGTGTTTAGCCTCTGTTAATAATAGTGTTACAAGAAGAAGATGGTGGAAACATGCGTAGTGACGGGCGCGGGTCTAGTCCTCCTCCCAGTCCGGCAGGCAAGTGCACCCTCTGGTTTTCAAGTGCATCACGCCTGTCCGACTGGCCTCCACAAGCCACGAAGCCCATTCGATCTCATGCTCCACTGCGCGGCGGCTCTCGCCTGTCTCTACCCGCTCCTCTTTGTTCCGTTGCAGGAAGTCTCTGAGGCGGCTTGCGCACTGCACGACAGATGGTATGGAACTCTCCCGGCCGCTGATTCTCTTTTCAAGGTCAATATATACCATCCGTTCTAGTCTACCTACCAGAGAGGAGTATACGTCACCGCTTTCATCCCATCTGAACAGCATCTTCGCCCGCTGTTTCAATCGCACTGTGTCTTCTCTTGTGGCTTTTGTGCACTGGAGGGTACGCTGGGGCTTGGCTATGTGAAAAGAGCCGACATCTCGCACCACAACGATGTCGTCGAAGGAGCTGTCCTGGTCGAACAGCGCCTCGCATGGCGTAGTCTGCTCCTTAGTATCTGGGTCCCAGTCGCACTCCGTGTCCGGATAGTCGTCCGAGTCGTACCACAAGGGCTCTGAGTAGCTGAAGCCGTACCCTTCGCGCTTCTTGGTATTCATAGGATGCGAGAAGACAGACGGATCAGGTGCTCTCGGCTCTTGGTTGAGTTCTGAGGATAAGTCCGAGGGAGTTTCTGTGTAGTCATGCTTGAGCGGCCCAGTAAAATTATTTTGTTCAGTCGTAACAAGCATTTCAGAAAAGCTTCTGTTCAAGACCTTGTCCTCTTTGCCAGGTCTTCTAGGGGTAAGTCGCTTGGTTGGCGACTCAATTGGAGACAACATGGGCTGGAAAGGTCGTTTATCTTCACGATCCGAAGGTCGCCCTCTTGTTCGACCCCGCTTCAGGGGACCTTGGGTGTTTTTTTGTTGAGAGCTGAACGAGAACCGCAAGCTGACATCCTGGCGCTTTGGATGTCGCTCTGCTTTTGGAGTGACGACGGATAGTTTCTTGCTGGATCTTTGCTTTCTTGGTGTCGATGGTTGACGACTTGTAGACTTCTGCACTCTATTCGACGTGGGTGCGGGCTTCAGCTGCAGCTGGGGAGGTAGAGCTGCGACTCCGGTCTTGCCTTGTAGTTTATCGGCTTTTCTGGCAGACACAACAGAGTGCGCAGATCTCTGTGACGTTTCCTGACTTGAAGGCTCCGGTGTTGGAAATGCGCCCGGTATCGATAAGCGTTTCTTTGGTTTGGCTACTCGCCGCTTTGCCGGTGTTTGGCACGGCTGTGGCGCATCAGTATCGTGCGACAAATGATGGCGCAACGCGCCTATTGCAATTTCGCGTGCGCTGAAATACTTACAGAATCGCACATGGCGTCGGCTTTCCTTTTCTGCTTCACTAGAGTCGTCATAGCTGTTCAAGTACCTTTAAAAGTCATGTGGGTGGGGAGCGGTGGCTGGTAATGTGGGGGTGCGCGTCTCAGAGTAGCGTGGGATTCTCGTGTTGTCGCGTTCCCATGATCTGCTTCTGTTTACAACAATAACAACAAAAGAGACTACTGGTGTCTATAGATCTCCGTACTCCACCAACATGCGTTTCTTGGAACTCCGTACAACATTTGTGATTGGACGTGATCCGTACTTATCCCTGCTGGCAGGTAGGGGAAACAACGATCAGATTGAAGAGGGACATCGATATGCTTGTAAATTGCGCATATTTGCTGCTGTGATTGTTCAGCAATTGCTGTGGCATCGTCTCGCGGGTATGAGCCGCTAATGCCTTGTTGAACGCCGTTCGCCTGAGGTGTCTGCAATCCTTCACTTCTTGCCATTCCCTATGAGCTCTACGCCGGTCCGGACAACACCGATGGCGGCGCCAGTCTGTATTGCTTCGCTTCCTCCTCCGCTAAGCCTGTACTCGATATCTGCTAGGCCCGACATCCAAGTAACCATGACCTGAGGAGGAACGTCGTTCTTGACAAGCTCTTCACTCACTGCTATCAGAATGTCGGCTAGTGCCAATCCCTTCGAGGTCTTCAAGTTATTAACGGTACGCAGGCACTGGGTCATGTCGCTTGTTGAGAGTAGTGTCTCGATGATAAACTTGATATCCGAGGGGTGTGGTGCCGCGATGCAGTCGTAGATGGTGGTCTGCGTAATCTGGTCTCGCACAATGGTGCTTGGGTCCACTGCGGGCTTCCCAGGCTCTTGTAGAGGAGTGCTGGACGCATGGCAAGCTTGCAGGACATTCAGAGCTCGTCTCATATCACCTTTACTAAGTGTGACGAGTGATTCTGTAGCGTCTTGTGTGATGTTGACCTTCTCCTCCTCGACAACCTTATCCACCAGATTCCTGATATCTCGCTCCTTCAGTGGTGAGAAGCGAAAGCGAGTGCATCGCGACAGGAGCGCCGGCGAGAGCTTGTGTGTGTAGTTTGCAATTATGCAGAATCGTGTGTTGGCTGTGTACTTTTCCATGATACGTCGTAGGGCCATCTGCGCTGTCGAAGTCATAGCATCGGCCTCGTCCAGGATGATCAGCTTGAAGGTTGGAAGCGATGCATGCCCGGCCTTTGGTGCAGCCGAGAAGATCTGCTTCGTACTACTGAAAGTCTTGATTTGCTCTCGTACAACGTCGATGCCTCTGTCGTCTGATGCATTCAGCTCCAAAACCATCTGCCTCATGTTCTTGTTGCCGTAGATTCGTCGGGCGAGGGCGAGTACGGTCGACGTCTTTCCAGTTCCTGGTGGACCGTAGAGAAGTAGATGTGGTAGTCTGTTCGTGTCGACGAATTTATTGATGGTTGCGATGATGTCTTGGTGCCCTTCTACATCGGCGAGCGAGTTTGGTCGATACTTTTCCACCCTGGGCTGCCGTCAGTCGCAAGACTCTTGTTGAAGGCTTTTATACTGACCATGGTAGCGAATCTTCAGCTTCTACAGGCAGATTGGCCGCACTCCTCTTGCCCTTTTTGGCGTCTCCACCAAAGCTGATTGAGGTGTCTGCAACTGGTGCATCAATATCCATTTCATCCTCAATATCCGACATGATGGCGGAAGAATCAATTGGGGTATTGTAGGAACGGTGCAGGACGACCAAAGACGAATTATGTTAGCATCCTTCATGCGAGGCGCGCGAAGTCTCACGGCAATGACGACGCGCTAGGTGACGCGACGCGTTAAGTGCTCAGGTCGAGGCTGCGACCTGGGTCTGCTTAGTAAACCCTGATCCCCGCGGTCCTCAGCCCTACGGCACACCGTACATCATTGAGCTGCGCCATCACAGCCAACTGAACCCCACGAAAGCTCCACACACCACAACGTCGCCGGCTGCATACACTAAAGATGCCCGTAAGTGCTGCGAATACTTCTGCGACTCTGTTCAAAATAACATCGCTACCAATTGCACACCGTAGCTGACCCCGCCAGGCCTACCACTCTGTCTTCCTCGAGGAGCCCAACCAGCAGCTCATTGGTACCACACCCTCCGCCAGCTATACTTGCTCACAAGCTCACCGATATGTCAGGCAACTTCGCCCTCCTTCCACTTCGCACACGGACTCGCGGACCCGCACAACAGCTGCCTGCCCTGCCCGCGGACGTCACAGAGCTTACCATCGATGCATCACACGAATCTTACGACCCTCTCGATGAGATCCTCGCCCTTTTTCGCGCAAACACATTCTTCCGCAACTTCGAGATCAAGGGTCCCGCCGACCGCGTCATGATCTATGGCATCCTGTATGTGAGCGAGGTACTGGGCAAGATCAAGCCAGGCATGGGTCGGAGGGAAGCCGAGAAGGTGCGTTTGGGAAACCCACATCAGCAGAAACGGGTGCTTACGTGATATACAGGCGGTCATGAACCTCTCACTCGACACCAACTTCGCGATTCCAGGCGATGCCGGATTTCCCTTGAATCAGGCTTTCGAGGCACCCCCAGACAGGAACTCTGCGGAGGTACTGCGACAGTACATCATGCAAATGCGTCAAGAGCTGGCCTCAAGATTATTGAACAGAGTATACGCCGACGAGACGGGTGCGCCGAGCAAGTGGTGGCTGAGCTACACAAAGAGGAAGTTCATGGGCAAGGCGTTGTAGGGACAAGCAGGAAAAGACTGCAAGGACAGTCAAGTCAGTAGCATGTTAGTGTGACGCATGTCGAATCCTGCAGGATCTGTGAGGCCACTTGAAAGAAGCAGGAAATCTAGCAAATCAACCCAAGTCAAATGCAAAGCTCCCAATTGAAGAATGTAAGGGTATCAGGATTCAGCCTAGGCTTCTGCGGGTGTCTCCGCAGCGCTCGTTTCAGCAGGCGTCTCAACCACCGTCTTCCTCTTCTTCCTCGTCCCGTGCCCTCTCGCCTCCACCCGGCCTTCGACCGGTATGACTCTTGTCGCGGTGAACAGATAGCCTTCAGCACCACCCTTGCTCGTCATCATAGGATGCGTCCGCTCTGGCAGCACTTGCCATTGCCTAGCGCGCGCCGTCTGCAAACTTGGCGCAAGCAGTAGTGTAGGGTTGACCGGGAAGTCCTCCTCGTCTTCCGCAACACCATTTTCCACCTCAAGTGCCCTCTTTCCGTTGTGCCCTTGCTCGCCAAACTCCTTGGCAATGAAGGCTGCGCGGCGCTCTTTGCTGTAGCAGTCCACCAGCTCGACGAGAGGCTCGACGTTCTGGTGGTATACGACGACCTTCCCGCCTCCTCTGACCAGTGGCACGAGCTCCCTCAGCACGCCCTTGACGTCCATACTCGTCGCGACAACCAGACCGTCAAAGCCACCTCTCTTCGTTTCATCAACAACGCGCTTTGTCTTCTCCCACCGCCGCCTCTTCTTGTAGTAGTTGCCCCGTTTGCTGGATTTCATGCTTTCGAGCTCCGTTGCCGAGAGCTGCTCTGGCTCAATGTACGACGGGTCATCTTCTGGCGCGATGAGCGAGAGCCAGGATAGTGATTTCAGGTGCCTGTACAGCGGGTGCGTGGGAGCGGGTTGCCCGACGTCGTAGCCGAAGAATTTGAGGCAGGCGAGGTTGGGTTGGCTGTTGGGATGCAAGATGGTGAGGGTGTTTGTGTAGGCGGACATTTGCGGAATGTGTGGTCGTGGGGCCTTTCGAGGGCGGTTGGATGGATCTGTGGGGTTGGAGGGGTCGGCGGACTGGTCGGCATCGGTCATGACGGTGTCCGTGGAGGGTTGTTGCTCGTTCGAGGGAGTTTCTGTGGGTTTTTCGTCGTCGTCTGATGTGTCGTCCGATTCTTCGGTAGGGTAAAGGAGGCCCATCTTCTCGGCGAGTGCTGCGACGACGAGACCGCCGGTGTCGTCGACTACGAGCCAGCGACCGCCGCCAATCTGGCTTATGCCGTCTTCCGCTTTCAGGAGGCGGCTTGTGGCACCGCAGTGGATGTTTGACCAGCTGGAAATCAGGCCGAGCGATTCCTCTCGCAGCTCCATGATCCTGTACGCCTCTTTCTCCAGTATGTGCTCCGCTAATCGCCCAACGTCCAGTGGCAGCGCTGTGAATCTTCTCAAGAACTTGCGCGACTTCCGGAGCGTGTACTTCGCCAGCGAGAAAGCTGTCTTCTCACTGATGGCCTGATGCGACGCCATAATCTTCGCAATGATCTCTTTTCCTGACCCCGTGCCGGCCTTCTTCAGCTCTTCAATCTCTTCCATAGTAAGTGTCTGCCGTGTCGCATCATCGACTGTGAGACGGTTGTTGCGCATAATGACCTCGCCGTCTGCCCCCACAATGTCGAACCCAGCGCCACCCTCGGCATTCTCGTCCGCTTCCTCTCCCACGGGTTGAGGCGCATGAGCGTCTCCTACAGCTTCTGCGTGAAGCTCTGCTGCCGGTACAACGCGCAGCTCGGCGTTCTTCTTCCCGTCATCTTTGTCGAGAAGCTCGTATGTGTTGTAGTACGGTCGGCCGAGTAGCAGGTTCGAGTTGAAGGTTCCGAATTTGCCCAGGAAAATATTCCTGTGCAAGCTTTAGCAAGCGTGCCTGAGGTCTGGGGCGAAAGTGGAGGGCTCACTCCGGCTATGCAACGTACGTGTTGGGTTTGAGCTCGACGATCTTCAAGATGCCCGACGGCAGGCGCAACGCGACGTGCGTATGGGGCCGAATGTGGGAATGCATGTTCCTTGGTGGCCGTCGCTCCTTGCGTGCGAAACTACCAGGTCATGTACGACAGCTGAGCTCTTCTAGGCGGTATGCGGTGGTTGTTGCGACAGGCGCAATGTCGTTTGATAGCCAAGAAAATTGACCAACTAACCATGAAAATGGAAATTCACATGCGTGGCGGTGCACAAATACATACTGTGGCGGTGCATCAACGACGTAATGTATGCGCCCGCCGGCTTGCAACATCCGCCTTACTTACTACACGGCTGGCCGCGTATGCGCACGATTACTCATCGCCACACTCGCGCTGTACTTCCTGTTCCTCAATCGTAATTTCAGGCTTCCCAATAGTTCTACCTTGGCCCAGACACGAAAGCCAAGCTGTGACTCCTGCCAAACACCGGCCTTGGGGGCTTGGAGCTTGATTGCTCACCCACCAACCCGCACCTTCGACTCCCAGCTTTCACACAATCACCGCCCAACGCGATGGTGATGAAGCCCTCCACAGACGAAGGCCTTGTGCCAGCCCCGCTCTCGAAAGCGAACCCCCCATATCCCGTCACACCTGGCGAAGAGCACGCGCCTGCAGTGCCTTCCACGTCCGCGCACAATGGCTATCCTGCAGGCTCCAGCAGTACCCCAGCCTTCAACTTTCAGGCCCCCAACGCAGCAGCACCACGCAAGAATGACGATCTCCTCGACGAGTCCGACTACAGCGACGAAGACTGGGACAAGTCGGGCGACGAGTGGGACGACCCTAGTCCGGCGAGCGTACCAGACGCGCTGAAGCCAGCGGGGGGGAAGGCACCGGCACCGGCGTCCAGCACTCAAGGCGCTATTCCAGATGCTCTGAAAGCTGGTCCGCCGGCAGGTGTGCCTATCAAGAAGTCCTGGGAGAATATTTCGCCTATGGCTACCGGGGCCAGTGGTGTTTCATATGGCGGCGTCAGCACAATCTCGAACGATGGCTCGACCGGCTCGGTGCCGCTGAAGACGAACAACCCATATCTGAAGATGCAGACGACCGGGCAGAGCACCTTTGACGGGGACAATGTTTGGGGAGATTCACATGGACAATCCCAGCAATTCGATCCTGTAGAGCTTCCTGCTTATCAGACCCCGGCTACACCAACCAACCACATGGCCAATCTCAACCTAGACGACAATACTACTCAACGCCATAGAGAGCCCTCTGTCTACCAGCCACCTCTAGTAGCGCTCGAGACGGCCACACCTCACACCGACCATCTAAGAGATGAGTCCCCGAGTGCCAACCCGTGGAGCACAGCTGCAGATAGTGCGCCACCGAATGGGCGGTCTGAAGTCACCAATGATCACGAGACTTCCAAAACTTGGCAAGATCCCGATATATGGCAGCAGAGTGAGCCTACAAGGCAGACTCAGGAACCCGCTAGCGCTGGCATTCCGCTAGGCAACGCAGAGCCAAGACAAACAACTGCAGATAGTTTGAATCTGCAACAGCAACCCCATGTTCCTAATCTCATACCGCAACAGCACGATTCGCTTTTCCAATCCACACCACCGCACGCAGAGCACGACTTCGCGGCGCCGGCGATTCAACCTGCTTGGGCACCACCTCCTCCTCCTCAGTCGCAGCCTCCACCAGTTCCACAGACTCATGAACAACCGCCTCACTACATACTGCAGCAGACATCTTCGCTGCCTCAAGATGAGCCTTTGCCACCATTGCCGCCAAGGAGGTCAACTGAGGAGCAGCCACCGCCATTTCCTCCACGGCCACTTGAGACTGGTATTATCGGGGCATCAACATCTCTAGGCCCCGAGTCGCCGAACACTGCTATGAATAGGCAAAGGAGAGAGCACTACCAGATCAAGCACATCAGGTGGCACGATGTCAACAAGCCTGGTGTGCGCACCTCACCCATCCTCACTCAGAACCTCAATGGACCATGTCCATTACTGGCTCTGGTGAATGCCCTGGTTCTGTCAACGCCTGCTGGTATCGACACTGCTTTAGTTGAGACATTGCGCACACGAGAGCAAGTCAGTCTCGGCCTACTACTCGATGCCGTATTCGACGAGCTCATGTCAGGGCGACGCGGTGATGCAGCACAGGAGCTTCCAGATGTCAGCGATCTCTATAAGTTCCTCCTCGCTCTGCACACTGGTCTGAATGTCAACCCAATGTTTGTACCTGACACAGACGCTACTCACGGCAATACTGCACTTGTCAACCGCCCAGGTGCGAAAGCCGGAGGTTTCGAAAATACATCTGACATGAAGCTGTATCGTACATTCGATATTCCCTTGATTCATGGGTGGCTGCCCGAACCAGGATCTGAAGCATACCAGGCTTTCGAGCGTGTGGCAAAGTCTTATGAAACATCGCAGTATGTGCAGTTCCAAGAAGAAGAGTTGGACGCAAAGTTACAATCTGGTCAGCCTTTGACTGGCAGTGAGCAACAAATGTTCACCGACATCCATGCCATCAAGGAATTCCTGAGCCGATGGCCGACTCAGCTTACAGACCACGGTCTGAAGATTATGAAGGACAGTCTACAACCCGGTCAGGTCGTAATTCTGTTCCGCAATGATCACTTCTCGACCGTCTTCAAGGATCCTCGGACACAGAACCTTGTCACCCTGGTCACAGACCAAGGCTATTCATCGCATGATGAGATTGTGTGGGAGTCGTTGATTGATGTAAATGGCATGGGCAGTGAGCTATTTTCAGGCGATTTCCGACCTGTTGGCAACCACGAATCTGCTCCTCAAGGCGCCGTACAGCACCAGGAGCAACGGCAGAGTCCGGTCGTCGACGATAGCCAAGGTTGGACCACTGTTCTGACTCGTCGCCCGGTCCAGCAACAAACAGTAGCAGCTACAGACCCAGCTATTCAAGCTGATGAGCCTACTTCGCCTACGGGCCTTAGCAGGGCCGAACAGGAGGACCATGATCTCGCCTTGGCGCTTCAGCTGCAAGAGGAAGAAGAGGATCGCGGACGACGCGAGACCGAGCAGCGTGTGCGAGACAATCAGGCATCCGAAAATGCGATAGCTACGCAAGCACTCGAGCGCCCCACTAATCCTAGAGCTTCACGCGCTGGAGAGCAGCCACCAGTGATCCCACCTCGCCGCAACAACAATAATATCACGGGTCACAGACCAAACCAGGGTCCAGCGCCACCACCAACTTATGAAGAAGCTTCAACGGCTCCGCAGTATAACCCGCCTCCAGGTCATCCTGCGAGTGCAAACGCACCATTACCCGGACAGGGCAGTGCATACCAGAATACCGGTAGCGGTCTTGCGCCCGGAGCTGGTCCCGCTGGCCGCAGATACTCAGGACGACTACCATCCAGCTCAATCATCGGGAGGCCTGGACGGCGACAGAGCGCTGGAGTAGTGGGTCCAAATGGCGAAGAAAGGGAGAAGTGCGTTGTCATGTAGACACGCATCATTCCTTCCTCATCACGCTTCTCGTTGCTAATTCCGATGGTGTTCTAGGAGTATTGCGCAGCACCACCGGTCATATTGTACTATGAGCTGAGCCGATGGACTAGTTTCATTTATACCCTGGCGTAGCATGATCATTTTTCTGGCTGGTTTCGCCAGTCACAATAGCCAATGTTTAGACTTGCATCCCTTCTTGACCATGTATCAACGTCCTTCTCTTTCGGCTCAAACTTCATCGTGACATCACGCAACGTTCTCAATCACACATCAGGCTGAAGAAGTCTTCACAAGGCCATGAAGCAGCCTGAATATTGTGCCGCGAAATGTGCCTTTTCGCAACACTTACGACGCAATATCAGATACTCTCGTTTGGCGTCTGCCACTTTTTCCTCCAACACGGAAGGCCTGACACAGATCACCAGCTGCTCTCCCGAAGCTTAGGGCCCTGCCTTTGAGAAGATGCGTTGGTTGTGTAGAGCAGTAAGCCTTGGCTGCACATTGAAGAGTGGGATTGGCAAGAGAAGCTCCTTTGAACAAAGCCACCCGCGCTCTTGACATCAGCGGTAAGGGTGCATCATGCGACACACAGAACGGTCAAGAAGGGTACGAGCCGTTGTAACGATGTATGACGGCATGTATATGTCTCGCGCCATGCTCTGATCCAGCCTTGTCATCTTTGTGCATCCCTTCCTCACAATTTGCAGCAACCATTATGGCTACAGTTAAGAAAGATCGGCCCACAGCTGTGCCCGACACATAGCGCAACCCAAACTATGGCGAAGGCCAGCATATAGATCAGTCTAAGACTGATCGTTTCATCAAAGGCGACGAAGTCGACCTCTAAGACAACGATGCTCGGGAATGCTTAGGGCACTCTCTCAAGACTTGGCGAAAGTGGTACGTCTTGCGAATGCCTCCCGGCATATGAACATTCCTACTTGCGGTTATATACAAACTGTTCTTTCCACAAGGCAGATATTAATCGTAGTATTCTTCATATAGATCAGCATCAATAGCAATGCGTCAACGTACTCTCACGGTGTGTCTTTTGTGCACGAACAGTATGGCGTCAGCGAGCAAGATGCTCGCATCCCGCAGGCACTCTTCCTCATCGCCTACGGATTTGGCTGCGAATTGTGGGTGCCTTGGTCAGAGGAGTATGACCGCTGGCCGACAACAGCTCAGTTTATCCCTTGTCAATCTGTGGCAAATTCCTTGCGCGCTAGGCAAGAGCTACGCAACTATCCTCGTGTTCAGAATCTTGGGTGGTCTGTCCACTGCCGGTGGATCTGTAACACTGGGTGTGCTGCGGACATGTGGGAACCTGATGAGCAGGAGTGTGCTGTTGCGTTCCTGGTACTCTCATCTGCAGGTGGTTCGGTAGTGGGTGTTATCATCGGCGCTTTTGTCAAGGCACGAATGTCATTACCATGGTAAGCTGAGAACCTTTATGGACATCCGTTCTGTCTCTCATCTGACTATGGTCTTCTGGGTTCAGGTCATCCTGGGCGGCTTCGTGCAGGCTGCTCACTTTTGCAATTCCGGAACCAGATCGACTGTTCTGCTCGACCCTGAAGCGAAGAGGGGGCGTAAGAGTGGCAAAGCCGTAGCATTTACGGTCCCAACGAGATTCGCAGCGGACACAGGATTAGCTTCAAGGAATGTGGGGCCATATTCTGGAGGTACTCCGGTCACTTTGACACTCCAGCCATCAAAGTCCGCACTGATGATATCAGGCAAACCATTCTGCATGTTCTTCACCGGGCACATCGTCGTCTGGATCTCCCTCCTCAGCGACTTCGGCGACGCCCTCATCTTCACGTTCCTCGAAGGTTTCAAACCCGTCTACGAGTAATGGGGCTTTGCCATCATCCAGCTCGGGCTCGCCTTCATCCCCATCTTGATCGGTTACTTCCTCACATGCCTCTCTTATATGCCCTCGATCTTACGATTCGGCGCAAACAGAACCCAGGCTCCGTCGCCCCTGAAGCTCGGCCGTGGTAGTTGGTTTCCCTCGCCCCGCTCGAATTTCTCGGCATGATGGGCTTCACATGGACAATTCTGGGCCCTGGGTGCGGCATCCCGTGGATTGCGCCTATGACCTTCACCGTACTGGTCGCGATCGTAAACGTAAGTCGCCCGAATACCTCCAGTGCACCACAGTCTAAGAAGAATAGTATGCTATCTACCAGTCCTCAGTCTACTACGAAACCGTGGCCTACGGCCCGTACGCTACCAGCACCACCGGTGGTAACGACCTTGCACGGGACATCATGGCCAACGTCGCTGCGCTATACTCCACGCCGCTGTATAAGAACATGCCCGGCAGACTGATCCAGTATGCGAGTACGCTGCTAGCCTGTCTGTTAGACGTGGTGACCAAACCGATCTACTTCGTGTACTGGAAGGGCCCCAAGACCAGAGCATAGAGCAGGTTTGCGCAGAGTCTGGATAGGACGCGTGAGGAGAGGACAAAGAAGAGGAAGAGTAGTCTCGTGCGGCTGCAGGAGGAAATTGAGTCGGAGCGGTTAGAGAGGGTGTGAGTATGGCGTGGCGAGGTAATTGTATATGGTTTTCGAGTTGTTGTGGTATCGCATAGCTTGTGACTTTGCTAGGCTACAGCCTACGATGTTAGCTTGTATGTGATGAATTTCCTCCCTAATCTTGCTCTTTTATATCCAATTTACATCATGGCTCCCCGCACAGCGACTACAATCTCCAGCGCGGCGGAGCAAGTAAGATATTCTGTGACGGTTAGTAGGAGAAGCGGATCACGTGTTGTTGGCGGTGGTCTGGTGCTGCTTCATGTTGTTGAGCACCTCTTACCTACCTCAGCTGCATCACAAACACGGCATGCAAAACAGACCCCGCAGCCAGCCTTTGACAGGCCAGACACAAGCAGAACAGCACAACAGCACAACGGAACAACAGAATACATTCATTTACATTTGCCCTTGATACCGCAACAAATTCGACAAGGCTGAGGTGTGGTCCTCCACGCTTGGTGGCCTAAAGGCTTCTCCGCAGCGCTAAAGATTGCAGTGCAACTCTGCATGGTGGTAAAAAAACACCATACATTGTGCGTATGTAGACGGCGCCTCCCGAGTGTCGGAGAAATGTGAGTGCATGCAACACTGCAATCTTTAGTCTAAGAGGGCAGCAAGCGGAAACGTAAGGCTGAGTCCCTGGAGGTACTCAGCCTTGTGGTTGCGATACGGCCGGCACACAGCACTACAGACCGCAGTGAGAGTAGTTCGCTGCCAGCCCTTTTCTTTTGATCGGGCGCTGATGATGATACTTCCCGGTTCAGTGCATACTGACTGGTCAATGGTAGGTATGTATCTCCACCCAAAGATGAGTCTGCACCGAGTTTGGGTTATGACCTGTTCAACTGCTTCTGTAAGAATCAACGTTCGTATCATTCAGAAGGTTAGGCTGAAGTTGGTCGACTTCATTTCTTCTGGTATCAATACTACAAAGAACCAAGACCATATATCCCTAGTCACAAGCTCTACAAAGCCCGAAATCCATTGCAACGGTCTTCTTCACCACTAATCCATCCTTCGTGTTGATCCTCTCATCATCCTGCCCAAACACAATCGCCCCGCTCTTGACATGCTTCTGCCGCTCTGTGTAGCCCGCAAGATCATTCCAGATCTCCATCAATTGAGTTGCGACACTCGCTGTAAACAGCGGTGGCGTCCCGACATGCATGAGTGGTCCGACTGCCACACCGCAGTAGGCTGTGTATTTCCAGGCCTTAGGCACTTCAATGATGAGACGCACCGTGGGGTAGGTGCGAGTTCCCATGAACCCTGAGAAAGGACAGGGCAGTGGGCGTTGGGAGAGCAGGAGGTGAGTTGTCTGGGACAGCCATCTGTGGACTTCTTGCGGATACTGCCGTCGTGCGTCCTCCCCGTTGAGTTGTAGATTGACAGTGCCAGGTTTGGATTGGAAGAACGGGTGTTGGTTGAGATCATCGAGGACGGAACGCAGCAGTGTCTGCGTATTCTCGCGAGTATTTGTGTAAAGACAGTCCGAGTCTACACTGATCCTTGGGCTGGTTTCGCGGATCTTGTCCAATTTTCGGGTGAGGAATGGTAGGGCTTCTGAGTAGACGGTGTGGCATGTGGTGAAGATCTGGACTGGGATGGTTTGCAATGTGACAGTGATGGCTGGCTGATCTGAACAGGTAGGCGTGATTTGTTGCTCAACTTGAAGTCCCTCTTCGAGAAGTACTAATCGAAGCTGCTTCATCGAGATGTTGAGGTTCTCGTAGACCATGAATCGTAGCTCCTTTGGGAGGTCCAGGAACCTGAATGGTACTGATTCGAGCATATTGTTCGCGGGCATATTATGAGAATGGTGCTCAGCCTAGTATAGAAAAACGGTGAAACCCGAAGACAGAGTGAGGGGACAACAACTCTGAAGAATCTGGGTGGCAAAGTTGCCAGGTCATGCGGCGCAGTCGTGTACGATAGTCGAAGTCGAAGCTATGATGGTTGAGTAAGGGATACCCCTATACAACTAGGCGCCTCCACTCACATTGCTCGCGGCGATCAATCCTAGCGCAGATCTTTGCACCTGGGTAAGCTTCACTGAAGTTCGCAACGCTGTGAGGAGCTCAGGTTGTTGAATCTGCAGATGACTCAAGTTATGTAGATGGTGACGCTCGGAAGAAAGCCACGTGCATTATTGCTTTTTGTAGCATCGAGAGCGTGGTCCAATTTGTGACACTGTGGCGGGGAAAAGGACCTTCGACAGGTACACAAGCTGAGGTGCCTACCAAGATCATATGAAGCAGGTGGCGCACGGCGACTACGAGATGTAGTATTGATGAGTGTCGGAGCAAAGGACATCTCTTACTCCGTGAACTATTAGGAATAGACCGCGACAATGATATAAATCATGCATCGCTTTATTGTCTGCAGCAAGGGACCAAGGGTTGCTGGAAGGTTGTGTGGAGGATGGTCGCCGACGTCCTCACCACCCAACCCTTTCAGTCGGTAGGCCCCAGGGTCATCTGGACCACATGCCACCAAAGCCCTTACTGCCGATCTTTGAGCCTGTTTTTGGTCTTGTCGGTCTCTCCATCTTCTGCAATCTCTTACAGCTCACATCTGCTTTGACCAAGATGAAGCTTTGGTCGAAAACGTGCCCATTTGCATTACCGCACCTCTCCAGAGCTGGCGCCAGCGCAAGCTCGACTCTTCTTGCTTTCGCACTTTGGCTGTCTCTATAGCCGCCTTCGCTGTCATCGCTGTCGTCGTACACGTCTTCCATCTCGCTATCATAGAAGCCGTAACCCCAGAACTGATTCGGCTTACCGCCAGTGAACGTGACGAAGCGGTAGTCGGCGAGTTGCCGCTTCATCTTGAGATCAAGGGCGACAGATGCGGAGACGATGGTGCTGAGCTGCTCCTTACTGTCGCGAAGTGACCGGGTAGAATATGGTCGCAGTTTCCGCCGCATACGGCCGCACAAGCGCGATATACGCTTCAGGACAGGCGCAGCATCGAAAGTCGGCCGCCATTTGCCGTCTTCTTGCGGCACAAGAAGATTAACGGTCAGCGATCGCCACTGGTGATACTCCTCGGCTTGAGCTTCGTTCTTCACAGCTACCTCGAGTTAGTACGGCTCATAGTCAACAGGTTACTGGTTTGCGCACCTTTGCGTAGCGTGTCGTTGATGTGCCGAAGCTTTTTGTCACCCAGCTTGCCAGCCCACACATACCCACTGCCTTTCTGGAAGTTGTTGAAGATCTTCTTTTGTAGCATAGACCAGATGTAGGATTGTACTAAAAGTGGTCGGTCGTCGGGATGCTTCAAGTAAACGTTGTAGTTGTCTGTCAACCCACCAAACAGATCTTTGGCTGCATGGAAATGTGGCCGCTTGTTTCGCGAGCTGGTAGGTCCACTAAAGTAATCCTCGCTCCACACTCTTATCTCATATCGCAGTGCTTGCAGTTCTTCTATAAGTGTTTTCTCTTCCGATTTGAACACCGTAGACCCTCGAGCTGGTAGGCCGTTTGGTCCCATGCTCTTCCTCTGTAGCTCCTTCCTCAATGCATCTCGTTCTCTTGTTACTTGGTAAAACCGCTGCACCAGTTCTTCCTGGCTGCTCCCAGGTTTCACCCCTGGCCGCGATGGGCTTTTGGGAGGTACGAGTGGGCTGCCATTCTTGCCGAATCTCTCCGGGCTGAGTTCAGACGAATTCTCTGAGGAGGTGTCCGCGCCGCGTGTGACTTTGATAGGCGGAGGCACATACTGCGTCCTCCTTTTTCGCCTGGGTATCAATTCCTCCTCATCTGACCATTCTGTGTCTGCATGTTCGAAGGGGTTGGGCTCCATTGTCGGCGAGTGGAACGAGGCGGGCGATTGTTCAGAGGGCAATCCTTCAGCAGAGGGGCAATGCAGCTTCAGCGATCGGAGAGTCGAATCGCGCACGTCTGTCAATACGGGCGAAGTCAGCGCATCGTACTTGCAAAGCTACGCATGACGTTTGCGCACCTGGAGAAAGCGTCGTCATGTCCGGCCTTGTGCTCACATGACCTCTTTACACACTAAAACAATGCTGCAGCGGTGAAGCTCCCTGGCACTCTCACGCCGCTACACGTTATCGAAATCTCAGCTCAGACGAGCTTCCCGGAAGCGGAAGGACTGCAGTCAGCCTTGGGCGTGGGGCCCGTGATGCGATCGACGGCCGGCGACGTGGAGATCCTAAGAGTTGTCCGGACAGACCACCTTAAGGGAAGAACAACATGGTGGAAACAAGTTTGTCCCAGCCTCATCGCATAGAAAAGCCATGGATGTGCTAGCTGCGGCGGTTATGTTTAGCCAGTCACATCACCGTGATGCCGGGACAAGGTGTGCTGACGTGTGACAGGCGAGTGGGAGCTGCGTGCAAGCCTGTGCGGGCCATGCACCCGGCACAAGTTGGGAAAAGCGGCTCCTTTAGCGTGCTCGTGGGACCGCGCCGCTCCAGACACGTTGTGACCGTCACTTTTGTGTTTCGTTTCATATCTTCGTGACACTGCATTGCTACTTCGGAAGCGCGCTGTCGCTTTTCTAGTTAGATTAGTTGAAAGAGCCTTGATTAGTAACGGGATGCAGGTCAGTCACACCAGTGCGGTACACTTCGTACAGGGTCAGTCGCCAATGAACACCATCTTGGCAATAGACAAAATCTCAGAATAGATAACTCAAGTGGACAGCATTGTGATCATGAACGAATGACTGGTATTGACAGCTCCCAGTCGTTGACTTGTTATTGCTTTTCTAAAAGAGCCGGCTACATAGTCAATATCTCTCACATCAAGCAAGCATGCTGTGACACGTTAGTGGTGTAACACAAATGTCATGAAAAGCGACTCACTTGATGGAGATAGTCTTCGCCTCGACGTAGTTCATCAGACCCTGGCGACCGCCCTCACGCCCAATGCCAGACTCCTTGAATCCGCCGAAGGGTACATTCGGGCCGAGCGTCTGCGTTGTGTTGATGTTCACGTTGCCAGCATCGAGGTGCTTAGCAATGCGCAAAGCTCGTGGGATGGATGCTGTGAAGATATAGGCTGAAAGGTATTAGTTGATTGAGTATTGGAGTGCACGCAAGAACTTACCAGCAAGACCGAAGCTGGTGTCGTTGGCCAGCTTGATCGCCTCCTCTTCGGTCTTGAATGTACGTATTGTGAGAACAGGGCCAAAGATCTCTTCACGGTAGATCCTTGCATCGTCCTTCGGGTTCAGGAAGATGGTCGGTTGGACATACCATCCACTGTCACCGTGCCTTGCACCTCCTGTTAGGAGCTCTGCTTCTTCCTTACCAATGTCAAGGAAGCTCATTACACGTTCGAACTGTTTATCATCGGCGAGTGGGCCCAAGAACGTGTTCGAATCGGTGGGCTGTCCCATGGTGTGAGAAAGCTGCTCAAATCGCGTCTTGAGTTCTCCGATGAACTTCTCTGCAATGTCTTCGTGGACAAAGGTACGAGATGAAGCAACGCATGCCTGACCGGAGTTGATGAGAAAGCTCTGACTGTGGTGCGTAAGGGCATTCTCAAGGTTAGCATCTGGGAAAATCAGACTGGGCGACTTGCCGCCTAGCTCGAGGGTCACACGCTTGAGGTTGCTAAAATAGCATGTTAGTTAAAAAGTAGTCCTGCAGGTTAAGAGCGCATACCTCTTCGCAGCAAGCTCCTGAACCTTCTTTCCAGCGAAGGCCGATCCAGTAAAAGATATCTTGTTAATGTCCATGTGAGACGCCAGTGCGGCACCGACCTTGCCGTCACCGGTGACGATGTTAAGAACACCAGGCGGGAAGCCAGCTTCTTTAATGAGTTGTCCGAGCTGCAGCACTCCAATGGGACTCTTTTCGGAGGCTTTGTAGATGATGGTGCACCCGGCAGCTAAGGCAGTGGCAGTCTTGTAAGCGAAGAAGATCGAGGAGCCATTCCATGCACCGATGCCGGCGCACACACCAATAGGATCATATTGAACGATCTATCAAGGGGTCAGATGGAGCTTCACAAACCAGTCCAAGTTCTCATACCTTGTATAAGCCCTGTTCGTTCTCGGACCAGGCCTCTCCTGGAAGCTTATCTGTCCAGCCGGCGTAGTACCTAAAAACCATGCCAAAAAAACCATAAAGGGCCTTGGCTTGGAAGATGGGCTGACCCATGCTCTTCACTTCCCACAAAGCAAGCTCTTCAGCATGCTTGTCGGTAAGATCTGCGAGCTTCAGCATCGCCTTGCTGCGCTGTTGCGGCGTCCATTCGGACCATTCGCCTTTAAACGCCGCGCGAGCGGCCGCGACCGCCTTGTCAACATCCTCTTGCGATGCTACTTGGATCCCATCTGCCACGAGACTTTCGTCATGCGGATTGTAGATGCTCAGAGTCTCGCCCGATGTGGCATCGACGTACTCGGTGCATGTCAGATACGAGTCTCTTCTTGGACGAACAACTCACTTCATTGTTGATGAACAGCTGTTTGTAGACCATTTCGAACACTGAGAATGATACTGATTGTCTCGGAGATTGTCAACGTTGTGTTTGGGTGGGAAACGACAGGGAATCTTGCTTAAGTTCTTGCTCAGCAGATGCCGTCGTGCTTTTATATGCAGTCCAGACCATCTCACATCGAAGCTGATGCTTCGCCGGGAAGTCTAAATTTCCGAATCCCGTTCGAAGTATTAGACGACCCCGCATTCACAGTATTCGTCCGTGGAAGGAAGTACCTCGTAGATCACAGCTTGTCGCCAAATACAGTTAGATTCCGCTCTCGGCCCGCACGCCAAAATGGGAGCCTCAAATCACTGCTTCATCGAGTGTCTTGACCGCATCACATCCTTGGTATCCATGCTTGCCGATGCGGCATAAGCTAACTTCGCTGTCTTTAGTCGTAGTGCCAGTGTGAGCAGGCCAGGGATCGCTGACAGGGCGAGCATGATCAGTGGATGGGACATACCTTGCTGCACACCGCTCGGACTTACCATCGCCGTTAACCAGAGTGCAAAAGACAACTTGTGCACAACCAGTGCTTCTGCTTGCTTGAGTCTGAAAGCAGCGAGCTCTAGCGCCGCAGTTCTTGCACTTCGGTTTAAGCTGCCAGCAGACCTGGAGGCCTTCACACACACCTAATGCACTCAATAATCGCCGACAAGCCACAGTTTGTAGCTTTTGTTGTCAACGCCCTATACTTGATTGTTGGACCACAGCGTTGAGATCTGCTTAGGCTAAAATGAAGCTTAGCATTCATCTGTCTGTACACATTTTAAGAGTCTACAGCTCTGCGTTCTCTCGGTAGTGTTTGCGGCTGGTGTCGCTATCATTGAAATGTCTAAGGGACTTATTACAAACACCCAGGTGCAGTATAGTTACAAAGAAGCTGGGCCTTGCCGGTACTTCGTGACGGAACGGCTCCGGCGCACTGGCCATCAACATCGTTCCGTCTTCAAAGACTAGCTTCTTCGTGTAGCATGACTTGGAAGTAAAGATCGCCGCTAAGGTTGTTGCTCTCCATGGACGTCTGCAATGAATGCAAGCTTGTTAAGAGTTGTCAATGTTCGAACAGACTCTCGGGGTCTGCTATCGACCCCGGACATATCTGCCAGCGTTTCGAGGACGTGACACCGTACACCAGACCCTTTATCTCCGATCCTCCGGGTATCGTGATTGAGGCATTTTGAACGTGAGGGCCACCTGGTCGAAGAAAAATTCGAAGCTTGCGTTGCTGAATTTTTTTAAAAGATCGTCCTCTTGGTCTGGATCTCCGTAGCCGACTACTGTCAAGGGTTCCTTGAGGTGTTCATTGTTCATGAAACTCCGCTTGGCCTGTGGCTGACGTAGTTACTGCAGCGTCAGACAACGCCGCAGTGTTACCAGCTCATGGTAGCTCGAACAGCTCCGCAAGAGCGCTTTCTAAGTAGCGATGGGACGGGGAAAATTGTGGATCTAATTGCAGATAGATATCGCAACTGACCTCGGGATCTGGTAAGAAAGCGCAAAGGTGATTTGCGATCCACAGAAATAACGTTTCCGCAAGTGGCTATCTTTCCGGAAGTGGCTAAACACGGGCGCTATTCGGCGGAGCCCCGCACGTGAAGACTGAGCCTCCTTTCGCCAATGACTTCACCAGACGTCGCAACTACCTAAATGTCGATTCGCGAATGATCGACGAAAAGAGGAGGGTCAACATCGAGGGATGGTTGAGACAAAGCCTGGTTCCCAGGCGCACTCGCCGAATGTACCGGGAAAGCCTAGCGGAGGGCGACAGCGGACGATACAAAGTTGCTTAACGTGTCGGCGGCGCAAGGTCAAGTGCGACCATGGACATCCTATATGCGGAGCCTGCACGCGTGGTAACCATGTCTGTACCTGGTCAGATCAGGTCCAGGGACAGTCATCGGCCGGGCGAAGATTCAAATCATTAACACCGGGAAACGGGCGGGTCGCGAAGAACAGCGATGTCCAATCGCGCCTTGATCGACTTGAACTGCTTCTCGAAAAGGCAGTGTCGGGGCAAGGCGGTATAGCGCCTGTGCCCGCTCGAGCTATCGTCGACAGCGAAATGAAGGATCATGACGCTGCATTGACGCCGTCGTCGAATAGCCAAACCTCTCACGGCGCTGGCATGGCTGACGACGGCGATGGTACTCTTCTCCTTGACGGCAGTCAGTCGAAGTTTGTGTCTTCGTTACACTACGCTTTACTTGCGGAGGAGGCGAGTGGCCTGTCTCGAGACAGTTCAACGTGAAGGCTGACTCAACACAGATCCAAGACATCAAAGCTTTGCTTGGTGACAAGACCGATGAAGAGCGAAAAGAGGTGCCACAGAGTAGTCTGGTCGATCTCTTGTCATTGGGCCGCGCAGGCGCAGGGTCAAATCTGGAACAACTATTGCCGGGTACACAAGAAAAACGAGATACGCTTCTGGACGTCTACTTCGCGAACATCGATCCAATGATCAGGATCACACACAAACAAACGGTCATGCGCAGATTCTCGACGTACATGCGCGAAACACACCCTCTGGCCTTCGCAATATGCTTTTCAGCAATCATCTCGCTACCTCCAAATGTCGTCCAGAGCCGGTTTGGTGACACGAAAGAGGAGCTTATGGATCGCTTCCAGCTCGGTATCGAGATTTCTTTGGCTCGAGAAAACTACCTCACCACCTCAAGCCTGGAAATCTTCCAAGGTTTCGTGCTCTGGCTGAGCTGCATCACAAGGGAGGAAGACATGGGTAATACTAGCATTCAGAACCATCGCGTATTTCCGCTGACTTTGATTTTTAGGTAAGGCTTGGGCGCTGCTAGGTATCGCTACACGAATTGCGCTAAACCAAGGTCTACACCATGATCCATCCCTCTTCCCGGCCGGCTCCATGGACGCTCTCACGATCGAGCTTCGTCGTCGCATATGGTATCAGTTAGGCCACCTGGAATTTCGAGCTGCCGAATGCAAAGGACAGGAACCGAGTCTATCAGAGGACTATTACACAACGCTGCTCCCGCGTAACGTCGAGGATGAAGACCTTGTTGACGGAGCAAGTCCTGGTCCAGCGCCATACGACGAGAAGAGATTTACATCGATCACGTTCCAGCTTGTTAGATATCAGGGCATGTCAGCTTTACGGCGAATCATTCGAAGTACATACCACCTGGAAAGGCGGATGCTTGACTCGGGTCTGCACGGCACGTCGAGACCAGACCCCGCACGAGAACTTCAAGAGCTATATGAACAGATCAAGAAGATGCTGGACGAGGTGCATGAAGAGTGTCACCGCAAATATCTTCGCTTCTGTAATCCGGAGATACCTATGCAGAGATTGTGTATGGGGTTGGCTTCCATACTTGAGTGGCGTTGCTACCTGCTCTTCTGGCTTCGCATGCCAAGAGCGTACCGCGATGTTGTCTTCTCCAACGACATTCGCAAGTCGTAAGTAGTCGATTAAGATCTACAAGGACACCAGCTAACAGCCACAGGATATTTGAAAAATCCGTCAATTGTATCGAAACTATCAACGGGGCGTCCGTCGACGTTGACGCTGCTCGATTCCAGTGGCACATAGGTTTGTCGTCTTCTCCTGAGTTATGATCGAGATTAACGTCTGCAGGCGGCGCTGCGTCTTTCCAGGCGATAATGCACGTACTATCCGAACTCCGGAATCCGATGTTCGACAGCCCCGATCGACAGCGAGCGCTCAGGGCGCTGCAAATGTCACGCATCCTACGCGAGAACAATGGCGCCAAAGCATGGCTCGCAGTCAAAGCCATGATCGACAAGGCTATTCAGGAGCACACCATGTCGCAGAGAGCGCAGTCGCAAGCTTCTAGCACCTACGCCAGTCCAACGGCGCCAGTCTCTACCGCACTGCAGACGGACAGCAACGTTCAGTTGTACCCTAGACAAGGCCAAATACCCAGCTACGCCATACGAGCGCCACCGACCCTATACGGCCAGCCGCCAACAACTTCACAGCCTGCACAGGCTTACCCTCAACCGAGCTTCGTTCAGGCCATGGGGCCAATGCAAGCGCCAGCTGCGCCATCTTGGGAAGACATTAACCTCAGCAACATCAACAACATCGTTGACAGCCAACCGACACCTGGTATAGTACCAGAGTTCGACTTTGGCTTCTGGGGCGATCCTTTCAACTACGAGCACGAGCTCAATACCGTCCCACCAGAGAACAGCTACTTCCCTCCCTGGTCTGGCTAGGACGTGACGGAGGCGGACCTGTCTTATCCTGTACCGATACCCCTTTTCAATGACTTTGCTTGACAAACTCTGCCTCCATCCCCGTGCGGTGCGCGCTTCCAGACCCTTGTACCCCGACGTCCCACAGGGCGTGATTGAGCTCTGATTCTGATCAAACGATGGGAACAGGACCTGCAGCCCACGCAGTTGGATATGCTATCGATATCAGGCATTTTCTAGACGTGTGTACTCGACTCGATTGTTGAGTTGATCGTGCGGCCTGGAGGTAGTCAAAGCATGGACACCGCGAAGGCAGAGAAACATGAATTCCGATGGATTTGTGGGCGCACTAAAGATATCCTGAGGTCTGATTCGTCCAAGAGAAGTGCGGCCTAGGTAGGCTGCACCAAGGTCAAGGTCAAGATGGCGACCGTCGCGAGATTGCAGATATCCCACGGGAGGGAAGTTTACGAGTCGGACTATCTCGAACGAGACACACTGCAAAGTATCCCAAGAGAGCCATTGGACAATGCCAGTCAGTACAGCGCGCGAAGTGTTCCTGAGGCAGCTTGAGGAAGAGGCCGTTGAAAAGCACGTGGAGAGTCTGGAGTGGTACTAAAGACTGAATGCGTTAGCCAAGAGGCGTCCAGCCGTCGCGAGAAGGTGACTACAAGACTGAGCAGACGAAGCTGGGGGCTGGGATTGCAGCGCTGTGTCTAGGGGAGGCGTTGGAAGACGGGCATGGGTTCTGAGAGTGGTCGAGTGCGTGAGCCTGGAGGTAGACGTGTGATTGTGGCTTCGTTCGGGCTTTGCGCTGCAAGTCGCGATCGCTGAATAGCTTGATCCGTGGATGCGCATATGTCAATAACTCGACCGAGCTCGTGAAGGACGTCGAGCCCATCAAAGCCTCCGGGTGTCATGTCGACTTGCAGCAATCGTGGAGGGTTTGTAAGGATATTTACAGAGATAGCTTCGTACGATGAGCATTCCAGAGTGCGATTCTCTACCGCCGTCCATTCAGCGGCCTGCTCTCCCTCTCCTCGTCCTCGTCGTCGAACTCATCCAGCGCGAAATCCTGCGCGGCCCTGATACTCTCTTCGTCCTTGACCTTTGCAAACGCCCTCTCATCTGCCGGATTCGGGTACGGGCTGGCACAGTCCCTGCTCCTGAGCGCGGGGTAATACCGCCTGTACGTGTAATGGGCGACCGAGATGCCCACCAGACTGCCCACACTGACGTCGTAGACATCGTGTCTGTAATCCTCACACCGGCTGATCGCAATCAGCGCGGCGCCCAGCAGCGGCGCAAGGGCAAGCAGCACGCGCGCCAAATCGGCCCGCGGGCGATACACATGGCACTGTCCCGCGATGAACAGGGCGAGATAGCCCAGCCCGCTGAAGGAGGAACTGCTGTGGCCTGAGGGGAACGAGCGCCACCCGTCGTGCAAGATGTGGTGGTCCGTCTGCGTGCACACTTGGAACGTGACGAGGACGTCGCCCGGCGTGCCAGGCTGCGGCTTGCACCGCGCAATCAGATCCGGGCGCGGCCGACCGACGGCGTTCTTGATCACGTCGGTCAGGAAGAGCGTCAGGATCATGCTGACCAGCCAGCCGAGGATCGTGACGTGCGCTTTGTGCGTGCCGGGGCGCGTTACGGCGATCCATGCAATCAGAGTGAGCAGCGGCACGGCGCCGGCGTATATGAACAGCCACATGACGTTCACGCGCTCGTGCAGGGCGTGCGGGTAGGCGATGCGCAGGTCGGAGAGGTAGAACATGCGGTGGAAAGGCTCGGCGAGGAACTGCATCTGCAGCTGGACTGTCAGCAATGCCTGGTTGCCATTTCAGGCGGCGACGTGGCGTACAAATATGTAGCCGCTGACCAGCAGCGCAAGGCCGACATAGTCGGAGGCATAGGAGCGCTGGCCGTGGTCAGTGTGTGTGTGCGGCACGCGAGCGGCGGCTGGAGACGGACCTGCCAGAAGCGCGCTGCTGCTCCTACAAAGCCTGGTGCGTTGAGCAGGTCATGTGTGCTGCGCCTGGGCGATCGGGCAGGCATTCTCAGTGTGCCGGCGGCGCAATTGGCATTGCGAGGTTGGACGTCTGGGGGAAAGGGCGAGGTGTCCAAACAAGTGCTCCAAGAATGACGCGTGTTTGGCGCTAGTTTCGTTGCTATTTGCCCTCTCATGTCCATCATCACACTGCTTTCTTGGCGTTCTCTCCAAAGCAGTCGTCTACTCAAACGAAACACGGCTCACAATCACATTTTAGATGCTCGCCGTGGCATGCAATGCTCAATTACCTTCGTCTCATCATTACGTTTCTGCTTCGCTGATCCAACGCCCGCTTAAAATGCTACACCGCTCACCTCATCACCTGCTACTTCGCATGCCAGCTCTTCCTCCCGGTGATCCACTTGAAGCTGGCACACCATGTTTCTGCCTCTCCACGCTCTGCCCTTTCCACGACATCCACAACCTCTTCTTGCGCACGCGCAATGTCCGCCCTGACTTCCTCAGCTGTCCATATCCGCTCTCTGTCACCGTACTTTGTCAGCAGTCGTAGAAGGCTCGATTCGAACAGTTCCATGACCACGACTAGCATCAGCTTTCCTATTCGTTTCTGTTCCTCATCGCCGGCCCATTGCCCGATTGGGACGTTGACGTGGGTGCTCTGAATGTCGATGAAGCCCGCTTCTTCGAGATACGAGGGATGCATGTAGAACAGGCCGAGTGGGCGCCCTGACTTGTACGATGCCTCCATCATGGAGGCAAACAGCTTTCGTAGAGTTGGCACGGGGAAAGACGCTGGGTCGTTCGTAGCGTGATCGATTGGTACAGACCCCAACTATGGGTCGTGTCAGCATGGGTAATACCATGTCGAATTGTGCGATGGTGCTCAACTTACATCCCAGTCCGCCACTTCTATCCACCCGCCAGGCGACAAGCTGTTATGTATCTCTGCATACACTTCTTCCCAGTGTGAGAATGACCCCTTCATGTCGCGAAGATGAATGAAGTCGTAAGGCTCGCTGAAGTTCCACCTAGGCTCTGTCGGGGACTCAAGGCTGTAGGGGTCGATCGCGAGTGATTCAACAGATGTCTCAGGGCATGCGATGGATCTGCTGAATCTGACTCGCTCTGGTGACCTGGGCGGGGAGCGCACAGGATCTCGATGCATCATCGCGCGGTAGAAGTCAAAGTTTGAGATCGAGTTCAGCTCCTCTGTGTGTGCATCGATCCCCCATACATCCAAATCGTCGAGCTCCCACCTCACGTCTGCGTTACCCATGTTCGCTTCTGTTGTGTCGAGATCCCATTGTGTCATGTCGATGCCGACAACTTCTGCTCGTGGATGCGTTTGCGCCATCGCGACCGCCCAGTGACCGGGCCCGGTACCAAGATCGAGAATCCTTCTGGTCGAGGCGAGAAGCCTCGTGGTAGTCAACCGCCCTTGCAGTGCGTGGACAAAAATCTGATGCTGGAAAAACAGACGATCTTGCTCTTTGAGATCATCGTTGAACGCACACGGCCGGAGGTATGTATTGTTGCCATAGGTGCGGCCGTTTTCGTGTACGTATTCGAGGTCTTCCGAGGTCACAGTGCGAACAGATCGACTGCGTGGCGCAGTTAGCAGCGAGTCTCGTTTCGCGGGACCGTGAAGCCAGCAGAATACAACGCCCCCTTGATTATATGCTGAGAGCGAGACACAGAAGACGTGGACAGTAGGTGACTTTTAAGTGTTGTTCAACTTACACAGATTCGATGGAGGTGGAGCTCCCTGAATCAGCTCGCCGGCGTTTGGATGCGGCTGTGTCATGTCCAACCAGAGTGTCGGGATGTGGCTGTCCCTCGTCCATGGCACCGGGAAGGAAACAAATCCAGTCCTCCACCTGTAGTGGCGAACGGGGAAGACGTCAAAATGCCCGCGATTCGCTTTGTGTGCTCTTTAACTGTTGTGTTTGCACAATATAAGATGAGGGGCGTCGACCTGAATGGTGCAGGCCCTCGACGATGGCGGCTCGACCGACTAGCGCATGACCCTGTAGAGCGGAGCCTACAGTAAAACTCAGGGTTAGCCTAAGGGCGAGCCGCTCCGAACTACGTTTGGTATGTAGAAATTCCGAAGGCGTGCTTGCTCAGTTGTGCATCAAGTCTCTGTGCCGACTTCCTGAGTATACTTATGTACTACGCTCTAAATGGACAACAGCTGCAACAAGCAGCATCCATGCCAGCAACATCTATCGAGCTAGGCATGCACCGACTCTCAGATGGAGACCGACTCTTTGGACGGGTGCATGGGCGCTCGAACTGAACATGCGATAGCTGCAGCAGGTTAAATTGGGCGTATACATACAGTTAGCTTGATTCACTCTGCGTTGTACGAAGCTGGCATGCAAATTGAAGATCCTCGATGTTGCGGCAGGCGTACGGGGACGTGAAGACGGAGGTTCACCTCATCTCTGACAAGCCGTTTGGCGCTGCGTATGCACGCTGGGCCGCCCCTCGGGTTCTCCCAGAAGGAGGGGCACGATGCTGGATCCTTTACCACGCTCGGTGTAGTCCGAGTCTGGTGCACCTCTCCATCTCCGATAGCGTTTCTATTAATGACCTGTGAGACCAGCAAGAGAGGTCTTGTGAGCCTTGGCTGCCGAAAATTGAGGCATTTAGCTGCTTATCTCTTCTAGAACGTGACGGACTGTGGGAGGGGAAGCTGCCGCGTAAGATGCAGTAGCTTGAAGTGGAGCGGAATACAAGACGATCGTCGCATGTTGAGTAAAAGGAGCCAGCGGGAGAAAAATGGGATCGAAGTTAGTCGAAAGCTATTCAGTGCGAGTGCGACTCCGGGGAGCTCAGGGAAAGCCAATTCGCAGCGTGACTGTCGTGACTGTCGTGACTGTCGGATTTGGTGTCTCGGCGCGGTGACTTGCTCCGGAGATTAAACCGCACAGTGTCTCGGTGCTGATCCAACGCAGAGGTAAGGAGATGCTGTACAACCATGCTGCTGGGCCTGCTCAGACCAACAGTGTGTGACACGGACTGTGGTGATTGGGCAGGGCGCGCCGCCATCCTGTCACTGGCATCGCTACCGCTGCCAAAACGCTCGCTGGGATGGGAAGAAGCCGTCCCGGTGCCTCCGGCCCAACGAGCCGGGTAGACCACGAGTCAGGTGGATGCTGCAGATGAAATGCTGATCACGGAAGATGCGGATGAGAGATGGCTTCTCGCGCAGGCAGGAAGAAGGCAGGAAGCAGCACCAAGCGCTAGGCAAGCGCACACATCAGAGCTCAAATCGATGAGGCCGGAGGACTCCATGGCATCAACGCATGAGAAGCGCATCAACAGGTCTGTACATGCATTGGTCAAATATTTCGCTTGCATTTGTGCAACGCGAGCGCACGTAGGCTAGCCCGCTCTCCTCAATCACCTGCTCGTACCCACACACTAATGCACCTTCTACGAACGCTGAGGGGTATCTCCCCAACTTTTGACTCTCGTCTTTGGTCCGAATCTTCATGTCTTCATGTGCATGCTTCGCTTGTGTAACTCATTCCTCAACCTCCTGACCCTCAAATTTGGGCAGGCGGGCAGCGACGTCTGACCACTGTTCCTTGCCATTGACAAGACTGACAATAGCGGCGACGATCTCATCGAGGCCAGCACGGACCTGCTCTGTTGAGTCACGGTCACGCAGGGTGAATGTGTTGTCCTTGACGGACTGGAAGTCAATGGTGATACCAAGAGGGGTGCCAAGCTCATCATTACGCTGGCTACCGTTAGTATCGTACGGTGTGCAAGAAGATTCACTCGACAACTTACCGAGTAACGCTTTCCAATGGAGGCGCCAGAGTCGTCGACACGAGTCGAGACGCCAGCCTCTTGCAGCTTGTCACCAAGTGTGCGCACGAATGGCTTGAAGTCAGCGTGCGAGCTCAATGGTACGATGAGCGCCTTGGTAGGGGCTACTGTGGGAGGGAAAGACAGGACGCCTCTCGCATCGTCATTCTCGCGTGTCCAGTAGGTGTGTTCGCAAAGGGCGTAGACGATACGGCCGATACCGAAAGACGGCTCGATGACGTTGGGTGTGTACTCCCTGACGTGCTCGACTCTTGTACGCTTCTCGATCTTGATGAGCTCTTGGGGAACCTCGACCTTGCCGTCACCGACACCCGGGACATCAATGACGATCTTACCGTCCTTCTCGAGATCCAGAGACAACTTCTCACGCAGATCTTGTGTGAGAGCCTCGATGGCATTCTCAACGGTCTTGCCGTCTTTCTTGAACTTGGGGCCGAACTTCTTCTTCTCGATATCGCAAACCCACTCCTCGACATTGAGGGGCTCCTTCCTCGGCTCGCGGACGACGAGCGGGGCACCAGTCTTCTTCATATGGACAGTCAAATCGTACGCGCTGCGGTCGGCACAACCGACGCACTCGATCCAGCCGTACGATGTGAGCAGCTCGGCATCCCAACAGTCTGCGGCGTAATGGGCCATCTCATTGGCCATGTGTTGTCTGAAGCGGATCTTCTTGGGGTCGGCACCGATCTGGAGCAGAAACTGCTGGATGCGGGCAAGGAAGTAACCAAGTGTCTCGTTGTCCACCATACCGGACTTGACTGCTTCGCCAATCTTGGTGGTCTTGATGGTGGTCTTGCCAGAGAGCTGGACGTCGCGATCAAGCAGCTCGAGCTCGACGTCTGCGACGTCCTCGAAACGAGGGTGCTTCTTGCCACCCTCGGGGTCGACAAAGTGCTCAATCTCAGCCATCAAGAACTCTCGTACTCGGAGGAGGCCGGCTCGCGGGGAGATCTCGTTGCGGAAGGACTTGCCGATGGAGGCGGAGGCGAAGGGCATCTGCTGCTGGTTGAACTCGAGGAGCTTCGCAAAGTTCAAGAACTGACCCTGAGCGGTCTCGGGGCGCAGGTAGCCGGGCATGTTCGACGAGGGGCCGATGGTTGTCTGGAACATGAGATTGAAGGCGACGGGGGGCTGAAGCTCGCCATTGGTCGCAGGGTTCTTGATGTCGTACTTCTTCATGAGCAGACCAAGCTCCTCGCCGTTGTAGTTGTCAATCTTGGCCAAGGTCTCCTCGTACTCGGTGACAAGAGCATCGTCCAGCTTGACAACGGCGATGTTCTTGACCTTCTTCTTCTTCTTCTTGGGATCGTCCTCCTCAGCCTCCACCTTCTCGCCACGGGCCTCCTTGTTGCCCTTCAGTCGGGCCTCTAGCACCTCCTCGACAAGGTGGTCTGCGCGGAAGATCTCGCCCGTCTTAGGGTCCTTGCACATCCAGTCGGCGAACTTGTCGACGTGGCCAGACGTCTTGAGGACTTCGTGGGGGGTCAGCATGGTGGTGTCGACTGCAATCGGTCAGTGTTGCGTCGGCGTTGTGGTCCCGTGCGCGTTACCCTCCAGCATGTTCTCCTTCAGCACAAAGTGCTTCCGCCAGACGTCGACGATGTTGTTTGTGAGGGCGGTGCCGGGCGGGCCATAGTCGTAGAGGCCAGAGACGCCGCCGTAGATGTCGAAGGCGGGTGTGTAGAAGAGGCGGCGCTGCACTGGTCAGTATGACTCGCACGGCGCATGGCGGGGGTGGGAATGCAGGCGCATACCTTCATGACGGACTCGAGCGAAGCCCGGTCGAAGGGCTTGCCCTTGTAGGTGGTCATATCGCTCGGCATCGTGACCTGCTGCTTGCGCTTGGGGACGACGAACTTGCAGTGGGTAGGTGTGGCGGAAAAGCAGCGGGCGGGCTTGGTGGGATAACTGAATGGTGGGGTACTGGGCCTGCAGAGGCGTGGTGAATTAGCGCGTAGCAACCGCGACACGCACTGCATACAACCGGGGACTCTCTCGCTGCAGAGAGAAGGCAATTGCAAATAACGAGCGTCTGGTTAACATATAATACACAGATGAATCATCGCTGCTGACTGCTCACGCGGAGACTCTTCTATGCGCGACTCGACCATGAGAACGGCTCCAGCCCGGCGCGGCGGAACGTGCCGCCGACAAAAAAGTTAGGGCAAGCAAGTCGCGACCGGCGCTGAAGAGAGAAAGTCTTGAGCACTACATGACAACACTGAGCCAGGAGACTGTCGAGGCAGGCCACGTGTCGCAAATATCCACCAACACCTCTGCGCAATTCCCACAGCCACACCACCGCCCAGCATGGCGTTCTCCAAGTCGCCGTCCGTGGCTACAGGCTTTAAGCCTAGGAACAAGCTCCGCCGACAAGCCGCCTTCCTCTCGATCAAGAAGGCCAGAGAGGCAGAGAAGCGCGACCTGCGGCACAAGCGTAAGCGCGAAGAAGCAAAAGACGAGTCCCTGCGCGAAGACCGCCTCAAGAACAACGTCCCCCAGACCATCGACAACAAGCGCGTGTGGGACGAGCCGGTGGGCGACGAGGAGGACGTCCTGGGCTGGGCGGTAGATGTCGAGCGGTTGGCGAAGAAGCGGAGGCTGGAGCAAGAGGCCGCGGACAAGGACGAGGCGGAGGGCACGCTGGCCAAGCTCAAGAAGCGCGACCAGGCGCAACAATCCGGCTCAGACGACGACGACTCCTCGGATGCAGACTCGGCCGCCGACTCGATGCTCGACTCGGACGCCTCGCACTCGGACTCGGCCTTCGACAGCGACTCGGAGCTCGCAAGACCTTCGAAAAACCGCGCGTCCTCACCAGACCCCTCTGTCGCAACCACGGCAGCAACAAACATGGAGCTCTCCCCCGAGTTCCTCAAGCAGAAGTTCCCCCAGCTCTTCGACCCGCAGCCCGAACCCAAGATCCTCATCACGACATCGATAAACTCGTCGCTGCACAAGGAAGCCGAGACGCTGACCTCATTCTTCCCCAACTCGACCTACATCCGGCGCACGGCGCACGCGCACGCGCACAAGTACTCGGTGCGCGAGATCGCCTCGTTCGCCGCGGCCCGCTCCTACACAGCCGTGGTGGTGCTGATGCAAGCCGAGCACGCAAAGACGCCCGACGGGCTGGACATAGTGCACCTGCCGTCCGGGCCGCACTTCCACTTCAGCGTGTCCAATTGGGTTGACGGGAAGAAGCTGACGCGCCACGCAAACGACACGGGCCACTACCCGGAGCTGATTCTGAACAACTTCAAGACGCCGCTGGGCATCCTGACGGCGCACTTATTCAAGGGCATGTTTCCTGCGGCCCCGGAGCTCGAGGGCCGCCAGGTCCTCACCCTGCACAACCAGCGCGATTACATCTTCGTACGGAGACATCGCTATGCCTTCCGCGACAAGCGCGAGACGGAGAAACCGATTGTCGGCAACGACGGCAAGCCCATCAAGGGCGTCGAGGATATCAAGGTCGGTATGCAGGAAATCGGGTAAGTCGCTCTCTCTGGGGTGTACTCGGGTAACATGCTAACGCACGACAGCCCGCGCATGACGCTCAAGCTGCGGAGGATAGATCGCGGCATCCAGTACAAGAGTGGCCAGGAATGGCAGTGGAAGGGCCGCATGGAGAAGTCGAGGACGCGCTTCAACATGTAGAAGAAGTGCCCTTGCCCCCACGACATTCAATAACACAAAGGTTTGTCGAAGGCTCAAGGCCGTACCTTCGTGATGCCAATACCCCGACTACGTCCAGGCTGCACACCCCGACCAAGTTCTGTGCATCTTCGCTGCTGATTTTGTCTCAAGACTGATGACGAGTGATTGTGCAATTGACCGTGGAGGTCTGTGATTGATTACCTATGCAACTCCCAAACGCTGCTTACCAGCAGTACCCTCACAGACCCAGCCGACCTGATGCCAACGCCTTGGATAATGTTGAAACGCCAAAATAATACCAGCATGCACAAAGAATACAAAGCAGCTCATCATCCCGTCCTGGGCCAATAATACCTGCTTCCTAAACCCAGAAAAAGAGTAATCGTGAAGACTACCACTGAAGATGCATAGTTCCTCTATCTCTCTGCCGAGCCCTAGGCACCGTCGTGACACTGCCAACGCTTGAGCCACCCGAGGACTGCCTCGATACATTGCTGGCGCCAGAACGCGGCGGAGTGCAAAGTGGATCTACGAGTCGGGGACGACGGGATTGACGCCTGTTATTTATGCGTAGTTGCACTCCAGATGGCGGCCGGGGTCGGGTTGCATGCCAGGCGCCAGTGGGTGGATGCAGCGGAGGTGGAGGAAGCTGAGGAATCGACCATGAAGGTAAACGATACAGAGAAGGGGTCGGCAAAAACATCTGATGCGTAAATGGTACTATACAATCGTTCAGTATGGAGCTCAGGCATAACGTAACTATTTGTTACCGCCATAGCCTCCATAGTTACCGCCTGGAGTCATATGGCCGGTAGGTCCTGGCGTTGTGGCGAGCCCCGCTGGGTGGTTCGTAGGTGTGCTTGGGCCATCGCCGTGTCTCGCGCTCCCGGGGTGGAACATCATGGGACCGCCATTGAGACCTTGGAAGCCAGTGAGGTTCTGCTGCCCCTGTGCTGCGAGTACAGCAGCTTGCGCCGTTGCGCTGGCTGGTGGGCCAACTCCAGTCAGCCCCCACATCTGCCCATTCATCTCATCAGGAACGGAGCCCTCAAAGATCTTCTTCTTCAGCTCCCAGAAGACGGTGCCAGTGAGCCAGGCATCTGAGCCTGCTGTGTGCGAGTTACCAATCCGTTGGCAGCCGAGCTCGTCAGCGAGATCTTGAAGGCCTGACTTGGTGCCCAAGTTGTTCAGGATGTTGGTGGCATTGGCGCCTATTATGCCGCGGCGGACGAGACTGTTGGCGTGTCGCCAGAGGTACTTGACGTCGAGAAGGCGAGGAAAGAAGATCTCGACAAGCTTGCGGTATGAATCCTCATCCTCCGGCAGCGACTTGGAGGTGACCATCTTGATCAAATACGCAAAGTCATAACCAGAATGGAATGATATCCAGTTGACGTCGTCTGAGAGTGTCATCCCGGATGTGATCAGCAGCGACCCGAACTCCTGTGGGTCGATGCCTTGTGATGCGTGCTTCTCGAAATCGGCACCCGACTTCTTCAACATCTGGATAGATTCCTCGTTGTACATGTCATCTTCCAGTGAAAACTGAAAGTTGAAACTCCATGTGCATGGGCAAACAACGATGTTGTTCGCATATCGCTGTAATGACTTCGGCTGGTACTGCAATGTGGACGAGTCGAGCTGTGCGGGGGGGATCTCGCCCTGTACCGAGAAGAGTGTGACGCCGAGCTGGATGATCTTAAGAAGGTCGACGTTGCACCGCACTGTCTGGTAGTGGTAGGACGCTTTCGAGTTGAAGTCGCCGATCGGTCGCGCAACGACACCGGGGAATTCTGTGTCCTAGTTCAAGCGTTAGCATTATGATAACCGAAGAAGTGGCAGCACAAAAGGGAGAAGCGCGCCAGAGGTCTCAGGTCTCCTCGTGCAGTTGATGGTGCTCTTCAAGCACGTATGTCAGACATACGCAACATACAACGGCACGCGGAACCGACTCTTACGAAAAGTTGTACTAACCATGCTGATGTACGGGTACTGGTCGATGAGGGAGCGTAGAAGGTCCATCTCTTGGTGTAGGTTTGACCTCCATACGTCGCGTATCCGCTGGCCCGCAAGACCCTTTGCGCCATCCTGGCCACGCACAGCGTCCTGCTGCAGCTGAGCACCATGAGCGAAACGCATACGCGCCTCATGTCCGTCCAGACCTGTCCCTCCACCAACCCCGCCTAGGCCAGCTACGGCTCCTAACCCTGCTCCGCCAAGGCCGCCGGCGATCCCAGCGTTGTTGGATTGAAAAGCATGCTGATTCTGCCCGAAGAGGTTGATGTTGTGCGCCTGGTTGCCCCCGCCAAAGCTGTGGGGTGGCATGTTCTGTTGCTGCTGGTGCTGCTGCGGCAGTTGTGGTTGTTGGTGTATCGGCGCGGAGAGGTGAGCGAAGGGATTTGAGAGGTTGTGCCCGGGGAAGCGGCCACCCCCACCGTTACGTGCCATTGTGCGATATGGAAGGTGCTACCGCTGGGTAGCTCGTGTGCGATACTGCTGCAGGGCTATGTGCATGCGGTAGGCGGGGTCGACAGGTGTTGATGGCCTGGATTTAGTAGTCGCGTTGAGTATCTGCGCGAATATTTGGGCAAGGCGCAGTTGAGTAATGTTGTGTTGTGGCTGATGACTGAGATGTGTTAGAATGCGGAGGGCACGATGCACATGGACCCAAGTGCGGGAGTGGCATGTCCGAGCTCTCCATGTCTTGGCGCGGCGAGTGGAAGCAACCGCGACGTCAAGCCCTCCGTGACGGCAGTCCTCAGATCCACGCTGCGTCTCGATATAGCCACACAATGAGGCCCTCATAGTGAGTGCTACGCGTTCAATGCCCCAATTGGCGCATGTACCAGCTCCGGCGCTCGTTGCTAACTCTTGCAGCTCCACCATGGCAAAGCCCAACATCACCGGCTTCGACCCGAAGGCCTTCGCTGCCGCTTCGAAGAGAGGCACAAAGGGCGATCCATGGGCACGATAGTACAACTCTCGATTGTCCCATTGCGCACTCCCACAGTACACTTACAATAGCACAGCGAGCAATGGCGATACACAGGTCCCTTCTCCAGGTGGAACCGCTTCAAGGGCTCCTTCCCTGGTCTCGGCATTGCGACAGGCGCATTCGCCGTCTACCTCGTCGCCGAGCAGCTCTTCTTCAAGGAGGAGCACGGTCACCACAGCACCGACGGCCACTAAGCGGAGCAGCGAAGCGGGCTGACGGTCATGAAAAGGAGAGGAGAAGAGAGAAGGATATGCAAGACCTGGGCGTACCGGTTGACTCAGTTTCCCTCGCTGTGAGGACTGTATATATGGAATATCACACAGCACGTCAAAGCAAGTCTCGTTTGTCAGCGCACTTTGGGCTCGTGTGATTCGCCAAATCACCACCACCAGATGCACAGGCTTTGCTAGGGACGGCGGACTTAGTGAAGATCGAGTCTGATGCTGCCAGAAACTTATTTCTGCCATCAAAATACATCTCAAGGGTCAATTTGAACGGGGAACCCGCAGCATGCAGCCACCGAGTTTGGGAACATTTGAGTATACGATGCACCGGTTGAATCAGACCAAAGGACCTTTGACCGCCTGTGCGAGTAGATAGTCACGCGTGTCTGTTGCCTTACGATCCTTCGCTGCTGACTGCGTTTTTAGCCCAGTAGCCTTGGTCTGGTCGAGTAGTATTCGGAGCAGCGCAGCCACCACTCATGAATATCGCATGAGGTAAAAGCGCGCACAGTCTTCGGCCGCTGCGTCAATGACCAGAGCGCGTTTTGTTGTAGCCAGAAGCCTCTGTTTATGACACCGACATTCACATGCTCCGTTTGCTTGCCCTAGTATGGATAATGGATAGGGGACGGCTCGCAAGTTGTGGAGAATGAAAACCCAAAGGAGGATTGGGGTGAGTGTTCCTAAAGAATTATTTGCCCATGAGAAGATTCAATCTCGTGGCCAAGGTAAAATGACGGTCAGCGGGCAGCTGCCCAGCCCGCGGACGTGACGAACAGGATATATTGCCTGAAGGTCCAGGTCGATGGACATGCTCGCTTTGTACAAGCATTTACCCGCAGGATCTCGCAGCCGAGAGCGGTCGGGTGACGATTCCGGCATGGCGGCTTCGTAACGTGCAACACGACCATGGCAGCAGCAGTTGTGAACTTGCGTATGATCCCAACTGGCGGGGCAGATGCTTCAGTTCTGTAAGAAGGATGCAATGTGTGAACATGGCACTAGAAATTGCACTACTTGAAAAGCCGGGAGTGTATCGCAGCTGTGGGCGTGGAGATCGAAAGACAGTCTTTCCCATTCTCTACTCTGATCACCGGACGTGAACCACTCATTGATCTCGCACAAGTCAAAGACCCTATTGCAAACACAACGAATTACACTATTGCAAGGAAAAGCAGTGTGGTTCGGCAAGCTCTGGTACCTGCAGCAAATATATGTGGCTGTTGGACACAGGAAACTCTTCCTTAATATTCTTCACCAACATAACCACCAGAGCGCGCTTATTCTTGTCGGCTCTCCGCACTCTTTCGCGACATAACCGTGCCTCCCGCAATATCTTCTCCCCCAGTCCCACATCTCTATATCCTCCCTCCAGCCCACAGCGATCTACTCGACCAGATCCCCACCACCGTGAACCCACTGAGCCCGTGTGAGCCCACGCCAACATCCACCTTGTGCGCCTTCAGCTCACCACCGCTCAAGCGGTCATCTTCTGTGATCCGTTCTGCATTTTTACCTGCAGCAACGGCCTGCTGCCCCGTCATGGCTAGCGGTCCTCGGCAAACGGATTGCAATCCTTGCCCACCGGCCGCTCAACGGGCCTGAACTAATCGGTGACGAGCAGGCGATCCTGCGGGTTGTGAGGCGTGCCGCGAGCCGCGCTGCTTGAGAACTTCCTAAGCTGGCCACGCGGGTGCTGTCGATCTGCAGGGCTGACGCGATGAGAGTGAGATGCGGCGAGGTCAGACTGCGGAGATGAGGATGGAGATTGGAAGGTCAGATCGGGGTCTCCGTGGACCTACAAGGTTGAATCTTGTGCCCTTGAAAGATCACTGTGTCCGAGTTAAGTATATAAATATGGTGCTGATTCACAGGGGATGACATGGCAGATGATTGAGGCATTGGTGTGAGGATTGAGATGTTGCTGAAACAAAGAGATGCGAGATGGGGTTGGGTAATTTATGGACCATGATCAACGAAAGGTCAATTCGCAGAAGTAAAACCGACTGCAGCAATGCATGGAGTAGTGGCTCTGCAAATGTATAAGGAGACCATCGCGAATGTCATGTCATCAGTGCGAGATGAGCGCAAGAGCAATTTGGTACTACAAATGCACGGAAACGCATAAGACACGACATGATTGTTCTCTTGGAGCCTCTTCGATTTTACAGACTCCGAAAGACGGGTACCTGGGAGTGAACCGGGCTTCTTCTACTTGGGTACGTTTACGACTGGGAATCTGAGTCTTGGATAAATCTTGGTTCTGGCACGGCCGAGACCCTGAATGCGGCCCTGGCCGATCATTTATCCTGCTGACTCGCACATGGTGTCTTCCTGTGGATTTGGTCCTGCTCTTAACGCCCGTTGAGAAATAAGGTGAACGGGTAGTTGAGTTGGATTCTTCTGTCAACATCGGATCTAGCGCTGCCTGTGGTTAATTCTCCTACGCGGAAGTCGAAAGGCAGCTGCAGTGACAGGGTCATCGGACATGGTTTATGCATCGGCATATGTGGAATGTATCGCTTGATGGCAAAGTACTCCTGCATAGTTGATGTTGAACAATGTGGTGTTCATCTCCCGCAACTTTAGAGCCTCGGTCCGCAGTCGTCAGGTTTAGCTTCCGTGCCCGTACTCGATCTCGCTCGGTCGGGACAAGCTATCGAAACTTTGTCTGCTGAGGTGACGTCTGTCGACAGGTCATCCTGCTCATACCCTCGCCGTCGCCAATCGTAAACAGGCTGAGGAGTTTTTGCCACGGGGCTTAGCAAGCTCGTCTCCACAACCTGCAAATACCCAACTCTATTTATCGCAAAAGAGCAAGCGTGCCGTTGAATCAATACAAACAGCCGTATGCTAAAGAGACCGTCGGGTACAATTTCAACTGTGGCGATCTGCGGGACATCTCTCTACCACTTGAAGGAAACGGAAGCCTCGTCTGCAAGTGGCCAAGGCAGAAGAAATGCTACTCCTTCAGTGCGAGCTGGTTTGATCAGCTCATTCTTGCATGCTGCTGGAAGGCCATGATGCCTTTCAAATCCTCGCGTGCCTGATCTGTGGCTTCGAAGCTACATCTTACACGCGTGAACGGAACGTGGCCGAAGCCAATCTGCTCCTCCATCAGCATTGGGCCATCATAGTGGATTAAAATCCGATTACTTGAGAAAGCATTGGAGGCCTTGTTGACTATTCTTGCTGCCGCCACTGTGTAGCTCGAAATTAGAGGAAATGTTGGTGGCGCTTGGCTGGCCAAGACTGTGGAGAACAGACAGCGAAGAGCGCCTGCGAATTCAAAGATGTTGCCTTCAGAGTAAGATCACATTAGACGCAGAATATGCTTTAGCTGCAGATCTGCTCAGCGAGGCTCATAGTTGATGTCTGCACAAGGCCATTGGTCCATCGATATGCAGTTCCTTACATGGGTACAGGTTCGAGAAGTGCTCGTAACTCATACATATCTGCATCTGCATCTACAGTTTCATAGAGCTGGGGACAACCTGTGCTGTCATCCCGCGCCCGAAAGTGCTCCCGACTGAGCTGGATGACTGTTGTGAGACAGCACTGGGTTCTGTCAAGCGAGGGCGGGGCCACGTGAAGTGCAGCCAGCCTGGCATACCAGGCTACAGGCTAGGCGCAGATGGCATCCGAAACTCAAATAGTTGTATGCAGGTACAGGCGATAGAGGTGTTCCACCAGCGGTGGGTGCTCCGTTTGGAGATGCCAGGGGCCAAGGCACGACTGCTGTGGAATGCTTGAACTGTTGCCCAAGAGTAGGCGCAGCATCTCGGATCTCACTAGTGGGCGTGGTCTCGTCGTACTCGTGTTCATAGTAAGCCGATTAGAGCGGCAGGGAGCCGAGCCGAGTCCGAAGCAATTGGGCACAAAAGATTTCTCTCGACGCAGCCGGTCCGCATGAGTGTGCGCAAGCACATGGACAGCCATGCAGGTGGGCACCAGACTACTGTCCCAACGAGTGCAAATTGAGGTCTTTTCGGTGTCGGAGGGTCCGCTGGGGAGGGCTACCGTACAGTAGCGCGCTCGTGGTGGCAGCAACGTCACCTGGGCATCATGATGCAGCCCGCAGATGTGGACAAGACGTGGGGCCTGAGAAGATATGGATAGACGGGGAAAGTCGTCCCGATGCAGTCAGCGCTCCTGCTGCAGGAACCAGGAGAAAACTATTTGCAGCAGTCATCTTTGCTGCTTCCGAGCGCGAGTTCTAGGCGACGAAAAACAGTGCTCTTGGATGGTGAACGAAGTTCGACGTCACAGCTTTTCTAGATGTGCTCCTGCCGCGTTTTCTCGTTGTACACGAACATCAATTGGCGAATTAGCGCAGATCAAAATTAGATCTATCGTGGGCAGGTCTCCACGCGTCTTCGACTTCAAAGCTCAGCCCTCTTGGACCAGGTTAGCGGAATGGCCCTGCTAAGTGGAGCACGTCTCGTGCCCTTTGGCCCACACATATCTGGAAGATCGTGAAAGCATCGACACGAGGCTAGTCGCGAGATGCCCCTTCGCAGACCCTTCGTTGCAGTGTAACGACGCCTGGATACACAGCTGAGTTGTTGGCAGCATCGTACTGCTTCGCTTTGTTTCACCGAACGCCTCATCCAACAAAGTCAGGTATGTGGGCTTGTCCGGCACTGGCGCAGATGCATCGACCTGCGCACGGCACTTCCTCCTGAGCGAGTCCTTCTACCAACCCTCGCAGTCAACATGGAGGAGGATGAGTGAGCTCACCGCAACATAAGCGCTCGTCCCACATTAGATACAACCAGCTCTTTATCTTTGTTACACAGCGACTGACGGCAGTCCCTACAGCTTCGGCTGCGTGTCACAGCATAAACTCGGTGCAGCTTGACTGCAACGTCAACAGTCGTGAGCGAAGCGCACACCTCGCTGGCTGTGCTCCCGCAGTGTGCTGTGCTGTGCTGTGCTGTGCTGTGCAATGCTCTGTGTCTGCCGGTCAGTGCTTTGTAGCGTCTGTCGGCAGCTGTTGTCCGAGATTGGCAGGCCGCGATGATCCAACGGCTCTGACAGTGGCGGCTTGGTTTACGCTTGAAGTGCCTATGTTTGAGAGCCTTCCAGCGTTTGAGACGCCAAGTCAGGCCCATGGTCCCTCTGAATCCTCGGCGACTGTTCACAACTCGATCGGCCCACAACGTAGATTGAGGTGTGTGAGTGAGGCGGGGCAGCACCGCTGAGTGCACACATCTTCGCCGACCATAGGGCCATCTTCGGTTGTTTCATCATCCCTCATGCACGATGTGATGTGAAGATCGTTCGTAGCTGGAATGGTACCCTATGCCCAAAGGAGGACCCCCCCCCTCCCCCCCCCCCCCCCCCCCCCCCCCAAAGGCGTGCTCGGATCGTCACGGTATTCCTGTTCTGTGTTGCGAGTTGGGGCGTACCCCAGCTCTTTCTACTTCGAAAGGAGACCGTTGTGCACATCGTTGTCTCTTATGGACGCATGAGCCAGGTGCTTGCGGTCGTCAAGCTCGTTTTAGTCAAAAGGACGGAGCTTGCCTCGAGAAGGCATCGCCGCGCGAGGCTGCGGGCTGATGCATGGAGGCGCGTTCTCCCATGTCAAGGTTCCTGCAGGTGCATGCGCACAAATCAAATGCGAAGCCGTCCGACCAAGCTAGACACACGACAAAAAACACCATCAAAACAACACGATATTCGCCGCGCGCACTTTCGCTAAAGCGTTGCATTTGCCGACCTCTCTGTCCCACGCGTTGTCAGATCGACGCTGTGGAGGGGCAGGTGCACAGCGTCAACAGGCAGCTCTGTTCACTTCAGGGTCATGTACGAGAATCCTGCTGTCGAATCTTCTCGCGGTAGCACAACAACATCGGCCGGCATTGACCAGATGAAAGCGCAACGTCTGTGTAAAGCGGGCCTCTGAGTGGTCCTAGCGGACCTTGTGCTGCGCTATTTACCCGTTAATTCACAACGAAGGCCAATCATCACCACCAAATTGCTCCCCTGCAATGTCATGTTGCGTCCCAGCCGACCTGTCGGGCCGCGAGCCCTCCGGTCTAATGCTCAGTGGCTTGCGGAACGGTATGGTCTAGGTTCCCCCGTCTCTGTCACCCCTGTCGCTACTTGTGCCCGTTGGCTCCGACCACTAACAGCTGTCTAAGCGCCGCTTTTACGCAGTTCACCTTTTTTGTGTGCAGCCTCCCCTGTCCCTGCATGTCCAAAGATCACTAAGCCTCACCCCCGGCGCCGCGCACTGAGCACTCGCGCACTATCCATCTTTCTCCACATGCTCTCCGCTGTTGTGTACGCCCGCTATGTACTTACATACCCAGGCTATCCCTACCTTTGCTAGTGGTTCACCGGCCCCCAAAGTCCCATGCGCAGTGCCAATATTGGCGGGACTTACATTGACTTCCAGTCCGCCCCTCGGTACTGACAGCGAAGCATACCATATCATCATTCCGATCTGTATCAGGACTTGCGAGCCTCAGGTATTCCTTACACAACCCTACTCGAGCACTTACCGTCAAACACCATCAAGTCGCTGGCAGTTTCTCACAATACCAGCGGACCCTCGTCTTACATTTTAAACGACCGGCGGTATCCCTCCCTCTGAGCTGTTTCTCCTCGGCGTCTGAAGGACCGTGATCAGGCCCTCGTGCTGCTCATAATCTCCCTTGGTGGTGCAGTCAACCGTCTTAAGAGGTGCGCATATATACTGTTTTCATGAGTTGCTTTACCTATCGTCCCAGTCACATATCGTTTTTGCTGCTTTTCAGCTTTCTCTTCTATTCTTGCCTCTGTTTCTGCAAGCTTCAATTTCGATGGCCGCTGGCATGGACCACTAACGCGTGGACCAGACCATCGATTCGTATACAGTCTCTTCTATTTTGAGCCGGCCTTCCGATTGCGAACCGTGTCCCCGGATCCTCTGGCACCCCCCCCCCCCCCCCCCCCCCCCCCCCCCCCCCCCCGCCCCCCCCCCCCCCCCCCCCCAAGATCTGCAGGCCTTGACACTATCATCGAACGTTTGTGCCTTGCTCACACAAGTCAAGCATTGCCCGCCCATTGATGGACCGTTGTCGGGCTTAATCCTAGTTCCTAAGCGATGTTTGGGTTTCATAAGAACGAGACGCTGTCGCGCTCTAGACAATCGTCTATCGATTCATCTGTAGCAGAAGGCCGAATTCTGACATCAGTCCCTGATTCGACAACTGCGTCGCAATGTTCGGCAGATTCGGACTACACTGAAGGTGCGCACTCGCCAGAACGGCGACGGAGGGCCACATCTAACAGGCGAAACTCTGTCTTCAACATGCGCTCGAGGAGTAACACAGCTGCTTCTACAGCCTCGTCGATCATGTCTTCTAGCCATCCAGATATGGCTTCGTACGGCCATACCGCTCCCGGTTCTCCACCTACACTTCGTCATGTTCCCAGCCACAGCCGCCTTGACAACAATGGCTCAAGGAGATCAATGTTCCGCGGAAAGATGGGGAAAAGATTGAGCGAGTCGGTTAGCAATGGAGTGGATGCCGATGACTACCAGGAAGTAGAAGCTGGACGAAAGCGAGCATCGTTCCTGCGAAAGATGAAAGGGGCCAACGAGTCAGAGACCATGTGTGAGTGATATTGTCCCGTCGAAGCATGCTCAAACTCTAATACCATTCTAGACAGCGATCTGAAGAACCGCATCTCCAGTCCATTTGACTTCCAGCATTTGACACATGCCGACCGACATCAGGTAGCTACGCTAGAGCAAGCTCCTGGGTCTGCGTTGGTTACTGGATGGGCCGAGCGTGCTGCACGAATGTCTGCTTCAGGACCCAACAGCCCTCGCAACATGTTGACCGAGAATCTGGTGGCATCAGAGGCAGGCTATGCCTCACCACCCCAAAGCCCACATTTGAGGGAATGGCAACAGTCCGACCCCAGTGCATCTCGACAAGGACTTAGGCTAACTCGGTCTGTGGAGAGCTTCTCGCAGCCAGGCGTCAACATTCGTAACCACCGCCACTCATCGTCTGTCATTGCGCCTCCTCGAACTTCTTCCCTTGGCCCAAAATCATCCATTCATAACATACCTAAAGAGGAGGCATGGAGCCAAGCATCCACTTCTCGTTCGAGAAGACAGTCAGGCATATGGGACGCATTTGCCCTGTCAACTGGATCAACTAGTCAACTTCCAGGGATTGCTGAGGATTCCACCTTCGTCGGCAATGCTGTCACAACACCAGATGACTCCGCGATTCAGGCCATGACTCCACCATTCAGTCCCAGCCTTGATGATGTCGCAGAGGAGCCGGAGCGTTTTGTCAATCCCAGGCCTGCTCCTCAGCCATCCCGATTGAGATCCCCAACATCTCCCAGATCACCCTTCCTGGAATCGTTTTCTTTCAACGGTCAGCGCTCACTGGGCGTGAAGACTCGATCGAGGGGTAATCCGCACACCTCACCTAGGTGCTCTGCTCTTCCAAGCTTGACCGGTCAAACCGGTTCGCAGATATCGGAGACATTGGAATCCCCTACTCTGACACGCGCGAGTCCTGTCCCTAGACCAGTCGTTACACGTCGCAAGTCGAACACTTGGCGTGCCATTGAAGAATCTTGGGAGGATGACGTGGACTACATCTATGATAACGCCTTGGAAGCTGAATGCGATAACGACTGGGACTGCGTATCTGAAGACGAGGGACTAAGTGAACGCCATCATGCTCTGACGCGAGCAGTCTACGAGGAAAGGTTTCCAGCACCACGGCCCGCGCAACAACCGCCTCAGCCTCCCAGTAAGAAGCCAACGTTCCGACTGCAGCTTCCATTTGTATCGTCGCGCTTGCTTCTGGACAATGACAATGTCCCGGAACTGGGCTCTGCATCCGGAGCATCAGCATCTACGACAACAATCAGCCTCCAGACACCATTCCATGAGTCAGAAGGATTCATCTTGAGCCCTTCCCTCCTGCTTCCCCAGGCCTATAAGGAGCCAGCAGAGGCCTCCTATGAAGATATTTTGAAGGAGTATGACGGATCTGACTGTCATTTCCCCATTATGGATCTCGATGAAAGCGCAACAAGCTCAACCCGCAGCAGTCACGTCCGCTTCAGCCGCCGGAGCTCGTACGACAGCAGCCTCACGTCTTCGGCTCAAAGCTCTGGGCTATGGAGCTCTCCCATCAGACGCTCAGCAAGCTCTGCCGGCAGCCTCCCAGAGCTGGTACACTCGCGTCGCACTCGACAGAATTTCAATCTGATTGTGGACGAGCTTTCCGAGCAAGTTGCGATTTTGGAGGCGTTCGGCAGTGACAACGAGGAGGATGATGATGTCACTCCACCAGGACCCTCTCGTCGCTCGGCAGAACGTTCCTTCTTCTCTTCTGCGCGGGACTTGGCCAACAACGAAAGTTACCAGCGCAACAAGCAATCCCACAAGCAGACTCTTTCGGATGGCGTAGCTCATATGCTCGCCCCCGCCAGTACTCCTAAGACTCGCAGCCGCGCAGCCACCACTAGCTACAAAGCCGGCGAGGAGTACCTTCATCTCTTCCCTACACCACCCTCATTTTCACCTCCCACCACCGACTAAGTCGACCTTCCACCGACCCTGAATCGCACTATGCCCACACCACCTCGTGCCAGTCTAGCACACCGTGGCATGGCTGGTCCATGCCTTGACACGCTTGCACGATCCATGTTGGTTGGATCTCTATTACACAATCCATACACTTCACTGTACATATTCACGACTCACCATGAATTCCGTTCTTAGCTTTTGGCGTTCTTCTCACCGGACCAAGAGGATAGATTTGATCGGCGCATAGAGTCTCGGTATTTGTAGAATCTGTTGTCTAGTTTCTTGTCGGTCACGCACACTACCTTACCAGGTGTTGCATCTGTACGCGATTTCATATTTCAGACGTTCGCACCTGCTATCAACGATAGTCACATTTCCTTTGTAGTCAAGGCGCTTGAGCTTACAGTAATGGCGCCTCAATTCGTGTACGGTGTTCACCAAAGGCGACTGGAAGTAATCGTAGATCACAACTATCCAAGCGCATTACAGCATAACCTCACAATCTTGTTCGATCCATCTCCCATGTCACAAATTTAGAGCTTGCAGTTTCATCGAACCGTGCCGCTCGACAAACCACGCTACCGTATAATCTCAGTTGTGCCGGTGATAGTCTATACCTAGCGTATTTACGGGTGGCGCGGATGTTCGATCACGCAAACCAATGCCAGATCGCTACATCCACGCCCTAAAACTAAGTACAACTTATTAGTTAGTTGTCTGGAAGACTCAGCCAGCTAGAAATCTGTGGGTTGCAACTGCTGATGGGGTAAGGGTTAGGGTACATCGTGGATGTTAACTTACTCATAGATAAGCAAGCAAGTTGATAGAAACATTTCCACAAGCTTATTGTGGCCTGTTAATGCAATTGATACGATTGAAATTGTGAGTGAGTTGTCCATAAGTGTCCGGGGCACCCCTACTAGAGTATCACCGACACAACTGAGGTTCTACGGTACAGCCCACGACCGTTCTCTTGCTAACAAGACGGTAATTTCGCCGCCGATTTTCGCCAGCATACCCCTTCCAACTTGGTCATCACCATAGCCAGCTTCCTTCATATTTCACCGTCGGCACCAAGCCCTGTGTCCCCACTCACCCAGAACAGGACCTTACGATGTTGGTATGATTTATTCATACGGCCCTTCTGGACTACCTGGGTATTACAAGGATGTAGATTGCTGGAGTCTGATTTGTGCATTGGAGGCGCCGGATTGATGAGCGGCGCCGCGGTCGAGGTAGGGGTTGTGAAACCGGTTCACGGAAACGGGAGTGTAAGGCTGAGACACTTGCTTTTGTTTTGTGGAGATGGGGGTGCGGATCGCAGACGTGGGCTGATGGAGGAGTGATTGCCGGGGAGCAGGCCGGCAGTTAAGAGGTTGTGAAACGGCACTTTGTTTTTATTTCTGATAATGACAAAGGGTTGTACCGTGATCGTGTGAGCTAGCAGGATCTCCCCACGACTGCCGAATCGAGTTTCTTGCGCTGCAGCTCTGCGTCTGTTGGTGTTCGTCAGGCGAACCTTGCAGACCAACAGCACGGTCTCATCTCCACTTCCCGGTTTGAACGTACTCTAGGGGTTGCGAACGCCACATTGATAGTTCAACTCAACGCTTTGTCTGACTGCCGAAGACAAGCCTTTCTGCTTCGTTCTTTCCTCGGGGCGCACACTTAACTTAAGCGTTGCAGCGAAGGAGCCCGGATGCAAAACCATCTCTTCCTGTCTACCTAGTACCTAGTAAGTAGATCTAGGTGGCTCGTGCCGTTGGAGGCTCTTGTTTAATGCATCTCTCCCGCTCTGTACATGGTTCCTAGGTAGAAGGCCCGATGATGACTACCTGCCACGCTTTGATAATTGATATGCACCGCAAAGATCTTCGAGAAACATCTCAGCCCGCAATATCGGATGCAGGAATACATATGCTGCCGAGAGAGTTGCGGCCCGGCAACACCCCTCTGCTGAGATTCTTTCTGCAACACTAGCTCTTTCCGAGGTACTGATGATCAGGGTGGTATACGTGGCGAAGCAACTTCATCGATCGGTTACCGATGGCGCCCCAAATCACATAGCTCTCCATATAATCCAGTTCTCCAGCACCACGGTTGCAGGTGCAAAGGACCAGTGTGGGCGCTGGAGCATGCCGACAGCGAACAATTTCAGGGCGGACGTTCTTATGCTACAGAGTTCGAGCACACAGCTGTGATATCGAAGATGCTGAAGAAGGTGACAGTGCTGCTGTGCCCGGTGAGGTCGAAAAGTGCCTCGGCCAGAACACCCACGGCCAATGAGCTCTCTGTGCTTGGCGGAACTTGCACGGCTACGTCATCGTCTGCCATCATCCCGTCTGGCACCTGCCATCCACTTGATCGCCACGCACGGGAAGAGCCTACCACGCCGGCCGGTATCCCAACCTCAAATTTGACCGAACTTACATTTCTCAACCCTCCACATCAGATATCTTTGGAATAACACCCTGAGGTGATCCTTCACATTCGGATCCGGTACTTCCGCCTCTTCTGTCTGCGTTGCATCAGCATCATGGTCTTCGGTCTTAGCCGCCTGACGCCGCAGCGCATTATCATCTTCACTTCCGCATCTGTATTGTTCTGGCTAGTCGTAATTGGATTAACGCCAATAACATCACCACTCCCCCCCTATACAGGGCCACATGAGGTTGGCATCTTAGACGTCGAGACACAAGTTGAGAAGCGTGTCATTCGCGAAGCCACCTTGGAAGACACGGGAAAGAATGCATTCGAATTATCAACATTGGCGGTGACACTCTACTACCCTTCTTCTCTGCCCAACAGCCCTCCCTCACAACAACCATGGGCTCGTCCGTGGCTTCCTCAGCCAGTGTCGTTGATTGGTCAGGGTTACTCGCGCCTTGCAGGTGTATCCTTCTTGAGTCCTGTCTTTACTTTTGCCCTCTGGGCATTGGGCTCGTCGACCGTCATCCCTGGCATTGTAGATGCACCGGTTCTCTCTGGCTCCGAGAAGGTGCTTGTCGAGGAAGGCTCAGGCGCAGGCGGGTTTGGCAAGATCTTGGAGGCAGCAGAGCAAGAGCAAGAGCATACGGAGTTGAGGAGAGATGAAAAGATTGGGACGCTTCCCTGCGTCGTCTTCACGCATGGGATGGCTGGTATGAGCCAGAGCTACTCACACTACCTAGGCAGTATCGCCAGCCATGGCTTTCTTGTCGCAGCAGTGGAGCATCGCGATGGCAGCGGGCCGGGGACTATTGTTCACTATCCCAACAAGACGGAAAGGCGTGTCTGGCACATGAAGCTCAAGGATCTCGTGTACGTCGTGCTCATATGGCTCTATTGTGGCATCGATAGCTTACGAATTTAGGTCTGACCCACCTATGACCGACCTCGACCTAAAGGAAGCCCAACTCGCTTTCCGCGAGGCTGAGATCGCGGAGACAATTAAGCTCTTCGCACAACTTAACGACGGCGACGTACCAGTCATCAACCTTAAGCCCGGTTCTCCTCGTGAAGCACTTTCTGGCTTTAAGGACCGCCTAGACATATCGGCTGTCACAGTAGCGGGTCATTCTTACGGCGCCACTGGTGTCTTGCAGGCTCTCAAGTCCGCCGGACCCAAGGACTTGAGTCTTAACGGAGGTATTGCGCTGGACCCCGGCAAAGGATCAGGTCCGCTAAACAAGGACATCAACGTTCCTCTACTGGTCATGCAAAGTGGAGAGTGGACCGACAAGCAGACCACATTCTACGAGCAGGGCTGGCACTTCGATGTTGTTAAGAAAATTGTTGAAAACGTGAAGGCTGGTTGGATGATGACCTTGAGTAAGTTTGGATTCAAAATGCTAGTTATGTTATACTGACTACTTCCAGCTGGCACTGCGCATCCATCTTGCACCGATGCACCTCTCATCGTACCTTGGATTATGAAGCTTGTGACAGGCACGTCACTCGAGTCAAGAGTTGCGTTGCACGAATACATTGACGCGTCAGTCCACTTCTTGAAGTTCTTGAAGACAGGCGAGAAGGGGGGCATCCTTGCGAGCGACGTCACCAGCTCGGCAGGACCGTTGGGAGACGCTGACAAGCGTACAAAAGCGAAGGGAGAGTCTGGCGCAGATTGGGAAGTCCACGTCGTGCCTGAAACAAAATCTGAGTAGATGCGCAAGCCGAACGAACGAATAATAGAGCCTGACACGACGTACTCAAGGCGGATTGCAGTGGAAGCTTCTGCGACACAGCCGTAACATGGAAGTGGAGAACGCGGAATAGCGCATGCAGCTCACGGGAATACCCGCTTCCATGTTCTATTCACTTATGAAAGAAAGTCCAGATGATCCAGCTTGAACATGACGAAATCTTCAGTTCAGGGAAATTTTGGTGTCTAGGCCGCAAATCGCCTAAACTGTTGACCAACGTGGTTCTAAATTTATCGATAGCGTGCATGACCCTTGCGGTTGCGCGGGGAGGCGTGAGCTAGCTGTAGTGAGGCTGAGTGCGCTGCGGGTATCCTTCAGCTGCAATGTCAGACAAACACTCCGGAAGCCTTCTGCCTCGTCCCTGCGCTCGCTGAGAGCTCTGCTATCCTTTTCGTACTCTGGATTCCAGGAATAATCCCTTAATCTTCCTGCTACGCCGATTGCGACGACGCCGACCAAAACCGTGAGTTTCCGCAGGCTGAGCCGCGTAAACACAGCACTTTTTCGCCCAGAGTCCATAACAACGCACCTCGAGCGCCTTCGAGAGGGCTACAGACGCAAACATGCCGGTCGGGCGGATACCGCAAAGCTATATACAAAAGTGCAAGATTGGGTTGCACTTCCTGCAGGCCTTGTTCATCTTCGTCGCAGCATGTCTTACGATCGCTGTAATGACACGAGGTGACATTGGCGGCGCGACCAAGTACTACTTTGCTATGGTGAGTGTAGTATGATAACTACTGCCCGGCCTTGAGGCTGGTTGGGAAACTACGGTTGTTGAACCGTGAGCAGAGCAAAGCTGACACGCTTCCGCAGTGCTTCCTGTCCATACCCGCGATCATCTACCTCGTCATGGTGCCCATGTGGAGTCGAACGAAGAAATTCGCGAACGCATATGCGTTCCTGACAGTCGACTTGCTGTACACAAGTTAGTATACAATTAGTCGGCGCGCGCAACAAGGCTGACAAAAGGACAGTCCTTTGGTTCGCAGCGTTCATTGCAGTCGCAATGTGGAACTCAGCAGGCATAAAACAAGGCGCTGAAGAAAAAGACATCAGCGAGGACGAGCGCAACTGCACCACGTTCAAGTATGGCACCGAGGCAATGTGCAACATCAGCAAAGGCGCAGTCGGCATCGGTGTCATGATCTTGTAAGCACCACAGACCTGTAAACTACAACACGGCAAGACTGACACCACACGATAGCATTTTCTTCGCCCTCTCCTCCGCAATCTCCGGCTACTACATGCACAAGTTCCTCCGCGAAGGCGTCCTGCCCTACGACTCTAAGGAACAGAACCCCTACTACGCGAGCGGCGACAACAGCAAAGACAACGCCTGGTCCACCGAGATCGAAACCCACGACTCGGACGAGGACGACAGACGCACCGAGCGCGGCGGTAACCAGGAGGAAGACGAGTACGCGCTGCTGCACTCGACCGAGACAGACGCGGGCCGCCACCCCGGCCGCCCGCTGAGCTGGGGCGAGGACAGGAACGGCGAGCCGTACGATAGACCGACGGGCTACGCGGACTATAGGGAGAGCACGAATGCATATGGCACCGATGCGCTGTCGCCTGGCGGGTACACGCTTGGCGGCGGGTACGAGGAGTTTAGGAAAGAGCCGACTCCCAACTTGGGCGCCAGTATTGCCTCGAATGCTGAGAGGGCACCCAGTAGGACCAGCCAGTTCGGCGGGAGTGGGTATGGCTTCAGCGGACCGAACAATGTGTAGGGAGCTCTTCTGGCTGATCCGAATTCACGTGAGGAGCTTGCGTTTGAGCGTTCTGTAGGCATGGCATTCTGCTCTTGGTTTGGGCGGGCAAGCACGTGCTAGGACGACTCGTCTTGTGCCTGAGCGATATTAGCATTGGACAACGATTCATTCAATTCTCGAAGAACAAAATTTCGACACGCGCTCATTCGCGATCATGACCGTTGCAAGACGTGATCGTAAAGATGCGACAGCGACACAGCGTAAACGTTGCATCTTCCAATTCCCCGTCCTGGGTGTCTTCACGCATTCAGCATGTGGATATGGAGCACCAAGATTGCCTTGTGGTAAGCGTGTGTGCTGCACGTGTGATGTCAGGGCAGGCGGTGCGGATTGATCGAACACGGGCTTGCCAGGAGTACACAGAATGCATGTCTTAACAAGTAAGTACGGACTGCTCTGATCCAAAGTGCGGGTGAAATGCTGCGTGACGGCTGGTGTAACCACGCTGATGTGTTGCTCATACTCGCTCTGTGAGGCCATCGGTGCAGGTGAGGATAATTTGAAGGTGAGGCTGCGGATACTTTCAGCAGCTAAGATGTAACTGCCATGTCTAATTCACCAACTATATACACTTCAAAGTGGGGTGTACAACCTCTAGGGATATGCGCTAGTCATGCCTCGGCTCTCCCAACCCCTGTCCTCAATCAAGAGGTCTGGTTACGCGACCTCGCTCCTGACCGCGCAGTAGCAATTCGCTCGAAGCTGTGTACTTGTTTGTTGCGTCTATCCGTTCCCCTCGCTTGAGATTGACGAGGGCATGCAAGCATCGGGCGCGGGACGACGGCGCAGGGCCGCGCTTCTCCGGCAGAGAGCCATACTAATCATCGTCATCACGTGGGTGCTGTTTTGTAATCACGCGTAGCTTTGCACCTTAGTCAACCAAATCCAGACTGTTCGTATGATGTATGATGTGCATTTTCCTTTCTCTTGCATTGACCTTCCTCTTGCATTTCCCTTTCTCTTGCATTTCCCTTCCTCTTGCATTTTCCTTCCTCTTGCATTTTCCTTTCTCTCCAGGCGGTTCCCATCAGACTTGCATTGCAAAAGGGCTTTGAAAAATATATCGCCCATCATGACTGTCTCCGAGGTAGGTGAGCTTCCAGCGCGTTGAGCTTCGCTTTACCAAGGTTTCCCATGTTGATATCACAGCCCCGCTGCGCCCAGCGTCTACATTCGAAGAGCCCCTGCGGTGGCATGCCTTCTCGGTTCCGAAGCGTTATACCCTCTGAGCATTTCCCTGCGGAAACGGACCGGTACGTCTTATATGTCAACGCAGTCTGTCCATGGGCGCATCGCGCAGTCATCGTCCGCAGCTTGAAGGGACTGGAGGACGTTGTCGAAATGGTCGAGGTGGATGCCAGGGATCCCGTGCATGGGTGGTACTTCTCCGGACGGCGCGGCCCGTCGTGTGATCCCAGATATGGCATTCGATGGCTGAAAGAGCTATACCTGAGGGCTGATCCCGGTTACGCCGGACGTATCACGATACCAGTGCTATGGGACAGGCAGCGAGGTCCGTTCCAGGCGACTTTGCCATGATGTAATTACAGCTGACGCCACGCAGAAACAATCGTCAACAACGAAAGCGGAGACATCGTCCGCATACTGACCAGATCGTTCGACCATCTCCTGCCCCCCGCTCGCCGCGAAGCCAACAAAGGACCTGCGGCTCTCGTCCCAGCCGCTCTGGCGCCGCAAATCGACGAGCTAAACTCCTGGGTCCACGACACGGTGAACAACGGCGTGTACAAGATCGGCTTCGCCACCTCGCAAGCCGCGTACAACGAGCACATTGCTAAGCTCTTTCAATCCCTGGACCGCCTGGAAGCCCATCTGTCGCAACCGCAGCACAGTCCGTATCTGTTTGGCCCACACGTAACCGAAGCGGACGTGCGGTTGTACACGACGCTCATCCGCTTCGACGTCGCGTACTATCCGCTTTTCAAATGCAATATCAAGATGATACGGATGGACTACCCCCGACTGCATGCGTGGCTGAGACGGCTGTATTGGGACGAAGGGCCGGAGACCGCGGGCGGAGCGTTTAGGAAGAGCACTCAATTTGAAGTGGTGAGTAGTCTTTTCCCTGCATCTGGTGGCTTCACGACTGACTGTCGTAGATTAAGCGGGGATATGCGTCGGTGACAGTGGGGAACGGCGTTGTGCCCGCTGGACCGCTACCGCATGTTCTGCCTCTGTAATCGACGAGGAAACAGCACATTCGTCCAGCCGTTTGCGCTCTCGACAGCTGTCTTTGGTCGGTGCGGTAGTCGCTGGTGGTGCGGTAGTCGCTGGTAGTGCGATGTCGTCGCGTGCCACAGTGGCGTAGCAGCGTGTCAAAGGAGCGGCTCTACCTTTCTAGAATCGCAGAACACTGAATATGCCTCTGCTCGTCTCTCCGGGGAGCGTTGACGTCGTACTGACCTCTCAGATGCTGTTCGCTGACTGGAACCTGCGCGTTGTGGGGCGCGCTGCGGATTCAACGCGCGTGGAGGAGGACGGACGGGACGGGAAACGCAAGAGGCAGGGGAGGAAGGACGAAGACCCTAGCTCTTGAGTCGCGTTGATCGCACCGATTTCTCTCTGCACGTGCTGGGTTGCAGGTGAGTGCATGCGGCCATGCACTGGAGCGGGGGGTTGTCGACGCCTTGCAGCCTCGAACGGGGGTGACGCAACACAGACGCGATTCTCGTGATCAGAAGGGATGTGTGATTGTGTGTCTCAGGAGCAGGAAATAATGTCCAGTTGCAACCCCATGTATGTGCCGCGCATCGCCGAGCCCGCTCAGCTCACGCCATCATACGGCGTCCCACCATGCGCCATTGACCCAGACGCCAAGTATGTATATGTAGGTGCAACGTCACGCGCCGCCACCAACCGGCGTGCCGCTCCTGCTTATGCGCGTATGCACGCTGCCGGAGCTGTTGTTGCGCGGCACGGGTGTGGAGCTCCTGCTCCGCTCTCTCTCGCGCTCGCGGTCCTCGATCTTGACGCGCTCGCGCGCCTCCTCGACGAGCCGCTTAGCTTCGCGTACGTTGCGCATCGTGCGGCCCAGTTTGCCTTCCTTGCCTTCCTGCAGCTTCTGCAGCTCGCCGCGCGCCTCAATGTCTTCCTTGGTCTTCTTGACGAACTCCTTAAACCCTCCTTTCAGGCCGCGACCAATGTCCTTGCCCTCGTCGAACACGCAGTCGCTGTCGCGGATGCGCTTGATGTCCTCGACGCGGCGGGTGAGGTAGAGCGTTGGGTGGCGGTGCTGGTCTTTACGTTGATTGATGATGCGCTGGACTTCTTCCTCATATGCCGCTTCGTAGACGTTGATGTCGACATTGGAAGGCGACTCGGACACGAAGAAGGTGTCTACGCTTGCGGACTCTTCGCCGGTGCCGATGTTGAGGAAGAGCGTATCTTCGAGAGGATCGTGTGCGTGGCCTTTACCGATCGGCGTCGAGGGCCCCGATGCTATAGTGCTGGGTGTGGTGACGGAGGGTGCGGCAGCAGGTCGGTGAGACATGTTGCCGTGTATGACATTGGCGTCATCTGGGCTCAGCGAGGTTGGCGCATTCGCTCTTGTGATGGTCGAACGCTTAGCCGGTTGTGTCGCGAAAGCCTCTTCACGGAAGCCTGTCGATTCGTTAGTCAAGCCCTGCTGCGCGGTGACGGCAACGCATACTGCCGTGGGTGTCGATGTCGCGATGAACACCTTCGGTAACCAGCGCTCCTTCGACAGGCCGCCGGTTGTCTGTGTCTTGCGATTTCGACTTCCGTAATGCCGAAGGTCTCATTGACAGTGGAGGCTGTACAATTCTTGAGGCACTACCTAGTATCCCGTCCAGGCGCTCTGGTCTCCGTCTGAAGAGCAATTGTTTGAATCGCTTCACTGCTTGAACCTGGTCGTTGTCAGTATTGTCTCCAGCTTTGAGATGGCAGGCAAACCCTTACCACCGTCACAAGATGGCCCATGTTCCCCGTAATGGCAGCATTGACTTCCTCATCGGTGGGCGGTGCTATTATGATGGCGACGTTTTCGGACTTGGAGAGTAGAGGATCAGCGCCGTTTCGTGTGACCCAGGGGTGTTCCTGGACGAGTCAGCATACAGGAATGACATGCACCCTTGGTGACGTACTCGGAGCTGTTCAATGTTTATCCGCTTCTTGGGGTCTTTCTCAAGCAGTCGACGGAGGAGGTCCTTGAGGTCCTCGTTGCAGTCGCTGTCGAACTCGACCTCATCCATCCGTATCGCCTGGTACAACTCAATCATGCCGTGCTTCTCAAAGGGGATGCGGCCGAAGCGCAGACAGTATAGTGTGCAGCCCATGGACCAGATATCGGCCGCTCTGCCAGAGACATGTCCGTGTTTCGCAACGCAGAGTTCTGGCGGCATAAACGCCGGTGATCCTGCGGACTTGGCGGTCCTCATCTCGCCGTCCTTGTCGAACATTTCTGAGACGCCAAAGTCGACAATCTTGAGCACATCGTCTTCTGTGATGAGGCAGTTGTCGGGCTTGATGTCACGGTGGATAATGCCCTGCGCGTGGACTAGACTGTAGTTAGATGCAGGCCTGTCAAGCGTGTGTTGCTCTCGACATACGGTACTCCAGGCCCAGGATCATGTCTCGCAGCCAGCATCTGCACTGCTCTTCACTGTATGGATCTGCACGCTCTTCGAGGCCAACCTGCATGACGACGCCCTTCTTGCACATCTCCATGACCATGTACAGCGAGTCTTCCTCCGGGTCGTCGAGCACTTCGATTAGCGACACCAGATTGGGGTGGTTGAGCTTCTTCATAATGGCAATCTCCTCCTTGATCAACTCGAAGGCGTTGTTCTCGCCCTCGGTGGACGAGTGTCGGTGCAGCGGGGAGTTGAAGCCGATGCCGGCAGGCAGGGCGCGTCGGCGATTGCTGGGCCGGCGGAGCAGGTTCGATTGGGCGCGTTTGCGCAGGCGCGACTTGGAGAACTCCTTGACAGCGTACTCCTGGCCGTACTGGTCGACGGCGAGGTGGACGGCGCCGAACGAGCCGCGGCCAATCTCCTGCTTGATCAGGTACTGGTTGATGCGGTGCTGGGCGGTGCCGTCATCCTCGCTGTTGCTGTACTCGGACCGCGCATTGAGCGTTTCCTGGACGGTCAGACGACGCAACGGCTGGGGAGGCGGGCTGTGACGTACCTTGACGCGTCTTGTGCTCGAGGCAGCTCGGCGGTGGTGTCGGAGCGGGCTCTGGTACGCGGGCGTGGACCTGGCCATCATCTGTCAGCACCTCCGCGGCGGGGCAGCATTGACGTAGCAGCGTTTGGGCGGCGCACATGTACTTGACGGGCGCCGGGCGAGCGTCGGCGGCGGCGGCGGCAGCGGCGGCAGCGGGGACGTCGAGGGTGGGGCGCGAGGTGTAGAAGCCGGGGTGGTGGTGGGGGCTGTGGTCGGCGGCGGGCGTCGAGGGCGTCGCGGGCGAGGATGTCTGGTCTGCGGGGTGCTCGGGCGGCTGCGACATGGATAGATCTATGCTACAGGGCGGCGATGCGGGCGAGCGGGCGGCGACGAATACGAGGCTAGACGAGAGCTGGATAGATAGAAAGAGAATAATATAGGGAAAGCTGGATGGCTAGCAAGGGGCGACCGTTGAGGTGAGCGCTCTGCACTGACATGCGCCGGGCAGTGGGCAGGTAACTATGGTATGTATGGCTCAATGCAGCGCGACCGGGCGGGCAATGAGGGGGGCTCGGTGGCTTCGAAAAAGTCCTTTCAGCCTCAGGCTCGGTCAATCACTTGCGGCCGCTGCCCACGAGCCACCGCAGCCACTGCAGCCCATAGACCCCGCTGCGTCACTTGCTTGGCGAACATGTATCCCCAGAGCGCGAACGGCATCATGGCGGGTGCTGGACGGCGCTCCGTTTGCTCATTCGCCAACGTTGACGTTGACGTTGACGTTGACGTTGGTTGGCGTTGGCGTTGGCGTTGACGTTGCTGAGCCTCCACCGGCAACCATCCGCAATGGCGCCCTGCGTGTCGATCACTCGCAGACGGGCTGCATGGTAGACAGAAGCAAGCAATCTGACACCACTTGCTGCTGCTCGCCGCGTGAAGCTTGAACAGGCTGTCAGAGCTGCATCCCGGAGCTACCCCTCAGCGCACGTGCCTTGCCCTTCACCAACATCGCCGCTCACCGCCCGCCCACGCTCCGCCAACATGGTTCTCTACAGCTTCTACATATTCGACCGGCACAGTGCGCACACACACCCGCCACCCCAGCACGCAACACGGCTAACACCACCCAGCGGAGTGCATATACAGCCGGCGCTGGGCCCCGCGCCCAACATCCTCCTCCGGCGCGTCCACGGCCACGAAATCCACGCGCCCCACCTCTAGCGCGTCGCTGGCCTCGACCACACCCGCCGCTGCCGCCGATGCCCCCAGCACGCCGCACAGGGGGCTCTCGCACGCCGACGACGAGAAGCTGATCTTCGGACTCGTCTTCTCGCTGCGCAACATGGTGACGAAGCTGGGCGGGGCCGACGACACGTTCCTCTCGTACCGCACGGGCGAGTACAAGCTGCACTACTACGAGACGCCCACGCGCATGAAGTTCGTCATGCTCACCGACACCAAAGTGCCCAATCTACGACAGTACCTGTACCAGATCTGGGCCAATCTGTACGTCGAGTATGTCGTCAAGAACCCGCTGGCGCCCATGGAGCATCCGGGGGGCGTGGGCGTGAGCAACGAGCTGTTTGAGAGGGGGCTGGAAGCCTTCCTGGGCGCGGTGCTGCCTGCTTGAGGGGGGATGGGAGAGGGGATACTTTAGGGGGGTGGGAGAAAACACGTAAGGGGGATGGGATAAACACTTGAGGGGGATGGGATAAACACTTGAGGGGGATGGGATAAACACTTGAGGGGGATGGGATAAACACTTAAGGGGGATGTGAGAAAACACTTTAGGGGAATGGAGAAAACACTCTAGGGGAATGGAGAAAACACTCTAGGGGAATGGGGGAGAGATACTTGAGGAGAGCTGGTCGATTGTTCGAGGGGACCGTAGACCAGACAGGGCAATGGGGGGCTTTGCAACGCCATGTCGACGCCAGTCACGTTGCGGTGTTGAGGCGTACATATGCTTTTGAAGCAGCACCGTACATGTAGGGCCTAGTCGGTCCAAGCCTCGAGTCCAAGCAACGCACTAGTTGGGACGACTGAGCTTAGCAGGGCTTGGGAGGAGACCACGATGACAGACCGTGGGCAGCATGGAGGCAGTCATTAACGCCACAGCTGTCAAAATGTATATCATTCATTCATGAGTCTACGAATCCTCGACGTGGGTATAGACGGCCTGTATGTCCTTCCCACCACGTCTACCTTTTCATATTGCCGGAACGCCCTGAAATGCAACACAGCCGTCTCCCGACGACCACCCCACCACTCAGATGAACTGAGCCTTCGAAGCGCCGTACCGCTGCTGCGTCCTGTCGCTCATCCTCGCCTTGCCCAATCCGCTCCTGACCTCGTCAAGCTGCTCCATCCCGGTCGCAACCTTGCCCTTGCGCACATACCTGCCTGTCTTTCCCACCGTCATGTGGTTGCCCAGGAAGTCGTCCATGATGGAGTCGAAATCAGAGCGCAGAGGCGGCGCCTCGCTGGAGCTCCACTGGCTCATGCCGCTCATCTTGCTCAGACCAGACATCTTCGACATGCCAGACACCATGGACGCGTCGTCTGGGAAGTCGAAGCCGTCGTCGGCGTACTCCTCTTCGATCTTCTCGAACCGCTCATCCAGCAGGGAGAGCGCGTCGGTGCGATGCAGTGCAGAAGAGGACATGGAGTACCCGGACGTGCTTGTCAGTGCGCCCTTGCGCTTCTTGCGCCGCCCTCCGGCGGTCAGGACTGACGCGCCCGTCATGACGGACGACTGCATGTCGCTCGGTGCGGCGGGCTTGGGTGCTTTGTTGGCCTTGACGTCGCTCTTGAACTTCTTGAACTCTTCCATGTACGCCATGTCGCCTGCGTCTGCGAGCGGTGGTGCCTCGTCGGGCGCGGGGAGTTCGCCTGGCTGGAGGGGTTCGGCGGCCTTGGGCTTCTGTGGAGCTGAGGATGCGCGGACCGTGTCGTCTGATTCCCAGCCTTGGTCGTCTTCGTCGAGGAAGCGGTCGAGCGTGTCGGCGTCTGCGTCGAACTGCCCGGCGGCCTCGAACTCGCGCTGGTTCAGCTCAAAGCCGTCCTGCTGCAGGGAGTCGAAGATGTCGTCGTCGTCGTCTACGTAGGCCTCGTCGTCAAGCGCCTCGAGCACTTCCCGTAGCCGTGGGTCCATGTCCGGCTGAAAGCCAGAAATCGCATCCGGTGTGTTCTGCTGGTCCTGGTATGTGGTCTTGCGAACAAACTCCGAGGGTGCCATATCCTCGCCAAAGACGTCGCTGACGCTGCTCATCGTGCTGTTCATGCTGTAGCCAGCGTCGCTCTGCCGGTCGTCCAGCGAGGCATTCTTCAGCGCATCGGCGAGATTAAACTTCTCTTTCCCCTTGCCCTTCTTTTTGTCCTCCTTGGCCTCGACAAAGTATGCGTCGCCGCCGCCAGAGTTCAGGTCGCGCATGTGCTGCATGTAGTCGTACTTGCTGTCGTCGTAGAAGATGCCGTAGTTGGCGGCTTCGCCCTCATTGCGTCGCACGCTGTCTCCATATTCGCTCTCGAGGTCTCCCCTTGACTTGATCTTACTGCGCCCGGTTGCTGAAGAAAACTGTGACGCCCGTGAGGCCGACGAGTACTGTGATGCGCCCGAACTGCCGGCGGGCTCGTCGCCTTCGCGCAGGTTCGCCGGCGCAGTCTCGGCAAAGACCATCTGCGGAGCGTCTTCATCGTGGATTCGGGGGTCGTTCTGGGCGCGGTGGACGAGGCGGTAGTTGATCGCCGTCTTCTTGTCGCTGCGTGCGGGTTAGCGGGGTGTTCGCGAGCGAAAAGCGAGCAGCATCGCCGCGGCGGCTTACATGAACTTGCGACGGGGCATGCTGGGCTATTTCGGGCTATCTCGTGGAAGTCGAGAGAAAGTCTAGTGGCGGAATTCGAAGTTGGGGGCACGCACGCTTAGAAATGGCCCTGGGTGGGTTGCAAAATCCGCGCTACCACGCACTTTTAGGTGGAGCCGTGAATGACATCGCGGGGCAAATTTCAAAAGCAACTCTACCCACCCCTCACAGGCACACGACTGCCACCAACACCACCACCAACATTCCCTGGTACAGTCGCAACGATGGTGCTCGCAAAGTCAAAGAAGGCCGTAGGCCTGGGAAACAGTCTCATGAACGACCGTTTTGGCAAGGGCAAAGGCGCTGATATGCGCCGCGGTACCTTTCAGACCGGTATTGAGCGGACAAACCACCAGACGGGTGAGAAGGTGAGCCATGACAAGCCGCTCGTCTTTGCATGGGTGTTCCTGACACATGGCAGTACATCACCAACGACAAGAAAGAGGCATCATGGGTGAAGATGCGCTCCGTCACCGAGCAGGGCGACCTCGACGAGTTTCTGGAGACCGCAGAGCTGGCCGGCACCGACTTCACCGCAGAGAAGATGAACAATGTCAAGATCATCCACAAGGACCAGAAGAACCCATACCTGCTGTCCGCCAACGAAGAGCGTAACGTTGTCAAGAGGCAGAAGGAGAACAGGCACAAGCTGACAGTCCCGCGCCGACCGAAATGGGACTCGAACACCACACCGCAGCAGTTGGACACACGCGAGAGGGAAGCAATGTTGCAGTGGAGGCGCGGTCTTGCCGAACTCACAGAGAACAACGACCTTCTCACAACACCGTTCGAGCGCAACCTCGAGGTTTGGAGGCAATTGTGGCGTGTCATCGAGAGGTCAGACCTGGTCGTCCAGATTGTAGACGCTCGAAACCCGCTTCTGTTCAGATCCGAGGATTTGGAGGTTTACGTCAAGGAGGTCGACTCCAAGAAGAACAACCTGCTGCTAGTCAACAAGGCGGATATGATGACACTGGGGCAGCGCACGGCCTGGGCTGACTACTTTGAGGAGAATGGCATCAACTACAAGTTCTTCTCGGCTGAGTTGGCCAAGGAGATGAACGAGCTGAGGGATCTGGCTGAAGAGCCTTCTGAGTCGGACGAGGATGAAGAAGAGGACGAGGAAGATGAAGACGAAGAGGACGTCGAGGACGAGGCCGATGATCTCGCCAAGGAAGCAGAGAAGATCAATCTGCAAGATAAGAAAGAAGAGAAGGAGAAGTGGGTAGACGAGGAGACAGTCGACACACCTGGCGAGGGCGTTCAGCTGGCAGACGGAGACGAGCGAACCCGAATACTTACCACTGACGAGCTTGAGGCGCTGTTCCTTGAACATGCGCCCGAGATCGATACCGGACCAGACAGCCCGCCTCGCAAAACTTCGATTGGTCTCGTAGGTTACCCCAACGTTGGTAAATCGTCCACAATCAACGCTCTCATTGGCGCAAAGAAAGTGTCTGTCTCAGCCACACCAGGAAAGACCAAGCATTTCCAGACCATCCACCTCAGCGACAAGGTCGTTCTTTGCGATTGTCCTGGTCTGGTTTTCCCCAGTTTCGCGGCGACCAAGGCTGAGCTCGTCTGTGCTGGTGTCCTCCCCATCGATCAGCTCCGAGAAATCACCGGTCCCGGTGGCCTTGTCGCACAGCGTATCCCGCAACCTTTCCTCGAGGCCATTTATGGTATGAAGATCGATGTCCGCCCGCTTGAGGAAGGCGGCACTGGTACACCCACATCAGACGAGGTTCTGCGCGCCTACGCTATTGCGCGTGGATTCCAAACACAAGGTCTCGGTCAGCCAGACGAGTCGCGCGCCGCACGTTACATCCTCAAAGATTACGTCAAGGGCAAGCTGCTCTTCTGTCACCCGCCTCCCCGGGATCCACCGATTGATGCGAAGCACTTCAACCGCGAGCTCTACGATGCCGCGCATCTGCCCGAGAAGCGCCGCGCGCGTCTTGCGCTCATGACAGAGGCTGCTGAAGCAGAGTCGCTGATGGACGATGATGAGTTCGGTCTCGCTCCCAGGACGGGCGAGAAGTCGCAGCGTATGGACAAGAAGTTCTTCGGCCCTGGACAGGGCAAGGCGCACGTTAACAAGCCGTTCAACTACCAGTATAGCGAGCAGGGAAAGGAGCTGAGCGGCAGGAAATTGAAGACGATGACCGCACTCAACATGGACGTCGACCCGACGGACCTGAGATTGAACAGCAAGAAGCACTTCAAGGGAAACAAGAGGAGAGCGAAGAAGGTGCGATCAGAATACGAGTAGGGTCATCGCTTCGTTGTTTCTAGGGTTTCTCGTTCATACAGACGGCTGCATCGGAGGCAACTGTTGTCCTGGTTCATGAATGCATGGTCGGCGTTCTGGTTCTGCTTGCATGTAGGTCATTCTTGCTACACCCAAAATTAACGCCATATCATCACATGTCTTTGACTGCCTTCGCGCATCAAGTATCTAGGTAGTCTTCTACATCCCTGCGTCTAGCCGCACCGTTCCTTCCGTGTCGACCGGCAGCTCCGGCAATAAGGTAAAACCTTTCTGACAAGCATTCGCTTGCCCGGAGTCAGACTCAAAGCAGCAAGCATAGACGAACGCCTCCGGCGCCAAGGCGGACGGCATAGTAAACTTTTATCTGATAAGATTAGATCTGACCACTCTCTCATGGTATGCACCCAACTTGCCCCACTTCCTGACTCCTTGGGGGATCATTGTCCAGTGGTTGTTGTGGGGTGCCTCGTGTCTGGCAGTCTGAAAGGCAGGATCTATCCAAATAGCTCCACATCAGGAGATCACTTGCTGGTTCACCTCACCGTACAAATACCAACCCTCCATCACATCCCTGCACGAAACCTCACAATATAATCGTGTCTCACTTGCTGCCTCACGCTCCGCGATGGCCTCCTCACCTGAAGACGACATCAAGCAGATGAATGATGACAGCAAGAGCGTCACGCCTGACGACAAGCCTGTCTTGAGTGACACCAAGTCGCCTGGTGTCGCTCGCATTGAAGCGCTCAACGCTCACACCTCACTTGCCGACCGCTGCTTCATCTTCTTCGGTCTTTTCCTCGTCGCCTATGCATACGGTCTCGATGGCAGTCTTCGCGGCGTGTACCAGCCTTACGCAACTGCTGGCTTTGAGACGCACTCAACGCTTGCTACCATCGGTCAGTCTGCTACCATGACTTTGATTCTCCTCCGGCTGATACTTGTTCAGGTGTATTGCGAAGCGTGATTGCCGCGGCTGCTCAGCCAACAGCTGCAAAGATAGGTATGCTTATCGGCTCCTCAACTGTATGGCGAAGCCGTTCTGACCAGATCTCAGCCGATGTTTTTGGACGAATCGAAGTCATCCTCGTGTCCATCTTCTTCTATGTCCTGGGCACGGCAATCGAAGCTGTCGCCAGCAACGTCGAGACATTCGCAGCAGGCGCAGTGTTCTACCAAATCGGTTACACAGTGATGATCGTGCTCATTGAGATTGTGATTGCCGACATCACGTCTCTTCGATCTCGTCTGTTCTTCTCATACGTCCCCGCCATACCCTTCTTGGTACGTTTCACGCCTCGCCGCACGTCCCGGTAACTGATGGATGATAGATCAACACCTGGGTCAGCGGTGATGTTAGCAGCGCAACCCTGAACGCCACGAGCTGGCGATGGGGTGTCGGCATGTGGGCCATCATCTACACTGTGTGCTCGATCCCATTGATTGTAGCCCTCCAGTGGTCATCATACAAAGCCAAGAAGGCAGGGGCACTCGACAACTACCGGTCTCCTTATCAGATACACGGTGGCAAGCGCCTCGCAGCAGCGCTCTTCTGGCAACTCGACGTCCCGGGCATCTTTCTACTGATCGCAGTGTTTGGCTTCATTCTCACTGTAAGTGTTGCTATACTTAACCCTAGCATGACGCACGCTGACTGGTAGATGCAGCCCTTTACTATCGCAGGCGGCGCCTCCTCGCAATGGGGAACAGCCAAGGTCGTCGCGCCTCTTGTAATCGGCATCCTTTGTGTCCCAGTCTTCGTTATCTGGGAACGTAAGGCTCCTTATCCCATGATACCGTTCCATCTCCTCGCCGACCGCGCAGTTTGGGGCGCCCTCGGGATCGCATGCACGCTGAACTTCGCTTGGTACATGCAAGGCGATTTCCTCTATACGGTGCTTGTCGTGGCATTCAACGAGAGCGTCAAGAGTGCGACACGCATATCCTCGCTGTACAGCTTCAGTTCTGTCATCACCGGGTTGGTTCTGGGTATGGTTGTCTACCGGGTACGACGCCTCAAGCCATTCATCGTCTTCGGTACCTGCCTCTTCTTGGTCGCATTCGGATTGCTAATCCACTACCGTGGCGGTACCGGCGACACGAGCCACTCCGGTATCATCGGCGCACAAATATGTCTCGGTATCGCTGGCGGTATGTTCCCGTATCCAGCACAAGCCAGTATTCAAGCAGCAACCAAGCACGAGCATGTTGCCATTGTCACTGGCATCTACCTTGCCACCTACAATATTGGATCAGCGTTCGGCAACACCGTCTCAGGTGCCATGTGGCAGCACATCATTCCAGGTGAGCTCCTGCGCCAGACAGGCAGCTCGACGCTGGCTGGCGAGGTATACGCTGACCCATTCACTTTCGCCAAGACGTATCCCATTGGCACCCCTGAGAGGGACGCAGTCATCCTGGCGTATCGTCATGTCCAACGGCTGTTGTGCATCGCTGGGATCTGCCTTTCGATCCTCCTTATTGGTTTCTCGTTAGTTATCCGCAATCCTGAGCTGGGCAAGAAGCAGAGTCTGGAGAATGCCGAGCGCGAAGTCCGTGAGACAAAGGGCAAGGGCGTATGGACTTGGTTGAAGAATTGAGCAGCGGGGTTGTGCTGAGCAGTCGCTCTTCAAACGATCGATGGTATGTAACAGCAGGAACAGTGCACGAGTGCTAGAGAGGGTACTTCAGCAGGAACCGGTACCTGTCTGACGGTGAAGGGTACTCCAGGGCACTATGGTTGGGATGATCATATGGTAATATTAAGATATACGATTATCTACTCACATACTTCATCGCTATTCTCCATCGTCAGGCTTGTGTATAATAGCTTGATGTTGCTCACTTCGCGGCTGGCATGTTCTCTGTCTTCGCGCTAAGGAATTCGCCTCAGCCGTTTATACATGTTCTTTCAGTTGTGGTTCTGGACCAGGTCGACCGGAAGGTGACGGATACCGTCCACGTGCCTCCCGCGGGACTCTCCGCTCCCGAATCCCAGATCGCGAACGGGTGCGATGGTACCTGCTTTTGTGGAGAAGGGGGATCGATGCTTTCGGAAAGCGATATTGCACACGTCGGGTCTCACTCACAGAAGACGATTCGAAACAGGTGAGTTGGCACGGTGTTGTGAGTTGAACATCTTTGATTAATGACGTACACGCCTCTAGCTCTGCATGTCTAGCTGCGGTATTTAGACAGCCTCCGACCCTCCGTGGGAAAGAGCTGGTCCAGAACAACACTACAACCGATCCCGTCCGTCCTCATCAGGCGCATGGCGCCCCTCTAGTCTTGCCCTTTTTTGTTGAAACGCCGCCGGCTCGGCCTCGCGGCTGGATGTAACAATTAAAATGGTGTAGCAAAATAGCATGGTTCTGAATGTGAAAAAAAAGGCGTCGATGCGCCGTCGCAGCGTGAATCGAAGAATGCAATGCGGTTCGTAAGGATGTGAATGCGCCGGGGTATGCAAGTAGGAATACAGACAAAGCGCTCATTAATTATCATGCAGTCGGGGGATGGTGGGCGGCGGGCTGCGTTAGACCTCGTGACGGTCGTCGAGCTGGACGTCCTTCTGGCTTATGCGCCGGTAGAAGGGCAGGCGGGTGTACGCAGATCGCAGGCGCGGCGAGCCGGGCTGCTTGGCGCCCTTGTTGAGGAAGAAGATCTTGTATAGCAGCCCGAGGACGGTGAAGCCGACGGTGAAGCCAATGAGGGTCACGAAGAGCCAGTGCTTGCCCAGCCAGAAGATGACCTTGACGTCGGTCCTGTGCCAGCTGTTGCCCACGTGGTGGGTAAAGAAGCTCCATGCGTGGTTGTTGTACTCCTCGGGAAAGAGGATGCGCAGACGGTCGGCACCCTCGGGGCTCTGGTTCATGTAGTGGCGCCAGACGAGACTGAGGTAGAGAGGCCCGGTTGATGCCATGACTGTGATGTAGGGAAGCGGCCAGCGGCGGTTGTAGTCGGTCAGCGAATCGATGGCCTTTAGGAAGAACGGGTGGCGGGGAACGGCGCCCATGACATCGTTGGAGATGCCGGTGGGGATAGTTCGGCGTACCCAAGCTGGGTATGCGAGAAGCGGGTCGAGGCTGCGGTTGCATCCCTAGATCTTGTTAGTCATGCTTGTGAATTCAGCTGCACGTTGCACGTACATCGTCCAAGTCAATGTAGATGCCACCAAAGTGGTGCAGCACAAAGTATCGAATTGTGTCGGCACGCTGGATCGGGTAGGGATAGCCGTCAAACGTCTCGAGGAACCACGGGTACTCGTTGGCGATGAACTCACGGGCCTTCTTATCGGTCCAGAGCTAGTCCCGTCAGCATTTCCCTGAACCATGTCCTGTGGGGGTGGTACCTTGTATTCGTAGTCGGGGTGCAAGTCGATGCAGGTCTGCTGGGGCCCCTTCCAGTGCGCTGGAATGCTCTCGTTGATGTACGTCTGGTGGATGATCTTGGGGATCAGCTGCTCGCGATCGCTGCCAGCACTCGAATTGGGGGCCGGCAGCTCGCCGCGCAGGATGGCATCCTCACGGCCAGTCGCAACCAACAGTCCAAGTAATGTCCAGACACTGTGCACAGCGAAGCCGATAATGACAACGGTGACGAGAATGAATATCGTAACGCCTCTCCGCATGGTAGTGGTGGTGGCTGCTGCTCTTCTGAACCTCCTTTTTCTGGTGTTTCTTAGTGGACCCCGGGGGTGTCGAGAGTCGCGTGCGCCTGGTATCGATGCTGGTAAAGAAGCGCTGGGGATTAAGCACTCATGAAGCGGAGATGACGTCGCGGGGTCTCGCGTCTCGAAGACTTGGTGGGTCGAGGGAGAAAAGAAGAGGCGTGAAAGAAAGGTGCGCGAGACAAGACAAGAGCGGTCCTGGTGGCTATGCTAGCTGCGCCAAACAATCTCGCTTCGAACCCCGGCCGAAAGTGGGTAAAGTGGGTATCAGCAACCAATCACAATTTTCCTAGCTCCCCTTCCACAAGTAAAACGCGGGTCAGGATGGTAGTTGCGCCTTTTCGTGATAAACGCGCTCAGGCCTCAGCCGGAGAAATACGCAGCTGTACGAGGCTGTGCTGCTCACGAATCTTGTCACTTTCGCTCTTGTGTCTGCACCGCAAGTTCTGCGCCCACCTCATCTCACCTCATTATTCTCGCAGCAGACTCTAAACTCGGGCCGTTTTACGAGTCTGGGGCTGTGCTGTGAGGACTTCACTCCGCCTATGACGATCTCCTGCAGGGCGCTACACCAACTGCCGCTTCGCTATCGCAAATGCTGGTGTGGCGCGGGCTCAAGACGGTAGAACGCTTGCTGGGCGTTCGATACCCGCCACCAGGGCACATGTACGTCATTAGCTGTGTGAGCACTTCGAGCCAGACAACATTAAACCAGCTCTCACGATTATGACGTGGTGAGCTGAGGCGAAAGCCAAGAGGACACCAACAAACCCATGGGTAGTTGGAGCCCTTCTGAAAGCGTGCGAAGACGTGTCACGGCCTTGCTAAGGAAACATTCCTGAGGATGTCCTAATTTGTAAGGCACGTGCATGTACTGCATTCGTGACTACTTTGAATAATGTCAGGAAAATCGTCTGGGGGCCTAACATGCCTCTGTGTGGCCAGGAACCCGGGTACTTCTGGGCAGAACAAATTGACCTGCTTCTTGTGAACTTCGATGAGACATTGTAAGTAGATGCAGGTGTTCGCGTACCATCAGTACTTTCTTACTCGTCTTGCTCGTCTTGAAATTAGTTCTTGCTCTGCAACCACGTGGAGACCTTGGCGCTAGTCAAGCAGCAGATGCAACTGCTCGATAATTTGCTCCGCGCGAATGTGCTTTCCTTTCACACACAGACCCACGGACTGTGGCTACGTCCACGCTGTACATCGTACGATTCCCTTGCTTCATTTCGCCACATCACCTATTATCATGCCCTCATCCGTTCTTGCTCTAAGCTAGCATAGCAGACAGTATCACTCAAAGATATGCGACACAACTTGGGAACTGGGTGGGCATGGCTCCCAGTGCTGGCAGCAACGACAACGTCTCATGCAGCGAATCTCGGAAACAGCCAGTTCACGCCTACACCAGCAAACCCCGGCCCCTAGGGCGAGCCGGACCCTTCACGCATAGCCTCTACAGTTATGTCGATGCTAAGCATAAGTGTATTGGCCGGCATTTTAGGTAAGTTATCCGCAGCTCTAGTTACTAAACAGTGACCAATACTTCAGGCTACCGAATACGCCAGATTGATCGCAAACAGGTCCAAAACCTCTGCTTTACACAGGTCCTAATGTTTCTTCTTTGCCTCATCTCCATGTGCTTCGTACTATCGGCAGCGGTCGTCAAAGGCGGTCTTGGCCTCGTGAGTCTCAGCGCCTGTCGCGGAGCAGTCTTTCTCTGTCTCAGTTTCTACATACTCAGCAAGATCATAATGTAGGTCCCTATTACGATCGAGGAGAGCCCAGAACTTGCCTTTGCTTGCAAACACCTTACTACCCCAATGGCTGATCTTGTCTAGGTATTTCTTCCTCATCGAAAGAGCACATGCACTCCGAGCTCCCTTTAAAAAGAGGTTTCATGACTGGATATGGGTGGTAGGATTCCTTCTTACAGTCTCCGGGTTTGGGTCCATTGGCGTGGTAGCTCTCTGGCGCCCAATCGCTGACATGTCGGCAATCGATGGTCGCTGCCGAATTGGTATCCCTCGCTACACCACCATATCGCTGGTGTCGTATGACGTTGGCCTTAACATCCTCCTCACGCTCGTCTTCGTCTATCTCCTCAGCCCGCTCATTCTTTCTGAGAAACACCCGGCCAAGAGATTTTCGGCGAGTCACTTGACAATATGTTTCGGGAATATGTGCAGTCGATCCAAGCCCAGATCCAGCCTCATCCAAGCCAACCAAACAAATCAACAGACGATGAAGAGGATGGAAAGACTTCTGTTGAGAACTTTTCTTGGGTCGATTCTGGTGATTTTACCTACGGTGGGCAACTTTGTGGCTCTGAGCGTACTAGAGGGGCGTGAGCTGGGTTGGGTTTGCCTGACTGCCTGCACTATCGATGGTATGTCTATCTCCGAAATCTGTTATGTGCACAACTAATGAGCGCCGCAGTCGTCTGGACAGTGAGTGTCTTTCATTGGCTGACAATTGGCTCTACAGGATCAAGAGAGAAGCCATCCGCCGAGTAAGTGCTTTATTGTGGTTTCACCAAGTACTGACTCGGAAAAACCCGGAAGCTGAGTTTTTGGCAGATACAGCCACCGCTCGCATCTACAACCCACAGCGATACACCGCATGAACACGGCAAGTTCTAAACAAGTGACGTCATCGGACATGTCTTCGACCATGTCGATCAACGGCATGATATCCAGAGATTTTAGGGATCATGGCTACTCGAGACCATTAGAGAGAATCTGCCTCGAAAGAGTGCCCAGCGCCCCATCCACAAGCTCAAAGTCTTTGCCCTGTTACGACGACATTGAGGCTGTAGGTACCGAGATGCAATCCCCTGCTGCTCTTGCACGTTCAGGTACTGCACCGCTCCCTGGAGCCTTCAAAAATCCGAGTCCTCTTCCTCGACAATGATCTGCGATAGCAAGCCAAGTCCACGGCGCCCGCGTGCCTTATCCACTACGACTGAAATGGGAGGACTTGGAGCCAACGTCTGATGCTGCTTCTCACGTCGAGCTGCCCTAAACTCGGTAGTGGTCCGGGCTTTGCGTGGCTTTGATCTTGACGTGGCATCAATGTTGAAGGATGATGACAGGAATTTGAAGATGAAGTATAGGACAGCTCCGGTCACACACCCTATGAGACCAGCGGTGCCAAGATAGATGTAGAGTGTCTGTAGTTGAATGAGTAATGCACCTTCTTCCCTGCTCGTAAGGTTTCGAAAGTTGTGAACCTACCTCAATTCGCTCGAGCCATTTCACCTGCAGCGGTAATGTGAAGATATGGTACAGTCCCCTGACAAGATGCACGAACGGAAGGACTAGGAAGCTACCCACGACCCATATGGGCGATAAAAGAAAAACTACAAGGCGCAGCAGTGGCGACAGAAGGATTCGCACAGTAGTGATGAGCTTGCTGATGGGCCACCAGACCAGGTGCACAATGGTGAGGAACTTGACGAGGGCGTTGTCCATGGTGTGGAGATGTTCACGCCGCACGGGTAGTGGAGCGTGTCTGACCAGGGGTTCGAAAGAGGACGCTACGACGCGTTCACAATGACGTGCGTGCCTGCACGGCTCCAAACAGACGTGTCTCAGCACATGGAGACATGGCAGCCAGTGCAGTTGATGGAGTGAAAGCCAGCCTCGCGACGGAGGGCAACAGGCGCCACCTGGGCACGATGCTGCTGTGGCTCGTGCGGAGGAGTAACGTTATCGGCGATGGACAGCGGCAAGCTATGTAAATCCCAGTCGTCCCTGGCGTGTCCCGCCGCATGCATCCTGAGACGACGGGGCGACTGTGGAGAGCTAGCTTTGACGTCTGTCGTCCTGTTGGTCTCCAGTGACCCCCATAGAAGCGCACGGGAGCCAGAGCTCGCTGCATCGCCGGATCTGGTCGCGGCCATGGGCAATCAGCACTCGAGCTCGCGGTCGACTCCGGCCTCTAGTCAACCGCAGAGCCCCGTTGGCTCGAACAACCAACATGCGTCACATGGGCACTCCCACCTAGGCAGCGCAGACAAGCCCAACAAGCACCACGTCCCGCACCCAGGCTTCCGCACTGGCAGGCGCGCGAGCATCCAGCCGGTGACTCTAACACAGATCGCTCCTCCGTCTGCGAGCACTGAGAGCGAGGTGCGCGTTGAGCGGGGTCGAGCGAGCACACACAACACCACCGCGCACGTCGCGAGCCAGCTACGCGCCGCGCAGGACCGCAGCATCGTGCGCGAGGGCAGCCACGACAAGATGGGCAACGAGCAGAGCAGCCAGAAGAGGGAGAGAGAGCGCGAGGAGAGGCAGGAGCGGCTGGATAGGCTCAGTCGCCAGTCGACGCCGCAGCCCGCGCCCGCGCCCACGCCTACGAGCCCAGCACCACCACCACCGCCCGCCACAGCCACAGCCACAGCCACACCACCGCAGGCAAAGCAGCCGTCGCCGCCTGTCCCAACCGCTACGCCGCCGCCCGCCGAAGTGCATGCGATTCCCATCGATGCGCCCCACAGCAGCAGGACGGAGCAGGCCATTGCTGGGTCGCTGGAGCCCGCCGATGCCTCGCAGGACTACCTGGTGCCCTCGTCGCACTTCAGCCGCCCGCCGCGTCTGCCGCTGCCCATCGAAGAGGAGATCCACACGCCCGGCTCGCCCATCATATCGCCCACCGACCTGCCCGTGGAATCGCTTGACCATGGCGACGTCGAGGGCGCCCTGCCGCGCCGCACATCCATGCTCAGCAGCACGACCGCCGACGACGACGATCTCGGCGAAGAGTTCAAGGTGCCCACCCCAGGGCGACCCACGGTGCCAACCCTGATCGAGTGGGACGGAGCTGGGGAGCGAGTCTACGTGACGGGAACATTCGCAGGATGGAACAAAAAGTACAAGCTGCACAGGAAGTAAGTGGGCATGTTTGCTTTTAGGATGCCCTGCAGAACGTCCCTGCATCCGCCTGCGTGGCGCATGGCTCATACCGAGCACCTGAGACATGGTCAATCAGGGGACGATCACCTCGTCAACCCTGCAGACTGCAAACTCTATGCTAGAGCGCCTGCAGTTCTGGCTGCTGTTGAGGGTTACACTGCACACCGACAAGGCTGACGATTCCTGTTATCTAGTGGTCCCAGCAAGAAGGAGAATGTTCTCTCTGCACATGTCCCCATCCACCCGGGTACCCACCACCTTATGTTCATCGTGGACAACGACATGATGATTTCAGACAAGCTGCCGACAGCCGTCGACTATACGAACATCCTGGTCAACTACCTTGAAGTCTCGTACGACGACATTGAGAAACAGCGAGCAGCAGATGCAGCGGCCAAGCCCACAGACACACAAGCTTCCGCTGAAGAGCGGTCGGCAACACAACCCCCGCAAGATACTCGTTCTCCGCAAGTTCCTGTCGTCAAGCCTGCCACCGCTGAGATTCCCAACACCAAGCTCCCTGAGCTGGAAAAGAGATACCACTCCAAGATTCCGCAGTATCTGCTCGATCTTGATGCACCAGAGGAGTCATCTCGGTTTGCGCGAGCAAATGCTGCTGCCAGCAACCTACCCACACCGCCCAGTCTGCCCATGTTCTTGAGCAAGAGCATTCTGAACGGAACCACGCCAATGAAGGACGACAGCAGCGTGCTGATCATGCCAAACCACACAGTTCTGAACCACTTGGCGACAAGCAGTATCAAGGACAACATTCTGGCTACCAGCGCGACAACGCGGTACAAGCAGAAGGTATGTTGGACATGACATGGCACGGCATCCACGTACTCTACTGACCCCACCCAGTTCCTTACAACAATCATGTACAAACCAAAAGAGGAGCACGGCGAGGTGTACTGATGTCTCGGCACAGGCCAAGGTAGGGAGTGGCATTCTCACACGTGTCTTGTGCGGGTTTTGGTGTTTTAGCGTTACGGTACGATATGGATGAGTTTCACGGAATACCCAACTCTGGATGGATGGATGGATGGATGGATGGATGGATGGGATCGGACGGCATGTAGAGGAGTGATACAATCAAGTATATACAATCGAATAGGATACAACAGGCATATCCGAGCAAAGCTGTTGTGAAGTCGATTCAGGGCTGGAGACGATGTTCGAGCCAAGCTCGCTGTACGATGACGATGACTGCACTACAGGCTAGCGCGGGACGACTTGAGCTTGGACGAGTCCAATCACATGAAAGATACGAAGTAGTGCCAGTGGATCGCCGCAGGGATTCTCGTCAGCCAACACGGCATACGGCACTGCAGTATCGCTCTGCCACTGCTTGCAGGTTGGACAATCGCTTGTATCATGTCGCCTTTCAGGCTTTCAGCTTCATAATAGCACATCTGTTATGAAATAGCACATACAGCAGTATATCCCGCAGCATTCTGCTGCCTCCAACGACCGCGCAGCCCTTGCATTCCATCCGCGGCGCGCCGGAACGCTCACGGCTGCCATGTACCTACCAGCCATAATACCTCGCGGCTCGCCCTCCTCCCTACCACCGACCTACACACACAATGGCCTCCTGCGCCACATCGGGCAGTCGGGCCACTACGACGAGAGCTGGAGCAGCCTCATTGGCATCATCACCGCCATCGTCGGCAACGTCCTGATCTCCTTCGCCCTCAACACGCAGCGCTATGCGCACATCAGACTTGACCGCGAGCGGCAGGAGACCGAGAAGCTGCGCAAGAGGCGGGGCAAGAGCAGCACCAGCATCTCGAGACTGGGCGAGGAAGCGCGGAAACGCACCGGCGGGCAGGGAAATGGGAGACAGAGCACAGAAGAGGATCCGCTGCTGGCTGATGGCGAGCGACTGAGTATCGAACGCGTGAGCGCGGACGAGACCGCAAAGCAGACGTCCTACCTCAAGTCGCCGTACTGGTGGGCCGGCATTGTGCTCATGACCATCGGCGAGGCGGGCAATTTCCTCGCATATGGTTTCGCTCCGGCGTCGATTGTGAGCCCGCTCGGCGTCGTGGCGCTGATCTCGAACTGCATCATTGCGCCGTTTATGCTGAAGGAGCGGTTCCGCTGGCGCGATGCTGCGGGTGTGGTTGTTGCCGTCGGTGGCGCCGTGACAGTCGTGTTGTCTGCGAGCGACAACAACCCGAAGCTGGGGCCGCATGAGATCTGGGGGTTGATCAAGAGGTGGGAGTTTGAGACGTACTTGGGTGTCACGGTTGGTGTTATCGTGCTCTTGATGGGCGCTAGCAACCGCTATGGACAGAAGAATATCTTGATTGATCTTGGGCTGGTCGGGCTGTTTGGTGGTTTCACAGCGCTCTCAACAAAGGGCGTTGCGTCGCTGCTCTCGTATACGCTGTGGCGCGTCATCACCTTCCCCGTGTTCTATCTCCTGGTCGCCATCTTGATCGGCACTGCGGTCATGCAGATCAAGTACATTAACCGAGCGCTGCAACGATTCGACGCGACTCAGGTCATTCCGGTCCAGTTCGTTATGTTCACACTATCTGTCATTCTTGGATCCGCCATCCTGTACCGAGACTTTGAGCGCACGTCAGGCGACGATGCAGGGAAATTCGTTGGTGGCTGCGCCCTCACGTTCTCCGGAGTCTGGCTCATCACTAGTGGCCGACCACGCAGACACGCCGAGGATGACGAGGGTGACGAGGATGACGAGGATGAACGTGAGCCAGAGTCTGAGGAAGCAATCAATCTCCACGGCGAACGATACCGCGATTCGATCGACAGTGCGAGCGACAGCCACTCATCGTCATCGACAATCCGCCCCGCCTCTCCACCTCTGGATATTCTTGACATCAACCCTCTCTACCGAGACGAAAACCGCCCCTCGACGCCCACAATCAACGTCACAACCCCCGACCCCTCAACCCCACCCCGCCAGACATACACATCAGAAGCCCTCGACTCCCTAATCCAAAACCCCTGGTCGCAGCCCCCAGACCGCTACACCAACTCCCCAAAGCCCTCAATCAACCGGCACACATCCACCCCCGTGCTGCCCAGCGAAGCCGCGCCCCCACCCTCACACGTCTCCTCTTCGAATCTGGGCGCCACACCCTCAGACCCAACCCTCCCCAGCGCCCCGATGCCACGCACACCCACACGGGGAAAGAGCCACGACGACCTCCCCTCCACACCCGGCACGGGCCACTCCGTCCTCGGCTCGGGGCCGCGACGCCTCCGCCCCAATGAGCGCCAGCGCAGCATCGCCGGGCCGCTCCTCGCGTCTCCGCTGTCCACGTCGCTCAGCGCGCTGGTGCAGGATCTGAAGCGCGGCGGCAGCGTGCGGATGCGGACTGGTGAGTATGTTGGGGAGGGGCGACGGCAGAGTGTGCTTGGCTTGGGCGGCGCCGAGACTGAGGCGCATTCGTTCGGTGAGCCGCTGAGTAGGAAGAGTACGCAGGGCGTTGGCGCTGAGCAAGGGAGTGAGCGCCCCGGTGGTAGGGGAAGGGGTATGAGTGGCACTCTGAACGAGCTCTGGCGCGGGCTGAGGGGGCAGAGTAGTCGCGAGGATGTCAGCGGTGAGCAGGGGCAGCAGGGGCAGCAGAGAGAGGGTGGCGAGGGTGGCGAGGGTAGCGAGGCGAGGTGACGGATATGAGGTGGGAAAAGCAAAGATGAGTGTTTAGATTTTGCGCATTGCATAGCTTGCCATCTTGCGTTTAGAAGAGCCGTCATCCAACGATCTAACATCTCTCCCCTTCCTGCTTGCCTTTACATGGTTTCTAAATCTTCTCCATTCGTCGGCGAAGATCGTTGTGTATCTGCTGTTGGCCAGAGAAATCAACGTGACGACTCCGTCGACTAACACTACACACAACATGGTTCTAGCGTTTGCTAGACACGACCCTGCACTGACATATCCCATCACAACCCACTACGTACTCGAAACCCGACACCGCAGGTCTGCAATTCAAGGTAAAGCTTGGCGATGCCCGAGGCCGCGCGGACACATGACGCGGCGCTCGTCACTCGCCGACGCCTCGCTTCCGTGCCGCTTCCGTGCCGGGGGATCTTACAAGCGCGTGATGAGAGCGTTTGGTGTCTTCAGCTCTGCGGTCTGCGCGCTAGGTGGATGGGGAGCTGGCGGGTGGAGAAGATGGGGAGAAACCGGGGGGATACGTGGAGCTTGGGTACTGCCGGGGGGTTGAAGGGAGGGAGGACTGTAGCGGTGCGCGTTTGTCAAGGCGGGATGTGTTCACTTGCTGTCGTAGTGCGAGGTCGGTTCGGAGGAGGGGCTTTGGATCATTTGAGTTCAGGCAAAGCTGTGAGATGTGCGAATGGATGTTGCGAAGTGTTGTTGGGTCTGTTCATATGTGACGCGCGCTGATTGAACGAGAGTGGGAGAGTATGTGGAAGGGGCGTGGAGATGAACTTGTGCGTGCTTGCCGTGGTGACCATTGTGATGGCCTTGCGCTTGTGCTTGTGGTTCTCGCAACGATACATTTGCGACCTGTCTCAAAGGCACATTGATTTACTCGGTGGAGGAGGCGATCATCCGCTGGGGAACAAGGACTGAGAATTTCTAAAGTTTCTGGATTGGCAACGAGACTGGCCATCTCCAGGGGTGCTCCGGACTGGCAGATGCAAGTGCAATATTCCTGCTGCGGAGCTTAGAGCTGTGCGACCATGTGGCCAATCGGTCAAAGATCTTCAACTTGCATGATCGAAGAGATAGTTTTGTTCCTTTCCCTGGTGACGGTGCGCGCGTACAGTCGTAACCTGCAATAGACAGTCGCAACCTAAAGATGTCTGAAATGGTCGCTCGGCAGACATATTGTCCCTGGGAAACGCAAAGTCTCTGCTAAGGGAGCGTACAATGCCGTGCCTTCGGTACGCGCAATCAATTGATAGGCGGCCTACGTGATCTAGACTGTCTGCCCTGACGCAGGACAAAGATATCGTTGTATGACTATGTCGTTCACCAGGCATCAAAGAGCTGCGCCAACTGACGGAATGAGAAACTGTTGAGAGGGAGTGCAGGATCGATAGCAGGTGTTATGCGGTTGCAGGTTGCTCGACAGATATCGTCCCTTGCTGGACAGTGAGGCGTGCGAGACTTTGCTTGTAGCTTCAGTTTAGCCCATCTAGAACCAAGTCCGGCGGGAAGAGGGCTATTGATATTGAAATCCTACATTACTGTCAGTACAACGGCGTACTCAATGTGGACATCACGGGTATGGCTGAAGGTAGTCGATGCCCCGAGCGACGTTGCTATTCGTACACCTTATCTAACGAGTATGGAACTCGCACAAAAGCAACGTTGAACGGCCACTACGCGGGAGCTAGCATGACACCTGTAGTCTGCAGTCCGTGGAAGCGAGTATCCGGCCGATGTCGGCCATCGAATATGGAAAGCCGCACGAAAACGTTGTGGTACGTGAAGCAGATGTGAAGGATGGCGATGGGGAGGTACTGTCCAATGATGTTTGACAGCATATCCTGGTTGCACAACGTCTGGCACTCGAGCTCGGATCGTGCGTGTAACGCGGCTGTACTGGAAAGGGCACAAAAGGACCACATGGCTGAGATGGAGGGCTTCAGTGGTCGTGTATAGGAGCGACTTTACAATCCGAGCGAATCAGAATGTCTGTGAGAAACATTTGGTGATATGTTGAGCGCCTCCAGGGTTGTAGATCCGCGTCCCGTCCGCCACCAGATTGCAAACGAGGAACCTGCATTTGGTTTGTCAGTTTGGAATCAGTCGACAGCTCGGTGACAAAGTGCTTCCCGGATCGGTCAGACCAGCATAGTGCAAAGCTCTTAGATCCAATCAGTTGGCTTGTCATTACCCTGCAATTGCTCTTGGGCCCGTTTGTTCTGTTTGGAAGGTTTACTAAGAAGCAGGTTGACCGGCAGGTACGAATGCCCAGCGGTGGCCAACGCATGTGTGGTGCAGCCCAAATGACGTAGTCTCTCCGCCAGCAAGAGACTCGAATGGCCCGTCGTTTGCAAAAGCGACCTGTGCCAGATGAAGGTAGAACACGTGATTCGTCCCGGATGCGAATCCTTGGGGGCGGGGCAACAGCTGCACATTGACGTATGACGCACGAACGAACCAGTGTCGGGAGTTTGACGGCAGATACTTCGCTAGGTAGCTTACCACACTTGGTGCTCGCAATTTCTGTTTCAGCATCGTTGACTCGCTGCGACGCTCGTTGCAAGGACAGATGCAGCTGTTGCACACTCGCCCTGTCAGGTAAGACTACACGTGCCGTGAGACTCGGAATCATCCAGGGCGACTAAGTGCTGGAAGATCACCATTGCCATGACTGGTTTGATGTGTGTGTTGGTTGCTGCACGTCTGGCTCAATCCGTACTAAACACGCAGCGATGAGGAATTTTGGCGTGACGAGTATCGACTAATGGTTCATCACGGCCGCTCGGAGTTCAGCAGCCGGGAGAGAGGCGCCGTCTAGCATCCACAACGGCTTGTGAATCAGGGACGAACGCTGTCTGAACAGTGAATTGGTGGTCCACGATCCAGGTGGAGCGGGAGGGATATTGAGGATAGCTGCAGAGCTCTGCATGTCGACAGGCCCCTGCGCTCACAAGGACCAGGGCATGCTGGGACAGGTCAGCTGTTGCAAATGTGGATGCGGGAAATTCAGATGGCCGCAAAAATCATGACGGGACGAGGGACGAGGCGGGCGGCGCTGATTGACGCCTGTCGTGCAATTTAGGAGCTGCTGTGATGCATCTTGCAGGGTGCAGCTAGAGTTCCTATAACCGGCGGCGCTCGTGTCCGCAGGCTTGGATTTGATGTTGATGACCCGCGATGCAAGTGCTCGAGGATGTCAACGGCGAATGGCAGTGCTCAACCTGCAGGCGTTATTGAGATGTCCTGTCTCAGCTGCAGCCTGCATACGAAGGACCTGAAGAGGCTGACTCAAAGCCAACGCAGCAGTGAATTGTGCCGACATCTGGTGACTCTGCTCTGGCTTTGCTAAGCTCCTATAGTGGAGCGCTCAGGCCATGGTTCAGCACGTCTTTCGAAGCTGGTTGCCGCGTGATGTGAGGCCTCCGGCGTCGAGTGCTAAACAAAGACATGGAGCGTCACGATCATCCTCACTAAAATGCTTGTTGGGCGACGGAGTCGCTGCCACCCAACTGCAGGGCATCACGGTGAAGTGGCAGGTATCATTGTGGAGCAGTTCCTTGTCCAGCCACGCGCCCAAGCGACCGCACCGCGTTATGGGTCCCAGACTCCCAGCAAGTGGGTTTTGGGCGGGTTATTCCAGGCGGCGTGCTTCAAGAGGAGAATCTGAGCGCTCACGTGCAGCCAGCGTATGTAATGCAACTCCGGGGCCTCAATAATGCCACCATTGTGCTATCTCGCACAGCCGGGCAGGCATGGAGATGAGGAAGATCGCAGCTTAAATTTAGACGCCGCAGACAGCAGCGCTGCTGGCTACACACAGCTAGCCCTACCCAGCGCAGCTCATGCGAACGATTTGCTCGTCTAAACGGCGTAAAGCAGCACGGCAGCGGACGATGACAAAACAGAGCTCACACGCTGCCGTGTGCACGCGCTACGTCCTGGAAGCCGCGCTCCAGTGACGTCTGTTTCAAGAAACAGCGATCTGCTGCTCCTGCTGCGCGAGCCAGCCTCGTGGATCTAAATGCTCGGTTGCCTTCCGCAGTGCGCTGCAAGCTCGTCAATGCAGACGTGCGGTTCCATGCGCCTTCACACCACAATCGCCACGCTGCTGCTGAGCCCAGGCCCGGTGTTGCTGGTCGTTGAGAAGCTGACCATTCCCTAACGCGAGCGGCCTTCATGTCACGAGCTCCTCTTCAGCTTTAGCGCCCTCGTCTGTGCCTACAAGCCCCAAGCCGCCCCGCTCCATCTACGTCGACCCTCAACTCAACCCGCATTCCCTTCATTTTGCAACTCAATCTCAACGTCAATTACTATCCCCTTCGCCTTCATCTTCCCACACTCCCCGTCTGCCCTGCTGCCCTGCACGACCTTCACGTGGCCGCTAGCGATTCACCAAGCCACACCTAGCACCTGCCACTTTGCCAGCCGCGAGGGTCAACCACGCACACGGAGCACACTCCACCCCCAATCCATCCTGCGCCTACAACACCCCTCGCCCACCACGGATCTGCTCATCCACGCCCGTACCTCCGCCCACACGCTCCTCAGCTACAGCCCGCCCTATTCTCGCTAGCAATCCGCGCACGCTTGCCGGATACCCCCTCGTTGCAGCCCCTCAAACAATGAGCCAGAACCGGCCATCGGCCTTCTCCAGTCTGAGAATGGGAGGTAAGCATTCACGTTCCCCGTGCAAATACCAATTCACTGACAGCATTGCAGAAGTCATCCGCGAGAAGGTCCAGGACGGCGAGACTGGCGAGTACAAGGACCTTGCATACACGCAATGCAAGATTGTCGGCAACGGCTCCTTCGGCGTCGTCTTCCAGACCAAGCTCTCGCCAAGCGGAGAAGACGCTGCCATCAAGCGGGTGCTGCAAGACAAGCGATTCAAGGTGAGCCGCGCATCTGACCGAAACGCGCAAGGACGTCAGCGCTGACGACAGCCAGAATCGTGAATTGCAGATCATGCGCATCGTCAGACACCCCAACATTGTCGAACTCAAGGCCTTCTTCTACAACAATGGCGAGCGGGTATGTTTCAGCACTCAATGGCAGAGGTGCGACATGAGGCTAATGATGCGATCCGTAGAAGGACGAGGTCTATCTGAATCTTGTGCTCGAGTTCGTTCCTGAGACCGTTTACCGCGCTTCGCGCTACTTCAACAAGATGAAGACGGTCATGCCTATCCTCGAGGTGAAGCTTTATATCTACCAATTGTTCCGTTCTCTCGCGTACATTCACTCGCAAGGGATCTGTCACAGGGACATCAAGCCACAGAACTTGCTTCTAGACCCTGCGTCTGGCATCCTGAAGCTGTGCGACTTTGGTAGCGCAAAAATCTTGGTCGAGAACGAGCCCAACGTTTCGTACATTTGCTCCAGATACTACCGCGCACCGGAGTTGATCTTTGGAGCGACAAACTACACTACAAAGATCGGTACGTCATGTGGTCCTTGCGCATATGATGACTTACTAATGTGCGCCATCCAGATGTGTGGTCGACCGGCTGCGTCATGGCTGAGCTTATGTTGGGACAACCGCTGTTCCCTGGTGAATCTGGCATCGACCAGCTCGTCGAGATCATCAAGGTTCTCGGCACACCCACGCGAGACCAGATCCGCACCATGAACCCCAACTACATGGAGCACAAGTTCCCTCAGATTAAGCCGCATCCGTTCAACAAGGTTCGTCAATTAAACCAGTCCTTACCAGCCTCCAACCTGACACTTTTGCAGGTTTTCCGCAAAGCCGACCCCAACGCCATCGATTTGATCTCGAAGTTGCTGGAGTACACACCAACGCAGCGACTGTCCGCCATCGACGCTATGGTGCACCCCTTCTTCGACGAACTGAGGGATCCCAACACACGCCTCCCTGACTCACGTCACCCCAATGGCGCTGTACGGGATTTGCCTGCCCTCTACAACTTCAACCATCACGGTAAGCATTGCGTTGCAGGTCTAATATACACCAGCTGATGACTCCTAGAACTCTCGATCGCACCTCACCTCAACCAACAACTGGTCCCTCACCACATTCGCGCCACATTGGCCTCCCGCGGCCTCGATTTCGAGTCGCCCGATTTCAAGCCGTTAACGAAGGACCAGATGATGGCGAGACTAGATTAAGAGTCTTTGCACCTCTTATGCGAAACGATACCATTTTGATTACGCGGCCTGGCCTCGATCATCTCAGCTCACGAGCCCAGAAGTCTTCCGTCTAGCGAGCACAACATGGAGCCCTCGTATGGCGTCGGTTTAGAGTGTTGGAGCTCACACGTGTACACCCTTACCTGCAATATCTGAGCGAGTCTGTAATGATACCGACGTTTACAAAGAACGGTTTGCTCTGCTTTTCCTTCTGGCCACCCGTCTATGCAACCCCACAGGCTGGCTCCGTAGATGGTTTTCTTTCTTCCATGTTATCTGAAACGATGGGCGAACGCAGGTGGCTGCGAAAACGAAGGGAAGGGAAGTTCAACAAAAGTCATGGAAGAATCGCTTGCGAACATCTTAGGATGATTTCCGGATCTTGGAGGGTCTCACGGCAACCTGGCACAGGCTGCATTGCGTCTTTTTGCTTGCATGCAGGAGTTTTCACATTGGAGGGTGTTTGTGATGGTTGCGTACGAGTGGAGGATGTCCGGCACTTGGGCCCCCACTTTTGATGGGTGCGGTGCTTTCCTAACGCTCGATGCTTTGCTTACGGACGGTTGTCTGATGGAATGTGCAACGCTAGGCGGATTGGTCGGACTTTGTGGGCATTAACGGGCGGTTCTGTGTCTGTATGGGACTACCGGAAAGTGCGTACATCCGCGTGTTATGACGCAAGTCCTCTGCACTATTCTAGCCTCTCAAAAGGTGGCTTTCCTCACTTCAGTTTTCACTAGACTACCACTTCCTCATGCTTATTCTACTTTTGTGTGACATTGGCTGATCCTGAGCTCTTGGAATCTGTGGCCAAGTGGAGCTGATTTGCAATTTCAGACGGACTGAGTTGTCCATGTTGCAAAGCAATACGCGTGGTGGTTTTGAGCACTGCTGCGTGGTGTGTCTATCTTTATCTAGTTGTAACTTTACTCAGATCCAAGCAACAGGTCATACTTGTATTAAAACCTATGGTATCTTGGACTGTCCCTCCTGCTATACAGTCGACATGCTCTCAACTGCCAGGCACATCTCGGCCAACGGTCTCCGCCGAGGCCCTCCAGTCGATTTGGTTGATCTCGATATGGACTTCGACTTCATGTCTGCTGAGCGTCGACGACAGCTGACGAATCCTTTGAAAGTGCAAGAACAGGGTTCTCATCAAGATTTGCTGTGTGAAGACGTTTCGATGAATGATGTTCCGAACATAATTGAAGTAATAGCACGTCCGACAAAAGCACGCTAACTATAACGAGGAAGCGCGAGCGCGCACTGGTCGCGACTTCCAAAGCTTCGACGTAGCTCCTGCTCCGCGACCCATCAAGGCGCATCGACGTCGACGTTCACCACACCGCACATACAACACTCATTATCGCTGCTCCAACTGCTATACGCCTGGTTAAATACAGTACTTAGATCGCGACGCCGTTCATCAACGACGCGACCACTACAGACATAGGACCCTTTCGCCAGAGGCTGTCAAGCACAAGTCCAAGGCTATTTTCTTTGCAGCAATGGCGGATCTCGACGTGAAGGAAGAGCGCGACTACGACAGGCGCGGCACAGACAGCTATCGAGGTGGGGGAAACAAGCGCCGCCGTGATGGTAAGCTTCCCAAAACTTTCGATTATGCGCTTCAAAAGCTAATTGAACGCAGATGAAGACAACTACGCTCCCCGAGACGACCGCCGCGGACCTCAGAGACGCCGCCGAGACGACCCTCCTCGTCGCCGCTATGAAGAGCCGCCCTTCCCTAAGCTACGGCGTCTGCTATTGAACATCGCCAGTTCCACCAAGCTACCACAGGACGAGGCTATTGACATCGCAACATACTTGGGAGAGCACTTTGACGACGAGCGCCTCCGATCGGACTTCTTTGACCTTTTCGTGCAGCTGTAAGTGAGCGCCTTGTCCCTCGATTCCGTAGTGCTAACAGATACAGCATCATCGAACAGCCCTTCAAGATTCCCTTCGTCGCCGCGGTCGCCTTCTACGGAAACGACGTCAAGCCGGAGATCACGATTGAAGCCATGAAGTGTGTGGGCGATCGCGCACAGCAGGCACTAGATGCTGGCGAGTGGAAGGACTTCAAGTTGCTTCTGAGGTTCTTCGCCTGCTTACAGTCACTGTACCAAGATGACGGCATCTTCAGCTTCCTGGGCCAGTTGTTCGACAAAATCGTCGATCTACAGAGTGAAGACGAGAACGACGTGGTGGGCATCGAACTGGTCAAGATCATCCTTCTGACCATCCCCTACGCCGTGGTAGCAGGAGGTAACCGTTTCCACGAACAAGCTCAGCAGCTGCTCAAGAACACTGGAATTGTGGCTGGCAACGCACTCCCCATCGAGAGCGTGATTCACTCGTACGTGGGAGAGGAGGACGTCAAGCCGATGGCTTACCACAGTGTCATTGGCCTCCTGCAAGCACAGCTTACAGCAGAGGCTGGCTCTGGATTCGCGTTGGCTTGCATCCCACATTTCGACCCTGAAGCAATGCGCAAGTCCGCCGCCAAAGAAGAGGACGCCGAAACACTGCCTGCAGCCCCTCCCACATACGCATTCCCAACCTTCAACGTGCCCTCTTTGATTAATCCTGGCCCGCGACCCATTTTCCCAGAGGCCTACTTCTCTTTGTTTGCAGACCAGGAGGCCAACACTGTCCCGAAAACGACAGACATTGCGTCTTCGCTCATCCGCGACGCCATCGTTGACACAATCAACCAGCTTGACTTCAATCGTGATATGGTCGCTAAGTTCTTGGTCGATGTCGACTGCTACTGGACGATCGATGCCTTCGCTAAGCGGGGAACACCACTTGATAAGTTCAAGGACCAACCCGAGGGCAAAGTCCAGTACAAGTCTGAAGACATGATCATCGATGCCATCTTTTCGCAGCTTTTCAAGCTACCATCTGCGGAACACAAATTGGTGTTCTATCACTCTGTGATCACACAATGCTGCAAGGTTGCACCCCAGGCTATAGCGCCTTCGCTCGGACGTGCGATTCGTACCATTTACAAGAGCCTGCCCGTACTGGATCTCGAGTTGGGCTACCGATTCCTAGACTGGTTCTCGCACCATCTCAGCAACTTCGAGTTCCGATGGAGGTGGACAGAATGGCAAGTGCTAACAAATTGCTTCAAGAAACCACATTAACTGATGCACAGGCTCGACGATCTGGAGTTGACAAACTTGCACCCGAAGAAGGCCTTCATCCTTGCTGCGCTCGACAAGGAGATCCGCTTGTCTTTTGCTAAGCGTGTCAGATCGACACTGCCTGAGCCAATGCACTCGCTGATTCCTGAGCGCCTTGATGAGGACAACAGTCCAGACTTCAAGTACGACAACCAGCAAACCCCTTACGCAGCAGAAGGCCAGGCATTGTTGCATCAGCTCAGGAAGAAGGCTCCGCCAGAGGAGGTCCAAGCTACCATCAACAAGATCCACGAGCAAGCTGTCGAGCAAGGCATCACCGAAGTGCTGGTGCCCTCAACCGATGCTTTTGTCACCGCGATCTGTCGACTTGGTGCAAAGTCACTTTCTCACGTTCTCTCATGTATTGAGCGAGGCAAGGACCGCCTATTGGAGATCTCACAGAATGAAGTTGCGCGACGCCAGATCGTTGCAAGTGTAGTCGAGTACTGGAAGGACCAACCAGGTGTCGCCGTCAGGATCATCGACATCTTGCTCAACTACACCATACTCGCACCCATGACCGTTGTTCAGTGGGTCTTCGGTAGCCACTTGGGTGCTGGCGAGGCTCTGACTGAAAGCTGGGTGCTTGAGATGGTCTCAAACACAGTCGCCAAGGTCACGAACCGTAACCGCCAGATCGCATCAGCTCGTATTCAAAAGGGCCTGCCCGCAGACCAGATCGAGATGGTCGATGCAACTCTAGCCAAGGACCGTGACAACGCCCGCGAGCTTTTCAAGTACATCGAGGATTCTACACGCGGAGTTTCTGACGGCTCAGCCGACGTATTGATGGAAAAGAAGACTAGCGGCGCGCTGTCCGAAGAAGAAGTGCAGCTCATCCAGGCATGGGGTAGACGCTGGCACCAGACCTTCCTGCGCAAGGCTCAAGTCGAGGAGTCTGTCGTCGGAGAGCAGGCGGTCGAGGCCAGGATTAAGTTTTTAGCTGCTGAGCCGGATATTGAGGGCGCAGACGGTGAGGCCACGAATGGCGAGGCACAGATGTCTCTTGCCTGAGCATCTATAACAGCGAGCTAAAAGTTTATGATTCGGCGCATTTACGTAGAGAGTCAGGAGAGACTCGGGACATTTCGAAGGCCTACAGCGGGAAGGTTACCGTCAGATAGTGTAACATACTGCAAAGTTATCTTGAACGCACCTGCAGCTCATCGGTCTTTCACATTACGATTCTCTAGCTAATTTGCAGGATCAGAACTTCACCGTACGCTTAAGGCTGCGAGCGCAAGACATGGCGAGCATGTCGGCGATCGCTCCTTCTAAATCTCTCGAGATCGAAATGTGCATTTGCCTAATATTGCAGACACCCCAAGCCAGAACCACGGATGTTCGGCCTGGGTCGAACATCGCTTTGAGTAGTTTTTCTTTCCGGGCCTTAGGTAGTGGTGTTCAGCCTAACTCGTGCTGAGCCCCCAGCCTTACACTCATCAGTCCAGGGCAGTCAAGCTTCACTTCCATTAGGTCCTTTGCCTTCTGATTTGCCTTATCCTCAGCATGATGTCGTCGGGCTGGACTGAGTACGTCTCGACCGCCACGTGTGAACCTTAAGATTCCAGAGCCGGTACAAATAACGTCCCTTTGAAGTCTGAACCATGGTGACTGTGACTACGCCGTGAGTACACTCGGGTAATGATTGTGCCATTGCGGTAATGCCAACTTCTTTCAGTGCATTGGTGGAGAATACGTTGACGTCGATCAGGCTCCACACGTTACAGGAAGGCGGTAAACATTCATGTCATTGTAAAATTTCGCCCCATCCGGGAAATCAGGAATGATTTCCCCTCACACCCGTTGGTAGACCACATTACTTGTCCAATTTGTGGCGATCTGCACAAGTCCGGGTTGGAACAAGGTCGCATAGCTTTAGTTGTCAGTGTCATGCTTGCGACCAAGCCTCGTTGCAACACTTACAAATAGCACAACGTCAAGCCACCAGGCTCACCGTTAAAGTCTCGCGGCATGACGGCGAGGGAGAAAGTCTGGCAGTTCGAGCCGGATGCTGTTCGTTTTTTTGTCAGCGCTGAGGTAGATGATGATGTACTTTTGGTCTTACCTTGACACATGCCTATGCACTGAGTAAGTGACTCTTCCCAGGTCTCAGGCCTACTGCGGATGTTCTGAGCCTGTGAGAAAATAGTATAATTGGTACCGTCTGTCGGCCCATAGACCTTGGTCAAAGGAGCTGTCTGCAACAATCGTCTCGTCAGCGTCGTGCTCAACTCAAAGGCTCTTGGTCATTGGCCATACCGCAAGACAGTTGCACGCGCTAGTGACTCTTGTGGGGTTGTCCTGACAGTTCGCTGCCCAGGTGGGAATAGTCGCAGTTGCAGCGGTCGTGTATGTCGAGCAGAATGGGATGGCTGAATTGACGTTGTTTCGGACAGCACGGAGGCAGTTGTCTGCGGAGCAGGCGCGCTTGTTGAGAGTGACGAGTTCGGGGGCTGCTGTTGGTTGCGGCATTGCTAGAATTGGCTGGAGAGTGACAGCCAGCAGGGCGACTGCGATGAAGATGGATTTGCAAATTCCCATTTTGGGCTAGAAGTTGGACTGTAGACTCCGTAAATGGGATTCATTGCCTGCGTATGGGCTTCCAAGTCTTTATAGGAGGTAGCTGCAGTCCAGGTTAGGACCGTCCCAGTGAAGAAGGTGCTCTCGTTCCCGTCAGCCATAGAGCTAATTCGGAAGCCATGTCTATATGCGAGCTACTGCTTTCAATTGTTGGCAGCTTATCTGCAGCTTCAATGATTGCTAGTGTCAGCCTCACATCGGATACGACAGCCGCAGCCACTCAGCAGCCTTCATTTCGGACCACCCTCCGAGTTAACGGAACGCCCCCAACTTTCCTCAGCCTTGACGTCTATTCGGTGAGGAGATCTAAGAACAGGACCCAGCCTACAGCCACATCCTGAGCGATGCTCTCCTCCCCGTCGCGATTCGACACACCTTGGTACGTCTTGATGGGCGTGACGAACGCAATCTCAGTTGATAAACAGAGTGAATGCACCAGGATGCACTTTCATACGGAAAGACATCCGTCCCGGGAAACGTCGATATTTGGAAGTCTGGGAACAGAGCAAGGTCCGCGCAACGTGCATGCTATTGCGTGCGCTTTCTTCCCAGACTAGGGGATCGTCAGCATCAGCAGCCAATCTTGAGTCCTTGGCCAACCCCTGAATCCTTCCAAAAGAACGCAATGTAAGATGACCGGAGCACGGAGGTCATTCACTGACTAATGTACAACAGACAATACTTCTGAAAGACAAGTCTTTCTAAAGCCACAACATCAAGAGTCCACTCAATGCCGCCAGTCCAACGAACGCCATCTGCACAACGGCCGTACCTGCAGCACTCGCACTGTCACCACCTCCAGCAACCAGTGCACTCGAGCTTGCCGCAGTCCTAGAAAAAGTGCTAGAAAAAGTGCTAGAGCTCGATGTCCGAGCCACCGTAACTCCGAGAGTAGTATCATCGCCGCCTGGCGAATCCAGATTAACATCTTGAGACGTCGGCCCAGCCACCAACGTACTTTCCAGTGCCGTATCCAGAGCAGTTATCAGCATTGTAGTCGGACTCGGCGCCGCATCGAGTAAGCTCGCAAGCGTGGTCGCCTCCGCCGGCGTTGAGAAAGCGATTGTTTTACTCAAGTCTGCGAAGAGCGCGGAGGCTTGACTGTCATCGGTCGCTATCGTGGTGTATATCGTTGTGTAGGTCGTAATTGTATAAGTGACTGTGCTGCGGGCCTGGAAGATCGTCCAGTAGTAACTATAGTACCTCCACCTCACTGTCCAGTAATACGTCGTGAAGCTATCGGCGATGACTTGAGTCGTCCGCGGCGGCTGTGTGATCGTCGGTACTGTAGGGGCTTGTGTAGCTGTCCTAGCGAACGAAGTGGTACCGCCTGTAACTACTGCAGTACACTGCAAGTCGGTGCAGCAAACTCCTCGCCCATTGTATAGAACGCACATGTTTCCAGTTTCGCAGTAGTTACCGCTGCGGCAGCACGAAGCGCCGTCAGGCATGCACTTATTCTCACAGCAAGTCAGTCCTGCGCCGCAAGGGCCGTTCGGACAGCAGGTTTTGCCGGACTCGAGGCAGTAGCCGTACCCGCAGCATCTATTGCTGCTGGGACAGCATCTTCCAAACGCTCGATTGATGTCAGCAAAGATGCTGTATATCGACTACAACGAGGTGTAACTGACCAGAGCAGTAGCCGTATCCAGTTTGACACCGCTGACGACCGTACAGTTCCGTACTGCGGTCCTGCAACTGTGGAATGGTCTCGTTTTTCTCCACACCTTGAAACGACTCAAGGAAAGCCGCCGGTTCCCCAGCCAGGTTAAAGCCTTTTTTGCTGTAGTTAGCCTCGTTCCAATCGATTTCGATGTCTGTACGTTTGACATCTCCAAAATTGGCCGCTACAAGTCTAAGGAGCGTGGTAGCCGCGAACAATTGGTAGACCCTCATGATAACAACAACCTTGGAATGATGGAACGCAAAAAAGATTCCACAAATGTTGATAAGGCTGTTCTTATGTACCGTGTCACTTCGCGTCGCCGAACAGCCTTGCTAATCGATCTGCTCACTGGGTGACCCTTGAGCTCTGAAAAGCCTTTCCAAGCCTCACGCCCAGGGTCTTGCCCGTATCATGCAAGCTTTGCCAACCGGTCACCTTATCAAAGTCTAGCTCACAGCCCTGCGAATTCGTACCTCGCATTCCTCACTGGAAGGCGAAACATCGGAGAAGATCCAAGTGAAGATCATCTACACAAACACGGCTGGAAGCGAGGCTACCACACAAAATAGTCTGGTGTGCGTTAGTGAGATGCGTTGGTGAAGGTGGCATGGAGCTAAGGCAGAGGTCCGCCAGCATTGTGTGGTGACGATGTTCAGCTGCCAAGGGAGACAGTTGAGGTGGACTAATGAGAAGCGTGCGGTAGATGAAGTGGCGGGAAGGTTAGGCGAGGATTTGGGGGCCTGAATAGAATACAGGTGGAAATCAGGAGCTCATCAGAAGGCGCGTTGTAGTCGGCAAACTGAGAGAAAGTGCATGAGGGTATTTCGCAACTGTGGAGCTGAACGCAGTGTATTGAAATTTCGGACGATGGCTTATCAGGATATGGGTTGTGAGAGCTAGGTACCCGAGATCACAATCGCAGTCGCTATGCACTAGAAGTTCTTTCCAGTAAACGCGCTCTGTACCGACCCAAAACTGCATGAGAAGTTAGCAATCATCGCACACAGTGCAGGAGAAGACGGTACTCACCCTTGAGGACAGCTCTGTCCTAGAGCTACACTACCACTACGCATATAACAGACCTTAGCGACTGCACACGCATCGCTCGTACAGTTAGGACTCTGGACCGAAGACTTTCCCTGGTAGGTATTGAAGAGCGAGACAAGCGTGCGATTCCGCTCCATTGCTTCCGTAACACGGTGCCAGAATGTGGCGTTGAGCGGATCGTTCGAGGACCAGCCGGCTGCTGAACCGTAGGCTTCACGGGTACTGTACTCAAGACTGAATGTCGGCCCGGTAACGGTCAAGTTCGGGTAGCTGTTGACAGGGCTCGTGAATGTCCATGCATCGTAGATGTTGAAGTCGCCGGTGTCTACTTCGTACAGACGGAATCCTGAGTTCAGGTTTGTCAGTGGCGTGACGGATGGGCCGATCCACCCGGTGTTCAATGCACTGCCAGCAGATTGATTTGTGCCGTTGTTTGCGTAGTAAATCATCACTTGGTCCTCATGGGTGTGGCCGAAGAACACATTAGCAACGACGTGAGGCGAGTAGCGATCGATGATCTGATAGAACAAGTCTGTGGGGTTGGGCAGTGGGTTCGACCCATCCCAGCCCGACAGAACATGCCCCACAATCCACACTCGCTCGCCAGCATCCTCTGCAGCTTGCAGCTCGTCTATCATCCATCTGAACATACCACTGTTGTCCGGCTGGGTGGTATTGATGAAGGTGAGGAAGTTACTCCGGTACCAGAAGTCTGTGTTGAATGTAATCACTCTCAGCCCGTAGTGGTTCTTAACAGAGTACCCTCCATAGTGTAGGCGAGCCTCATCAGCCTGCGCTTTGCTGATCCAGCCATTGTTCCGCCACAAACCAGCGACATGGTCGTAGTTCCACGATTGCTGCTGTCCAAGAGGTCCGGGCAAGTTGTGAGGCGAGTCGATAGCTTCGGGGTTGCTATCGTGGTTGCCAAGTGCGGCGAATACGGGTCCGGAGATGTAGGTCTTGAACATGCCATACACGGAGTCCTCAGCGTACTCGACGTACAGCCGGGACAGCTGGCTCTGGCCGTCGTGGGAGACGAGGTCGCCAGTATAGACAGTCCATCCCAGAGAGTCTTTTTCGGAAGTGCCGGTCAATGGGCCAACGGCCTGTAGTGCGGCAAGTCCGAGATCGTATGGCGAGTCGCACTTATAATTACCGTAAGGGTTGGCTGGTAGCGAAACCTGACCGATGGGAAGTGCTTTGTTATTGTTGTTTGCACGACAACACAAGCTAGACGTGCAATTTGCCTCAGAACCAACAGCAAAGCGAGGATCAAGGTGGAAGTCTGACATATGAAGAACCTTCACACGCTTGCCGCTGGCCTTAGGCACCCTAGCATTGCACGGCTTAGGCTTTGGAAACAGTCCAGTAGTGTTCGTAGGGAGGGTGTACGGACGCGGGCAAAAGGTGCTGGACAGCGAGTTGCAAATCTGCCGGCCATCCCATCCTCCAACGTCCGCATAGCGAAGTACCTGGGCCCATACAGAACCAAACGTCGACGTCTCAAAGTCTTCTTCGCACGTCTCGTCGTCGTGAAATTTGTACTTCTTGCAGAGCGCGACCATGGCTTCCGGCAGAGCATCAGGGATAAGTACAGCGGCCGAGCGTGCAATACTCAAAGCCGCGATGCATTTGGAGCAGTTGCCGTTGACATTGCTGCCCTCAATAACTTCGGAAATTTGAGAAACGATCTCGTATAGGAATGTACGTGTCTGTGTTTCTGATAAGTTGGCCAATGCAGGAGGGAAGAACACAGGGTCGTCGTCGTTCTGAGGAATCGTGAATGGATTCGTCAGGTTTGCAGGGTAAGTGATGTTGAGAACAGCGTCGTAGAGAGCTGGCTGGGGCTCTGCAGTCGGTTTCGCTGGGCTCAAATAGTAAGATGAAAATGCAGAGGTCGGAAAGCCTGCAGGTGCAGTGTAAGCCTTCGAGCCTGGAGGGGACGACTTAGCGGAGGCAAGTGCGCCAGCGATCAGTACACAAAGTGCCTGGGAGAGCGAAGGGAACATCATACCCAATCGCGCCTCTCCAGTTGACGATTCGGTCCAGTGGGAACTCGCTCTGCTTGAGAACCATGATGGCTGGCTTCTGCTTAAGTACCTCTACTGCACCAGCCTCCCACATCCGGAGTCGCTCGCGTTTGAGTAGGCTTGTCCGGCTAGAGAGCGGGCTATGCGATCTCTGCACCTTGCACGTAATCGGCAAAGCGCACGACACTGGCGGAGAGCGTACGACTGGATTGCTTTGGCCGCCCGGACCGTAGAGGTAGGTGTGCGTCATGGCTTTGTGCCAATCCAAGCTTTGCTGCCAAGCACGTGGGCATGAGCTTAAATCTATAGCTCTCATTTCCCCACCTTGAATACGACACCCCGCTATTGGCTACCCACGTGCTCTGCATAGCATCTGCATAGGTCGCTTCACCCGCGACTCGGGATTTAGCGAATTTCATGCCGCTGTAGGTGTTCAAGCCTGAAAGTTCTATGTAGAGGTAAAAAAAAAAGCGCTCTTAGCAGTGCGTACAGAGAGCAATTGTAGTAGCCGAGTATGTTTAGCATTAACAAATCTGGTTCAAGCTTTAAAACAAAACCCTCTCCCAGCACCGAAAGACCGTCGAATTGTCTAGCGACAACCAGGTTATTGCTCACGCATGACAAAAAGTGTTCTACAGACGCCCAGCAAGTCCTCATCTCCAGGTGTCGTTGACCGTCGCACTGCTGCCACATCCAGCCGAAGTCGTGTACCTCCTGTTAGGATCGCTCTCCCAGACAACTGCACCCGCACTCGTCTTGCGGATATACTTGTACTCGAAGACCGTCGAGGCAGGCAGATCAATGCTCGTAGTCCAGAGAGGATCGCTACTAGTGTACTGGCTCGCACTAAGAGCCTTCGCGCTGTTAGGGTCCCAATTGCCAAGCTGAGTGAGCTGGCCAGTGACAAAAATGTTGTCACCAAAGGTCGTGGTCGCGCGAACGTTGAAGGTGATCTTCGCGTTGCAGGCGGGCGTGCCGGTGCAGGACGTGGGGGGCAAGTTATTGAAATTCTCGCCCCAGCTTGGACTGACGATACCGGCGCGGCGCTCGGTTGCAGTCAGGAAGGCAGCATAGGACCATGTCAAGTCGACTGCAGAGAGGGGGGAGCCGGTGCTCTTGTCGAATTGCTCAGCAAGACCACCGTTGGAAGGGGCGTACTTTTGAATGATGGCGATGTAGCCATCAGCGTAGGTCTTGACTGCAGACGTAATTGAGGTGTAAGTGGCAGAGCCTTTGGCGTAGGTTCCGGCAGTGACGGAAGGTACAAGATCTTGGAAGAAGGCGAGCGAGACTGAGTCGACGGTGATGGATCCGACCTTGTCCCACTGGTACAGAGCAGAGTACAATTGCTCGGCAGCGGCTAAAGTAGTGAGATACCATGGGTTGCCATTGTAGTACACATCCTCGGAGTATCTACCGACAGCGATAGCCTTACCTTGAGCAACACCCTTATTGATGGCATAAACGGAACGGAAGGAGTCAGTGACAGCCTTGTGGTTGGCCAGGGCGCGAGAAGAGCAGGGTTGGAAAGTGGCGTCTGTACACTTGGCGCTGGGGTCGAAAGTATGAATGGACGAGATCAGAGAGTTGGCATCTTTTCCAGTGCGGCCGTCGTTCACATTGATGTTCGAGTCGATGTAGCTACCAGTCCAGAAGCTCTGCATAAAGCAAAGGACCTGAGGTGCCGCGGTTGCGCAGCCAGTGCAGGTCTGTCCGAGTTTGGTAGCGAGAGCAGCGCCTTCAGCAAGAGCACGATGAGTCGCAGCAAGAGTGAAGAACGAAGAGCCGTTGACCTCCTCCCAGAGATCGAAGCCGGTCTGATTCCAGTACTGAACAGCATAAGCAAGGTCATTTGCGATGACTGGCCAAACGGTGTTGACAGCGTAAGTCTTGTTGCCATTGTCGGCTAGCCAGTTGGCGTAGATGGCGAGGGCTGTGGCGCGGAGGGGAGGCCCGTCACGCTGAGGGCGACCCCATGCACCCGTGAATTGAGTCATATCCACGTTAAACTTGGGCTCACCGAGGCCACCTGTAGTGGGACCCCCAGATGGGTTGGTGACGCCCTGAAGCTTGGCCTGAGATGAAACGTAGTCATCAACCTTCTGGCGAAGGGTTGTGTCGCCATGCACGAGACGCTCAATGAGCGCCTTGTATGTGAGAGCAGCATCACGTGTCCAGGTGTACCAATCTATTGTCAGTTAGCGAAGGGAAAATTCATGATCAAAGTACTCTACTTACAATCAGGGTTGGTGCGCGAAGGACTGGCTACAACGATACCAGCAGGAACACCAGGTGCCTTGCTGCCGCCTCCGATGTTGGCGAGCACGCCATTAATTGAAGCGGTCGTCTGGGTGGTGATGAAGGCATCGATGGATATTTGACGACTCTCAAAGTCAAGAGGTGTCGCCTGAGTACCAGAGAACAGGAGTGCTGCAGGAAGAGCTCGGAGGACCGAAGTGAACAACATGGTGCTGGAAGATGCTGCAAACAGAGCTGCTGAACTGCTTGATGACCATTCCTTCGAGGGTGTCTAATCGTTTTATATCCAGCACCATAAGGTCGACGTTGTGCATCATCGGTACGATCATGCTTCTCGCTTGTCCGACTACAGTAATCATCGACAGGCACTAAACGGCGGGCGCTAGCATAGTCCCATATTACCACGGAGGCGTAAGGACGACGACAAACATGATTGAAGCAGAGCGGTCCGACGGTGGGCAAATGGGAGACGAGGCCAGCTGAGGCTCATTTGAAGCTGTATTAGCGTCCGGCTAGACCCACCAATCAGGGCGTGAGAACGCGAACTACAAAACAAACATGTGAAGGGAAAGGAAAGCTAAACCGGACGTCGAACCTCCTGCCCCAGATTTGATCCTGGCCAATTACTGCACGTGGTGTGTTGGGGAGTATGACGCCTTCCTAAGTGGGCGTTAGCCTGTGCGCTTAAAGAATTCACGCGTCGTGCGGACCGACATGACACCACACCACAAGCAGATACAGGTCCAATGCATCATGCCCTGATGTCGTGTTACGATCTTGTAGCCACACGACGACTTTACGAACAAGGCTAGTAACCCTGCATACCCCGGTTTCAGGGCAGTTGCCGTTCGGCTTCACACCAAGCAATATATCATGGGCCGACAGTGTGCGAGCGAGATCCAGAGAACGTCGAAGCATGGGCAGGAAAAGGAACGACTGCGAGCCGTTTGATTGAAGGAGTAGCATTTCGGCTTGAACCTGAATGCCGTCTTCATTTGATCGTTTACTAGTTCATACAGTCGCCATCGACTAAGACACTGCCGAGACGTACGTGAATAGATGGTCTAAAGATACTCAGATCGTAAGCCATGAAGTCATAATGCCGTTACTCAAAACGCGCCCTCTGGAGGTACAAACCAGATGTGGCGAAACTAAGGGAAGCAAGAAATTCAACACGCCTGTGTGGCCTGGAAGAAGCGCGGACCTGAGTATCCGTAGAACTGCACGCTCTCAATGTCGATATTCCCGTCTTCCGAGTCTTTTGGACTCCAGAGCTTGAGTAATACATTCCTGCCAGAGCTGCAGCACAGGTCAGTGAGAATCCATAGCTTGGCCCCTCACAGACTTACATCGCAGGTTCAAACCGAAGGGTGATCTTGTTCCTGTTCTTCTTTATGAAGAATCTTGCGTGAGGCGCGAGTAGGTTTCCTCTGCCAGGCTCATCAGCACCGGCGTCGATGTGACTCGGTCTAGCAAGTCTACTGGCTCGAATCGGTTCTGTGTTATCCAGGAGGTTGCGATAGCGTGGGCCCAGATTGATTCGGCGCGATCTCATCTCGTACTCATCAGCAAACTGAGCAGTCTCGAGAAGTTGGCGGAAGCGTGCCCCTGTGCCTCGGCGAGGTGCTACGTCTTCTTCTTCGTCATCACTGCCAGGCCGCCAGCGGCCTTCGCGTTGGATTCGGTCGGCCATGGTCTCGACGTTAGGATAATCGTCGTTGGACGACTCTTCTTCCTCTTCGCTTGTGGTGGTGACGGTGAAGGGAGGCGGTGTAGGAGCTGATATGCCAGCTGATGCTGTATAGTCGCAGTCAAAGTCAATCTCCTCATCACTCTCGATTGGAGGCTCCGAGCTCCTCTGTGGGTCCGTATGTGCATGTGCGCGTGGTTCTTGGTTCAAGCGTCGCGTACGCAGCCGGAGACGTTCGATGCGTGCTTCGACATCATCTTCTAACCGACGGCGATGGTGTTGCCACGCATCTGGATCGTCAATTGCTTCCCTTAACGATATTCGTTCCGCGTTCTGCACGTATCTACGGCGCTCAGGCGAGGGAGAAGCTGACGGCGAGTGGACCCGATGCTGCAATCGGTAAGTGGACGTGCCAGACAGGAGCTCCTCTGCCGACATGGCCACGAAGATGAGTCCTTCCTGGACGCTGAAGACTGTCAGTGGATTATCAAGCCACGAGTGGGCACACATACGGAGACGTGAAACCACGGTCCGGTGCTCGAATGACAACCTTCTGCAGGGCAAAGGGTGCATCTCCCAAGTGCCCGAGTAGAAGGTTGCACTTGGAGCTTTCACTGCAGTACACGCTCTTGTCGCTCTTCAAGACATTCTCGACGTCGTAGATCTTCATAGGGTTGTCACGCTTGATCTGGCCTCCATCGCAGCTGACGACTTCCATGCGCAGACGTCCAGGGACCGTCTGGCCCTTGTAGCCGTACTTGAAGCTTTGGTACTCGGCGTTCTTACTCGGCTCATGCTCAAGCTTTCTCCGCTTTGTCCGCCTCTGTGCTGTGTCTGGTCCGCCATGGCTTGGCTGACGGGTGGCCATATTGATCCACTCCTCGAAGTCGGCGATGATAGGTGGGCGCTCACTCAGGGCATCGAACGGCTCGGTAGGGGCGTTCATAGCGGCCGCTCGCTCCTCGTCGATTCGTGCTTGGGCGCGCTGGAGGTAGCGTTCGCTGGGCGTGGCTCGTGGGCGGTTTGAGCTGGCTATTGACGGCCGCCCCAGCGACTCGTACGCAGTGTCGTCGCTGTCTCGTGGTGGCCCAAGCAAGCGATGCAGCCGGCGCCTGTTCGCACGGCGCCTGGCCTCGATCAGCCGGTCCAAGTGGCTGGAAGAGCGCTCTGGCGGTTCGTCGGCTAGGCGCAGCACATTTCTCGAGCTACTCCTCGCCGATCTGGGAGGAGAGCCTGAGGCGTGCGGGTAGTCGAAGTGGCCAGCGGCGAAGGAGAAGCCGGCTGGCGGAGGTGACGACGTCGGCGGGCGTGGCATCGGTGACGTGTGGCGTGGTTCCCATGAGAGTCGCAAAGCAGTCGGAAGGCGAGCGGAGAATCTGCGAGTATGGTCGGCAGCGAACGAAACGTATAACGGCCGTCTATTATTGCAGGGTGCAGCGTGTCGGAGCGACAGGCCTTGAGGCTGAGGCCATCTCCACGAACCTCGTAGCCCCACAGATCCCCACGTGCGGTTGCGCTAGCGCTGCAGAGCCGCAAGGCCGCCCCAGAACTTAATTCCGTCATTGCTGGAGTTTGCCGTCTTCACTGAGAGTCGCGTCTGGCGAGCTCGTGCTGCTCTCACCTTTACCTCGCCTTGCCGCCAGCTTGTCTCGCCCCTCCCTCCTGCCAATCGCCCCCGCACGCCTTTTCCACAACCTTCACGCCCATCGCGCCTACCACAAGCATGACGGACCTCACCGCGCCTGCTGATGCCAAAGCGCTCAATGGCACCTTCCCAGCAGACGATGCAGCTGGGCAGACGGTCGCTGCCACGGCCGAGTCTGAGAAGATCTCTGCAGGTAGGACTCGATCGGCATCAGCACATGCGCCTGCTCACGCTCCTCCGCAGACGAGATCGCGCTATACGACCGACAAATTCGGCTCTGGGGCGTCAAGGCGCAAGAGAAGATCCGCACTGCCAACATCCTCCTCGTCTCCATCAAGGCGCTGGCAAACGAGATCGCGAAGAATCTCGTCCTGGCGGGCATTGGCTCCATCACCCTCGCCGACCACGAGAACGTAACCGAAGATGACCTCGGCGCCCAGTTCTTCATTAGCGACGCGGACGTGGGGAAGAACGTAGGCAGACACACGCCCAGCCTCTGTGGCATCTACTGACAGCCATACAGCGCGCCGAAGCAGCAGCTCCTCAGGTCCAGAAGCTGAACCCTCGGGTCAAGGTCAACACGTACACGAACCCCATCAGCACAGAGACCGAGGCCAGCTTCTACTCCAAGTTCGATGTCATCATCACGACCGACCTCGACTTCAACTCGACCAACACGCTGAACCTCTGCGCCCGCCTCGCGAACCGACCCTTCTACGCCGGCGCATCGCACGGTCTATACGGCTACATCTTTGCCGACCTGATCAAGCACAAATACGTCGTCGAGCGCGAGATGAGCAACAAGACAACGCAAGTGGGTCCTGAGAGCTCAACGCGCAGCGTCATTGAGGCCTCGTCGAAGAAGGAGAACGGCAAGTCGGTCGAGACTGTGACCAAGCAGGAGATCTACTCGCCCATCATGGCCATCAAAGACTCGCCTCTGCCGCCTGAGATCGCGGGCAACCATCGCAGGCTGAAGAAAGTGCACCCGCTGCTCACTTGCGTGCGTGCACTGTGGGAATACCAGTTCCAGGCGCACGGCGTCTATCCATCGCACGACCCGCAGCAGCTGCAGTTGTTCACCATGATGGCTACAGAGAAGCACAAGCTGCACCTGCTGCCGTCAAACACTCTCACCGCCGAGTTCTTACGCAGCTTCTTGCAGAATGTGGGTAGCGAGATCGCACCAGTTACTGCATTTCTGGGTGGCCAGCTCGCGCAGGATGTCATCAACGTGCTCGGGCAGAGGGAGCAGCCGATCCAGAACTTGATGCTCTTCGATGGCGAGGAGAGTGCTGGCCCGGTCTATGCCCTGCACCCCATCTTCGTCGACAACCCCATCGCGGCGCTTCCATCGATTCCAATGCCTGTCGAGGCCATTTCTATCGATGATTAAGTCGGTGACACCTCGAGGCAAGGACCTGCCCAACATATAAGGCGGGAGGAGGCGTTCGACAGATCAAGCTGAGCTGAATAGGGATCAGCGACGACGGATGCACATTTGAGAAAAGAGAAACAGGAACGAAGACGAAGGATAACGATACCCAATGGCTGGCCTAACGTAGAGCCCGCCGCGGCATTTTGCATATAGAAGAACACTTGTTCGAATACGCTGATCTTGACTACGCTTTATGCGATGCTTGTAAATATAAATTGCGCAAAGACTGTTCCACGCACTACTGCTCCTTCTTCCCCACCTCAACTTTCCTTCCCCCAAGCCTGCCAAACAGCACCCAACAAAGACCGAGGAATGCAACGACCACAATCCCAACAGTCCCTGCCTCCACTACCCCTACTCTCCTCGTATCCAACACCGGCACCTCAATCGTCTCTACCAATCTCCCGGCCTGTGAATCAGGCTGCACATGCATAAACCTCGTCTTCGGCCCGAACAGCGCTTCGTACCCCAGATGCCGCCTGTCAAATGGGTTCTGAGCATGTTTCGACCCCTCGTCCGCACGGCACGCCCAGAACACTACGGGCCAGGGGACATCGACAGATGCGTGTGTGGAAGGCGAGGCGGGGAGGTAGCGCAGGTGCAGCGGGATGGATATGTTGTGGTCGGCGTGCACGGCGCTGTTCTTTTCTGCAACGGAGGACGAGGTGGATGTGGACGGTGGCAGGGCAAGCTCGAATAGTGCCGCGCTGCCCCATTGCGGGATCACCCAGTCTGGCGCTTCGAGATCCGTGGCCCCAGAGAGACTGCGCAGGGCGAGCAGGTTCTGCGACGACAGGAAGAGCGGGTCGCTGAATTGGTATCTGTCGATGAAGAGCGCTGAGGGCAGCGTGAGGTGCGCGTGCAGCCTGCATGTTGCGTCTGGTGCAGTTAAGTGCGAGGTAGGCAGGGTGAGGGTCAGCGTTGGATGGAGACCGGATGGACGGTTGATGGAGGTCTTGTATCGGAGGGGCGAGAGTTTGGGGGGACGGTTTGGGTCGAAGGGTTCTGGGTTCAATAGAGGGTAGTGCCGTGTGGGGGTTTGGAAGCGCGTTGGTTCTGGATATGGGTTAGTTGTGTGCCTTCAGCTGGAGATGGGGAGCGGTACTTGGTTTGTCGTCTCGACCTAGTACGGTTAGGAAACCACCGAATTGGTAGTCTTCGGGGTCAGTGTTGGCCTCGTGAGACAGGACGCCGATTTCTACAGTTGAGTCTGAGCCCTCTTCGGGGGCTGAGTACTTGTCTGTCCAGCCGTCGCTCGGTTTGTTCGACCAGACAACTGTGCAGACGACAGCCTGAGAGATGCTATCGTAATCGATGTCCACGTAAGAAGGCGTGTCAGCCGATGCTGTCATCCCCTCTATCCATCTTGAGATGCTAGATGCCATCCAGTCATCCCCAGAGAATGGCGAGTAGTATTGCAACGCCGTTGACATGGTGAAGCGCTCTGAAAGCATCGGCATCTTGATCGCTGTCTCATTTGACGTTGTGCATTTGAAATGCCTGTCAACACTGCGGAACACTAATCGTACATCCTGACACAGGTCTGGGTTCTCGACTTCTGTTGATGGTGTGTAAAAGATATGTAGACCTGGCGACACTCGTGATGTGAATGGAGCCGGTGCTGTGCTGGTGGGGGTATCTGGCGACCAGCGAATGTGCAGTTCATGCCATTTCTTGAGCACTTCACTGACCCGTGTCAGCCTCATACCAGTTACTATTAAGTCATGGAGTATTTTACATGTCAAATGGTGCTTCGTGTTTGGAGAGCTCGTTGAGTCCAAGGGTGATACGGTGTTCTTTCGCAGCCTTGACGTGGTTCAATTTGAAAGTATCGCGTTTTCCCTTCGACCCTCTCTGGACATTGATCTGGTCAGGGTTGAAGCTCTCTGGCTCTGTCACCACATACGTTATTCGCACCTTCATGGTTGTTGTTGAGTGTTGTCAACATGGCGCGTGATGGGGCTCACATGCGCCAGCCTCTCGCTTACGGTCGCACCCCTGATCCTGACAAGTGACATCACCGCGCTAAAGAGGCCCTTTCACAGCGAAGTCTGGATTGCTGCCTGTGCCAGCGAGATCGTCAACACCGTGTCCTCACGCAATTTGCCACTGCATGGGCTTGCATAGCCTTCGATATTCCTAACATCATCTGCAAAGACTCTGCCACCCCAACGACGCCATGCGCATTCTCACTCTTCTATATGCAGCGCTGCTGAGCGCGTGTGGCGCGCAAGCCTTGCGCTCAGATAAAGTCAAGCTCTCCAACATCCAGAGCCTGACACTGCGAAAGGGACTCGACACATCCCATCGCCGTGTCGATGCCATGCCCCAGGTACGTCTAGCATCACTCCATCACATTGTAGCCGTGCTAATGCATTCAGCTCTCCTGCATTGGCGGCAATGCGAAAGGTCTCTATGAAGTCGATGTGATGCGCTGCAAGAACTCTGGATCCGACTACGACTCCGAGAACATCCAATGGACGTGTACTGCATCCCTCCCCGACGAATTCAAGCTCGGCTCCACAGACGTCATTTGCGAAGGCTACGACTATCCCGAAGACCCGTACATCCTGAAAGGTAGCTGTGGAGTTGAGTACAGGCTCGTACTCACGGACAAGGGTCACGAGAGGTACGGCAAGGGCAACGGAGGTCACTGGTGGGGCGGTGACGATGAGGGCAGCGGTAGAGAGGGGCCAAAGACACTGGGCGAGCAGATCGCTGCCGCACTCTTCTGGATGGTCTTCATCGGTGTCGCAGGCTGGATCATCTTCAATATTGTCCGCCAATGGGGTCAGGGCGCTGCAGGCGCCGGAGCTGCTGGCGGTAACCGACCAGGCTGGGGCGGTGGAGGAGGCTGGGGCGGAAACGATGATAATGACGACCCCCCACCACCATATGAATATCAGGGACGACCAGGCAAGAGCACATATGGTACAAACCAGCCCCAGGGTTGGAGACCTGGAATGTGGTCTGGCGCACTAGGTGGAGCCGCAGCTGGGTACGCAGCTGGACGCATGGCGAACAGAGGCAATCAGACCAACAACGGGTGGGGCAGCAACAGCGGTGGTGGGAACAATGGCGAAGGTAGCTCGAGGTCATCCTCGGGCTCTGGCGCCAGCTTCTCAAATACGAGACACGAGAGCACTGGTTTTGGCTCCACCTCGAGGAGGTAAATGGTGGTTGCAGTGGACACCTTCCCTTGGCTCAAAATGATACCCACATTCTTCATATCTTCATCAGTATACGCAATAAGCCTTAGTGACTGGTACAGAAGGAACACTCATGACCATTGAGGCCCGCTTACATGTAGCAGATCAATTCGTACAATCTTGAGGCTCACTCTCCCTGCCGCTCTCCAAGGAACATTCTCCTTCCCAATCTTCATACAAGTCAGCCATCCAGCCTTCGCTTGAATCAGGTGGAGTGCTGTGCGAGCACCGAACGATGCAGCCGCCATTGCTTAGGAGGTGTCATTAGCTTCGACCTTATGACAGTATCAATGAACTGGCACACGGAAAGGGTGTCCTCGGATTGCTTCTGGTCAGGCAACAAAGATGGAGTTGCGGATTCCCGAAGTGAGGCTGGGCTTGGAAGACCGGTGGCAGATATGGCTGCTACCTCGTGAAGGTATTCGTTGTTGTCTGAAGAGGGGACTGTCGATGAACAGTGAAAGCGTGTCGAAAGCTTCCGGGCTGTTCTTGGGTGAGTGTGCATGCTGTTTTCGGTAATCGTCGTTTCAGACCGGGTGGAGTTCTCTTCGGTGATGCATTTCGACTATTTTGCATGCTCTGTTCGCTGGCCGCAGTGCTTGTGGATATCGATATTGAAGCGCGTCATGGGCGTAGAGTTTCTACAGACGAAGATAGATGCGGCTCCAGGCCTGTATCTTTAGACAAGGTTGGCGTTGGGCTCGTGCAGGACCTCATTGATCATCTCGAATTGTGATATTGGTGGCGATTGTGAGTGCTCGCACTTACTCATGTTACTGTCCAACTGGAGGCTATGTGTAACGCGGTGTATATATATTGTCATAATCTAGTCCCGGTAGAATCAGAAGGGAGAGAAAATTTAAGTGAGTTGATGCTGGCAAAACAGATCTACTGAGAATTAAATTGAGAGAAGGCTCAGAGCAAAGCAATGTTAAAGGCACCATTTTCCTTCAAGGACGAATACTATCAGTACACCGCTGTACTGGCACGCGCTGAGCGTCAGTATGTCAACTGACCTTACCGTTTGTGCAGGCAAGTTTCTCCAACTTTGACAAGATCGATCCTTATCGAGGTAGGGACTGTTCGCTTTTCTATCCATGAGATCTTACTCAGCGAGTTGCTTTATAATAGCCCATTGTGATCGTTTGGCAGCCATTGCACTGTTCTCCAAATCTACTATGGACTTCCCTTGCGAAGACGGCGTGTGTCCGTTTGGGAGAAATCTCATATGTCATCCACATGAGGGTCGAGCTTGGTGAAAGGCTGTTGACCCTCGGGACTGACATGCGTGGAGGCTGCCAACAAGACGGTTTCTCTGGGTATTTTGATCCAAAGGTTTTGAATATAGATCCCGGATTTCTCAGGGCCGCTGTTTCCCGATCCAAGAGGGTATATAACACCTCTTTTGGGCAGAATATCTAGCTATAGACGGGTAATTTCTCTAATTTGATAGGCTAGAGGCCTAAACCCACTTTCCTAAGGGAGGCAGCGTGGGGGTGCCCACCTCCT